TTTAAAAGTGATTTGACTATAGCGCTCTTAAAAACAGTGTGGATAACTTGAAGTCAGGTTGTAAAGAGTTAGGAACCTCGTGACGTATCCCAGATTTTGTCATTTCAATCACGTTATTCCGTGAGGGATTAGGAAGAAATCATGAGTAACCGCTCAACCAGCGATGTAACAAAGCATTTTATTCATTCGTGTTATAAAATTCAAAGTCAAGTGGAAAGTTATTGTGCCGCTGAAGTGAAACGATTTCAGCTCTGAATCCTCGTAAATTTGATAGAAAAATACCGAATTATCTTTACATCAAGAAGAGAACTTCAAGAGGACAAGTTAATTTACAGTTCGGGCCATGGACAGTTTTGTCTATACCATTTCCTTTGATATGACTGGCCCAGACAAAACTAAAACAAACTGATGTGACCGAGAGAGGATTGGAACGATACTTTTTCTTGCTATCTCCCTCTTGGAGGGCATATTGTAATGCGAAGGAGACGGCAGAACAGATTTAAAAATTTTAAGAGACATCATTGACTCATTTTTTCTGTATTACTGTACTACAAATCTTATTTTCGATAGACATGTCATCTCTATTCTTGCCCCCCGTTATGTGTTGCACGTACACGTATGAGCTCTCCGCAAAAAAAAATTATCAAATTTGATATGGATCCTTTCCGGTGAGATGTCATAGTGACATCCGTAGAAGTAGCGACCGATGAAACAACATGTTAGAGGAAATGTCTCGCACTAGAGGTTGTTCTGTAAGAATTTCAGGGAACACACTCAGACCAGCTTTAGCCGGTCTTTGGCTTTTGCTTGATTTGAGGGCGCCATCTATATTTTTCACACAAGAGTAGTCTTTTTCGCGATGAAATCTTCGCAACAAAAAAAAAATCAAACTCGATACCTTTCAGGTGAGATGTCTAAAGGACACCTCGTGGAAGGAAGAAACTGATGATATAACATATTTACTTCAATCTCATCTGCAATTCCTTGGGATGAATTTCCTCAGAGTCCTGATCGATATTATTTTAGATTAAACCGAAAGCTCACTTTTGAATAAGCTTTTGTAAGGCCGTCTTACTCGACAGTTTTTTAGGGGAAATTACAGTTTTATGAAAAATCTGAAAGCCAAACATGGCAAAGGATCGGCCTTGCAAGGTTTGCTTTGGGACATACACGGTCTGAAGCGCATGGTTAGGTTTAATTTTTTAGTGAAAAATTTTTAGTGAAAATTTTTTAATAAAGAATGTCTTGTAGAGGACATCATAGTAATGCAGAAATTACCTTGAAAAACACTTACTGCGCATTTTGTTGCGCAGGCAAAGTGCTGAACTTTTTCTTTCTTTTGCTTTATTGAGGGGAGACCATAGAGACCAGATTAAAATTTGGCTGTTCTTTCTCCATTTCCTTAACATTTGTACTTGAAACTTTTTGCGATTTTTGCGCAAATTGTGCTGTGAAAAACAAAGTGTGACGTCACGACCGTGTTTCGTACCTCCATCTGAACACATTAATCGACCCATAAGAGTCCCCGCTTTATCGCTTCACGGATTTTTCGGAACCAACATAGTGACCAACTTCCAGTTGGCTTGTTAGCTCAATTGGTAGAGCACTGTACTGGTATTGCAAAGGTCATGGATTCAAATCCCGTACAGGCCTGAACTTTTTTTCAGGTCTTATTTTCACTACTGCTCAAGTAGTTATCATTCTGCGAAGATCGCTTTCATATTCACGTCTTCATCCGCAGTTCACATATATGATTTTCATGTATTCACAGGTGTTTAAAATATTTTATAAAGCAAAATACGTTTTCCACTGTTGGATGAAAATTGTTTTTACTAAATGATCTTTCCGTGTAATTTAACTGTTCTGATAGCTCATCGTAAATGCGCGTGCCACAATGGCTTAGTGATACATACTGATCATGAACAATAGAGTGGTTTAGCAAGAGGACGGGAACGTCATTTCAGAACGGGGAAGTGCGCGGATAATCTGGACACGACTCTATTTCGACTTCCGGTGTTAGCGTTGCCGTTCTCCCCATCAAGTTCAGGACGTCATTTCGCTGGTTTTCCCGTCGTGATCAAAACGCCTAGGATTTGCGTTAATTGTGCACTTATAAACGAAATAATGCTGTTTCGTAACCAGGTTCCTTTCTTTGTTTTATTAGGTAAATTTGTGAAAATTTACTTACTCCTTTCGGGAATCCAGAATAAATGTAGCAGTGCTACATTTATTCTGGATTCCCAAAAGGAAACACAATCGTCAGCAAGCGATCTAAGATTTTAGGGCTCAGTTACCTTTTGTAATTGAGCGTGGCTTTAAGCAACGTAAGGGCTTTTCTTTGATACACTTCTTAAACCATGTATGAAAACTCTAAGAACGGGTGCTGTTAATTTTATCGTGAATTAATTCATCAATAAATTAAACTTTCTTCATGTTGAAGTTTATCAAAATGAAACAGCACGAAGGTTACCTGCTATATTATTCAGTGTTATTTGTTGTCGTTGTAGTTTTAACCGTGATTAAGAAGTGTTCTGCGAATTGAACTCAGAGATAAAAAAATTTGAGAATAGCTCGGGTTTGCACAGACAAGAAAGTCATCTACGAAAGAAAATAACAATCAACTTGATCTGGGCACGGCTTTCTAAATCTATTAATTTGATTCAGTATTGAACGACGTTATTCGTTAAAAAAATTAAATTAAACAAAAACAAAATAAAGCAGGAACGAAGTCTGGTTCCTCAGTCTAACCGTTTCGTTGGTGACTAGTTTGAGCGCATTTCATTCGTTCATGGTTAAATGGGAACTCATTGTAAACAACTCCATCGTTGGGTCGCTTGACCTCTACATGTTTTCGATATAACTCCTGATAACTCCGTTCAAAATGCATTGCAACTCTAAGAAGGTGCTTAAAAGAGGTGTACTGTCATGAATGAGAAAAATATTCAGTAAACAAGGGAAAAAACGGCGACGATTTCAATTCCAAATTATACTTTACAAAATTATGAAGAAAAACGAGTAGTGCTGACATCTAGAAGCACGAAACGAAATGACAGCGATAAAAATCATCGAAAAAAAATATTTAGTGGGCCTCAAAATTTGATAGATGAATCTGCAGACTCGAGACTAAACTGAAATGGAATCATTTCAAAGCTTAATCGCCCATGTGGATTCATATTAACAACTCACTTGAAGTAAACTATCCTCGGTTTGTGCTTGTTACACTCTCAAAGAGGATAATTTCGTTGTCCTTCCAGTAGTCTATGAAACCGAAAATTCAAAGCTGATAATTATCTTAAAGAGCCAAGGTTAGGATATTCAAGAACAAATATAACGTGGACGGTTCGTTGAAAGGACTGCTAAGTCACTTTTCAACACAACGCGACGGCGTTCTCGACTCAGTTTTTCTCGGCATTTTTGCCGCGCGCGCCGTTCTGAAATGACGTTCCCGTCCTCTTGCTAAACCACTCTAATGCACCAACAGCACGCAGCGTTAGCTCCCTTAAATCCATTGCGGAAGGTTTCGATTGAGGAAATATTCAAGATTGGTAGAACTATATGTGTCCTAAACCCTTTTCATGGGCAAAAAATAAAAGAAAACTTTTTTCCGACGGGAAGTCGAGAGGACCGCTCTTAGCGAGAGTGGCACTTAACTGTTCTAAATCAGCAAAAACAAAAGCAAATTACCCCAATTTTAGGACTTCATTTCTTTAAGGCTCAAACAACTATTGGACAAAATAAGATTAAAATACATGGAATTCTATTAGCGTGAGAGATATTTGTCGTAAGTGCATTTTTCGAGCTAATTTCAGCCTTTTAGCCCAGGGACTTGCTGTGGGGGCTCTAATACCCCAGGGATAAGCCGGGAGCCCGAACTACTCAGGATTCTTGAATAACTTAATGACCCCAATGAACTGTGATAAACTATGAAGGTTTGAAAGAAATCAAGATGGCATGTATCACGCCTGTCCGTGGAAGCCTTCTGAAATTATCAGTTATTTATTCTGGGTAGCTGTGTAGTGGTTTTCGAAATTTTCTATGGGCTTAAAGCCACGGAGCAGTCTAAATATTACAACCTGTAGAATGACAGGAAGGATAGTCCTAGCATCAGAGATCTAACTAATAGCCAATTTGCAGAGATTTTTCTGCATCAAAGCGTCGACAAGCTTCGTGCAGGATACATATCACATGAGGCAAATGACCAGTTAAAACTTGAAGTATTAACGAGCCTGCGTGACACTCTCGGCATCCGCAAGCGATTTTAAACTTCTCTCTTCATAGATTAGTATGTTAACAAAAACAGAACTGTGGTTGGCAAGGATTTTTTGAGATGCTTCATCAAAATCATTCCTCAAATATTTAAGGTTTTGTCAACTAAATCTTATAAAAGCCTTAAAAAAATCAAACCAGATTTTAGTGGTTCGTCTTATACCTAACTAATTTACTGATTTCGCTTTATATAAAAGCCTTACGTACCTAATTTGGGATAGCTCTTTTTTTTAACTTCAATGAAATACCGGATAGAGTATTGTCTCTACTTGTTTCTATTTAATTTATCCATCTAAAAGTCTTTTAGCTCTGTTTCCTTCGAGTAACTCTTATTATTTACTCTGTCGGGGTCTGTTTTCCTGTAAAAAAACGAAAAACAACAATTTATTATTAACTCGATTAATATTAAGGATATAAAGCAAATACAACTGAACCAAGCACAATATGTAAAATGTAGATGGCTAACACTTGTATCTGATTGGCAGTCTATAGTAACTTTTCGAAAAAAAAAAAAAAAATATATATATATATATATATATATAAGTGAAAGAATCAAAGAGGACGCATCGATTCTCTGTTACTCAGAGTTTCGCGCCTAAACGCTCGTCAGATAGAACTATATATATATGTTTGACTAGTCAAGGTAACAAGGATCCCCGCCGAGACAGTCAGCGACCAGTAAGTCATAGCCACCTTCACATCTAACTTAACTTTAATTTATGAAATACCTGTTCTCACCGAGTCTTACCTCTGTTTGTGAACTCGAGCCTAACATCATCTCCAATCAGCGTAAACGAAGCCCACTCAGACACTTTGGTCGAGCCGTTTTTTCTCATCCACTTCATGGCCTGATGAAGGGATTCACTGGCACTTTCTCCTTCAACAAGGTGTTCGTAGAACCGACTCATCAGCTTCTCTGTTGCTGAGTCTGAAATGGCCCACAGCGCAACCAACACCGAGCGAGCACCGGATCCTAAGAACGCACGGGCAATTCCTATAACTCCCTCGGCTGTTATATCTCCATTTCCACTGTGACAGCAGCTAAGTACCACCAGTTTGGCTTTGACTTTCACTCTTGAGACATCAGCCATCGTCAACATGGAAGCTTCCTTAGGTAGGATAGTGTTTTGACTGTTGACAGAAGGAATGGGGGAGAGGGCAATTTCTCCCCTTTCGGCGCTACCATGGGCAGCAAAATGTATTAGGCTCACTGAACTTATCCGCTCTATTACTGCCTGCTTCGTTGCTTCCTTTTCAACCAGGGGGGGAACGCCCACCAGTCGTCCGACCATCTCCGCTTCCTTTCCTGCACCTGGCAAATCAACCGTGGGATTGCCTATTATCAAGGCACCAGTGTTGCTGTGATAGTCCTCTGGACTATCTTGAATGATCTTGAGTGTCGTCAAAGAAGGAATGACACGGATCCTACGAGTCTCTGACAGGTATTCGGCTCCCTCCTTTTCTCTCAGGGCAGCAAAGGGAACTTTGTACAAACTGCGGTCAGGAACAATAATCAATTCAGGCTCCTCAAGCAAATCATAAACGGGGGCAATAAACATTTTGTAACACAAGGATAGACTTGAAATGACTTCCTCGTCCTCGCCCTCCTCCAAGAGTCGCAACCTTGCTGAGCTTTTTTGTTCGGGGGAGAGAGGTTGCGATTCAACCACATTTAAAGACCGATCTTCACAATCTTCAATGGGCAAAATACCAAGACTCCGGAAATTTTTAGCCAAAAATTTACTCAGAGGCAAGTCTTTGGGCAACCCGGCTTGAACTAGATTCTCTTCAGGTGATATTCTTCTATAGTGAAGGACTCCACCTGTTTTCAAGATCCACAAATGCAGATGATTGTGAAAATAAGAAATGTACAGACAAGTACAGTTGTTTTTCGTTCTAAAAATGTTTTCAATGCCAAACCAAGATTGTGGATTAGCAGAGATGTGCGTTTTAACCGAGTACTTCTCTGCCATCAAGTCTGATAGGCCTCTAGCTCGACCCAACTCCTCAACATAAAGAGCATCACGAGTTTTTCCGGTGTCACAAAGCAGAGTGCAAAGCAGCTTGTAGGGAAATATTCCTGAGTGCTCCAGAAATGATGTTTTGAACTGATCATTGGCGCCCAAGAAAGATCTCAGCTCCTCATACTTTTCAATACAAAATTGAAGACACGAAAGGGAGTCTTCGACTTTATTTTGAAATAAATACAAAATGGCGTATTCTTGAAGAATTTGGAATACTCTCCTTCTATCTCCAATATCTCTGGAAATGGATAAAGCTTTCTCCAAGCATACTTCTGAAGCTTCATAATCTCCAACAAATCTGGAAATATTTCCAAGATTTGCAAGAACTGCTGCCTCCCCTCTCTTATCACTGATTTCAGTTCTGATATTAAGCGCTTTTTGTTGATACTCTTTAGCCTTGCCGTATTGCCCGAGCGAATGAAACACAGTACCTAGGTTTCCGTAGTCAGCTGCCATTCCTTTTCTGTCGCCAATCTCAGTTCTGATGACAAGCGCTTTTCGATGATACTCTTTAGCCTTGTCGTATTGCCTGAGCGAATGAAACACAGTACCTAGGTTTCCGTAGTCAGCTGCTACTCCTTCTCTGTCGCCAATCTCAGTTCTGATGACAAGCGCTTATTGATGATACTCTTTAGCCTTGTCGTATTGCCCGAGCGAATGAAACACAGTACCTAGGTTTCCGTAGTCAGCTGCCATTCCTTTGCTGTCGCCAATCTCAGTTCTGATGACAAGCGCTTTTTGAAGATACTCTCTAGACTTGTCGTATTGCCCGAGCAAATGAAACACAGTACCTAGGTTTCCGTAGTCAGCTGCTACTCCTTTTCTGTCGCCAATCTCAGTTCTGATGACAAGCGCTTTTTGAAGATACTCTTTAGCCTTGTCGTTTTGCCCGAGCGAATGAAACACAGTACCTAGGTTTCCGTAGAATAATGCCTCTCCTTTTCTGTCGCCAATCTCAGTTCTGATGACAAGCGCTTTTTGATGATACTCTTTAGCCTTGTCGTATTGCCCGAGCGAATGAAACACAGTACCTAGGTTTCCGTAGCATAATGCCTCTCCTTTTCTGTCGCCAATCTCAGTTTTGATGACAAGCGCTTTTTGAAGATACTCTTTAGCTTTGTCGTATTGCCCGAGCGAATAAAACACACTACCTAGGCTTCCGTAGTCAGCTGCTACTCCTTCTCTGTCGCCAATCTCAGTTCTGATGACAAGCGCTTTTTGAAGATACTCTTTAGCCTTGTCGTATTGCCCGAGCGAATGAAACACAGTACCTAGGTTTCCGCAGCATGATGCCTCTCCTTTTCGGTCGCCAATCTCAGTTCTAATGACAAGGGCTTTTTGATGATACTCTTCAGCCTTGTCGTATTGCCCGAGCGAATGAAACACAGCACCTAAGTTTCCGCAGCATGATGCCTCTCCTTTTCGGTCGCCAATCTCAGTTCTAATGACAAGGGCTTTTTGGAGATACTCTTTAGCCTTATCGTATTGCCCGAGCGAATGAAACACAATACCTAGGATTTCGTAGTCAGTTGCTACTCCTTCTCTGTCGCCAATCTCAGTTCTGATGACAAGCGCTTCTTGAAGATACTCTTTAGCCTTGTCGTATTGCCCGAGCGAATGAAACACAGCACCTAGGTTTCCGCAGCATGATGCCTCTCCTTTTCGGTCGCCAATCTCAGTTCCTATGACAAGCGCCTTTTGAAGATACTCTTTAGCCTTGTCGTATTGCCTGAGCGAATGAAACACTGTACTTAGGTATCGGTAGTCAGCTACTACTCCTTCTCTGTCTCCAATCTCAGTTCTGATGACAAGCGCTTTTTGAAGATACTCTTTAGCCTTGTCGTTTTGCCCGAGCGAATGAAACACAGTACCTAGGTTTCCGTAGTCAGCTGCCATTCCTTTTCTGTCGCCAATCTCAGTTCTGATGACAAGCGCTTTTTGAAGATACTCTTTAGACTTGTCGTATTGCCCGAGCAAATGAAACACAGTACCTAGGTTTCCGTAGTCAGCTGCTACTCCTTTTCTGTCGCCAATCTCAGGTCTGATGACAAGCGCTTTTTGAAGATACTCTTTAGCCTTGTCGTTTTGCCCGAGCGAATGAAACACAGTACCTAGGTTTCCGTAGAATAATGCCTCTCCTTTTCTGTCGCCAATCTCAGGTCTGATGACAAGCGCTTTTTGATGATACTCTTTAGCCTTGTCGTATTGCCCGAGCGAATGAAACACAGTACCTAGGTTTCCGTAGCATAATGCCTCTCCTTTTCTGTCGCCAATCTCAGTTTTGATGACAAGCGCTTTTTGATGATACTCTTTAGCTTTGTCGTATTGCCCGAGCGAATAAAACACACTACCTAGGCTTCCGTAGTCAGCTGCTACTCCTTCTCTGTCGCCAATCTCAGTTCTGATGACAAGCGCTTTTTTGAAGATACTCTTTAGCCTTGTCGTATTGCCCGAGCGAATGAAACACAGTACCTAGGTTTCCGCAGCATGATGCCTCTCCTTTTCGGTCGCCAATCTCAGTTCTAATGACAAGGGCTTTTTGATGATACTCTTCAGCCTTGTCGTATTGCCCGAGCGAATGAAACACAGCACCTAAGTTTCCGCAGCATGATGCCTCTCCTTTTCGGTCGCCAATCTCAGTTCTAATGACAAGGGCTTTTTGGAGATACTCTTTAGCCTTATCGTATTGCCCGAGCGAATGAAACACAATACCTAGGTTTTCGTAGTCAGTTGCTACTCCTTCTCTGTCGCCAATCTCAGTTCTGATGACAAGCGCTTCTTGAAGATACTCTTTAGCCTTGTCGTATTGCCCGAGCGAATGAAACACAGCACCTAGGTTTCCGCAGCATGATGCCTCTCCTTTTCGGTCGCCAATCTCAGTTCCTATGACAAGCGCCTTTTGAAGATACTCTTTAGCCTTGTCGTATTGCCTGAGCGAATGAAACACTGTACCTAGGTATCGGTAGTCAGCTGCTACTCCTTCTCTGTCTCCAATCTCAGTTCTGATGACAAGCGCTTTTTGAAGATACTCTTTAGCCTTGTCGTTTTGCCCGAGCGAATGAAACACAGTACCTAGGTTTCCGTAGTCAGCTGCCATTCCTTTTCTGTCGCCAATCTCAGTTCTGATGACAAGCGCTTTTTGAAGATACTCTTTAGACTTGTCGTATTGCCCGAGCAAATGAAACACAGTACCTAGGTTTCCGTAGTCAGCTGCTTCTCCTTTTCTGTCGCCAATCTCAGTTCTGATGACAAGCGCTTTTTGGAGATACTCTTTAGCCTTGTCGTTTTGCCCGAGCGAATGAAACACAGTACCTAGGTTTCCGTAGAATAATGCCTCTCCTTTTCTGTCGCCAATCTCAGGTCTGATGGCAAGCGCTTTTTGATGATACTCTTTAGCCTTGTCGTATTGCCCGAGCGAATGAAACACAGTACCTAGGTTTCCGTAGCATAATGCCTCTCCTTTTCTGTCGCCAATCTCAGTTTTGATGACAAGCGCTTTTTGATGATACTCTTTAGCCTTGTCGTATTGCCCGAGCGAATAAAACACACTACCTAGGCTTCCGTAGTCAGCTGCTACTCCTTCTCTGTCGCCAATCTCAGTTCTGATGACAAGCGCTTTTTGAAGATACTCTTTAGCCTTGTCGTATTGCCCGAGCGAATGAAACACAGTACCTAGGTTTCCGCAGCATGATGCCTCTCCTTTTCGGTCGCCAATCTCAGTTCTAATGACAAGGGCTTTTTGATGATACTCTTCAGCCTTGTCGTATTGCCCGAGCGAATGAAACACAGCACCTAAGTTTCCGCAGCATGATGCCTCTCCTTTTCGGTCGCCAATCTCAGTTCTAATGACAAGGGCTTTTTAGAGATACTCTTTAGCCTTATCGTATTGCCCGAGCGAATGAAACACAATACCTAGGTTTTCGTAGTCAGTTGCTACTCCTTCTCTGTCGCCAATCTCAGTTCTGATGACAAGCGCTTTTTGAAGATACTCTTTAGCCTTGTCGTATTGCCCGAGCGAATGAAACACAGCACCTAGGTTTCCGCAGCATGATGCCTCTCCTTTTCGGTCGCCAATCTCAGTTCCTATGACAAGCGCCTTTTGAAGATACTCTTTAGCCTTGTCGTATTGCCTGAGCGAATGAAACACTGTACCTAGGTATCGGTAGTCAGCTGCTACTCCTTCTCTGTCTCCAATCTCAGTTCTGATGACAAGCGCTTTTTGAAGATACTCTTTAGCCTTGTCGTTTTGCCCGAGCGAATGAAACACAGTACCTAGGTTTCCGTAGTCAGCTGCCATTCCTTTTCTGTCGCCAATCTCAGTTCTGATGACAAGCGCTTTTTGAAGATACTCTCTAGACTTGTCGTATTGCCCGAGCAAATGAAACACAGTACCTAGGTTTCCGTAGTCAGCTGCTACTCCTTTTCTGTCGCCAATCTCAGTTCTGATGACAAGCGCTTTTTGAAGATACTCCTTAGCCTTGTCGTTTTGCCCGAGCGAATGAAACACAGTACCTAGGTTTCCGTAGAATAATGCCTCTCCTTTTCTGTCGCCAATCTCAGGTCTGATGACAAGCGCTTTTTGATGATACTCTTTAGCCTTGTCGTATTGCCCGAGCGAATGAAACACAGTACCTAGGTTTCCGTAGCATAATGCCTCTCCTTTTCTGTCGCCAATCTCAGTTTTGATGACAAGCGCTTTTTGAAGATACTCTTTAGCCTTGTCGTATTGCCCGAGCGAATGAAACACAATACCTAGGTTTCCGTAGCATAATGCCTCTTCTTTTCGGTCGCCAATCTCAGTTCTAATGACAAGCGCTTTTTGGAGATACTCTTTAGCCTTGTCGTATTGCCCGAGAGACTTAAGCAACATTCCTATGTTTCCGTGACAGGATGCTTCTCCTCTTTTGTCGCCAATTTCGGTTGTTATGGTAAGGGCCCTCTGAAGATACTCCTTCGCTTTAAGGTTTTCGCCAAGTTTATGAAACATATATCCGAGTCTTATGCAGGCGCTTGCTTCTCCATTTTTTTCACCAGTTTGTCTCTTTATATTAACTGCTTTTTCATAAAGCTTTTTGGCATCTGTACACCTGTTTTGACTCTCAATTATCTCTGCTAGAGCCATGCTTGCATCTCCTTCTGTTACTAAGTCACCAGTCTGGCTGAGTAAGACAAGCAGTTTCATGCCGTATCTTTCCGCACTGATGTATTCAGAGATACTACGATAAGCGCCGAAAAGAGCAGAATAAATGGCCTCGTATATTAGTGGGAGTCGTGAAATGAATTGGTCTTTGCTGTTTTGATCGGTGTTATTTAGCAAAATCAAACATTCGTTCCATATCTCAATGGCTTTCTGAATGCGATCTGAGTTGAGCAGGAACAGGCCAACTACTACGGCGATGTACATGAAAGCTATCATGGCTTCCGTCTGCTGTTTGGTTTCCATTGCCATCGTCTCCTGTTATTAAGGAAACATTACTTTTAGTAACACAAGTTAACCAAGTGATTCGCTAATCTGGATTCATAATGAGTCACTACAAACAGGGACCCACATGTGAAGTTACAAAAACGGGCTGAGTCGATTACACCTGGAAACTTCTTGTAACGAGCTGAAAGTGTTAGAATTCAAAATATCGACTTAACACAAAAAAATAAGTGAAGAAGAGGCGTGGATAAGTACAACTGAAGTACATCACAACGGATCACATTCGGTAAAACTTGTCAAATCAGTTTGACCTGCACAGTTTTTTTTTTTTTTAAAACGGACTGTGTGACTGTCACACTGTGAGAGTCAACTTTTATCCGAGTGATTTTTGATCTAGCTGTTTTGCTTGTTCATCTTATCAAGTAAAAAAAATAAAAGACGCGCGCTTGAGTTGACTAATGATCGTGCGTCGAGGGCTCGCGCCATCAATTGGGAGCTTTTTAAAGGTCGCGGGTTTCTTAAAAAGAAAAAAGGGTATCACGACCATGACACGCTTGTGTACATAGAGGTTACTTCATGGAAAATGCGCGCGTACGATTTTTATTCACGAGTTGTGTAGTATCAGAAAGCGAACGAGTGAGTTTTCTTATACGTATCAACGAGTGAATGAAAATCGTACAAAGCATTTTCCATGCTGTAATGTGTTTATTTCATAGGTGCTGAGATTTTTTCGTGTTGTCTTTGGTAGACAAATAGCACAAATGGGGCGATGGACAGCGTAAAAAGTAGTTTAAAAATTTCTCAACAACAAGTTAATAAAAGTGCATAAAGTTCATAACACTTAAGCTTTCCTGTGTTCATCAGATATCAATCAAGTTCAATGTCTATTAATACATATTATAATAAAGTTCGGATATAACGTGCGCTGTCATTGGTTGAAAGAGCGTGCTCTATGAGAGTATAGAGCATAGAGCTGAGCTAAAGCTGTCACGCCATCTGCCAATTGTACTGTGTTCGAGCTTTTCCGGGACTTCTTTTTAGCTTTTTTCCGATAATTGAAAGTGAAATTTCGGAACTGAAGCGAGCCGGCAAGTAGCAACAAAAGAATCAAACAAAGGTTTGTAAACATACTAGGCGCCGTAATTTACGTTATTAAAACGTGAGCAGATACGAAAATCCTCAAAGGAAAAACAAAATAAACATTCCGAGTTTTAAAGATTTTCACGCTCAGTTAAATTGCAAGCTTACGTACGGTAATAAAAATCAAACACAGCTAACATTCGAAAAGTATATAAAGTTCAGTGTTAAAAAACAAAACAGAACAAAATAGAAATTATGACAAATATAACCAAACTGGCAATTGTTAAAATTCATACTAATCATGACGGTGTCTGAGCGAATATTATCATGCTAAGTTCATCGCAGCTCGCTCATCATGGCGATCTCCGGTCATCACAGTAAAGCAAGCCTCAGAAACTACATCGGCCACCCTTCGAGTGAAAAAATAAGAGCTTGCTCTGATATCCCTTCCGATACCTTGAGTGGAAAGTCACATCAGTCAGTGCAGCCGAGTTTTGCGGCGCTGTCATCACGAGCGATCTTCATGTTCCAGTGAATTCGGCTATCGTTCATTCAAAAAACACTCGCCTTGAACCGTTTTTTTTCGACCTTGTCATGTGAAAAAACTCGCGTGTTTCTATGAGCCATAATTCGGCTGAAGTTCACTGAACATTTCACTACAAGATTCTGTATTAGAGACTTAAAAACTTCAGGCAAAAGTGTTAAATTCGACTTGCCGAACTATTTTAGTTTGTAAACTATCGTAGAATGTGAACTTTTGATGGTTTGACACTTTTGACAGCTTTAGTCTTGTACAGCCAATCAGATTATTTGAACCATTCTAACAAGGATTCTTATTGGCTTATTGTAGCGTGCTTTATGAGAGTATAGAGCATGCTGACGACATTGTTGTTCGCTTTGGAAATAAAGTTTGTTTTGAAAATTGAAAGTAATGCTTGGGTAATTTAACGGATTCTTTATTATAAATCAAATAGAGAAGCCTTGACTGTGCTCTGTTCTGTTATAAAGCACTTAGGAAGCGGCTAGAGCACTCAAGAAGTGGGAAGAAACACTCGACTACGTCTCGTGTTTCTCCCTACACTTCTTTCGTGCTCTAGCCGCTTCCTGCGTGCTTTATAACAGAACAGAGCACAGTCAAGGCTTCTCTATTTGTTAATCAAACTCTTTCCCCAGTGTGACGAACATTTGTTTTTCTCGGTTCCAGGTGTACGCAACCACTAACCCCACGTAATGCGCATGCTCTCCGTTACGAATTTTCAAAATGGCGGACAAGCCAAAGAAAGAAAAAAACAAAGCGATTTTGCAATGAATACTCAACATAAACCCTCGTTAGAAAGGCGAATCCACAGAGGAAAGATACAAAACTGTATGATACTGAGATCGATATGATATTAAATCGATACCGAAAGCCCGTTTCCAACTTGCTAAGAAGCGCATTTAATTGCCTTCCGCCACGATCACTAGCTTTCTTGACAGCCTTCTGAAGACAGAATACCTTCTTTCTAAAGACTTCTAATGTGCGGCTATTGATTATTACACCTCGTATACCTGATTGCTCAAACACTTTGTTTACGATTGTTGAAAGGACCGATTCATGGTTCTCCGTCTTCGTCTTTACATTGCTTTGAAATAGTATAGATTAGTAAGCTGAAACGAAAAACTAATCAGGGATGTTTACGAAAAATCCAGCAAACAAGCTTAAAAAAGGCATTTATTTAGACTTCGTACTTCAACGAACTTCACAAATCTTACTTGTTCATCTTGTTAGTAAACGATGGCAAAAAAATCAAAAATCAAAAGGAGGAAGATACAGCTGTTTTGAAACGCCATTTGACGAGGGAAAATCTGCTTTTTGTTCAACACTTTACATATCAAAACAAAGGAAATTTGTTCCTCTTTTTGATTCTGGCGGTGTATTTTTAATTTGCGCCTGCGTAAAAGAGATATCGCCCGAGACCCTTCGCTCGGTCGTGTTTTGATCAAAAACGCTTTGTTAATTTCACGCAACCGCTCGGAGAAAAGGTAAAAATGACGAGGGAAAAACTTTACCTTCAAGTTAGAAAATTAGCGAAATAGAAAGCCACAATATTATAGTTTAATATTTCAGAGGTACATTGAGTGCTTTTTCCGTAGAGAATCCGCACAATGGTAAAACATTCGAAAATTACACTCGATTTGAGTGGGGTGTTGAAGTGGGCGTGGTCACTACATTCATTTTAAGACTATTTGTACCCCATGCGTTTGATATGTATAATAAAGGAAGCCATGCCAACAAACTACTTAGTGTCATGTAAAGAAAGTCAATATTCAGTTATCATCAGAGTCACTTTCCAGTTCTCGTACTCGTTGCCATCTTTAGTGCTTACGGAGATAATAAATTCGCTAATGAATTTGTTCAACTCAGCCGCTGGAATATCTTCAATTTTCCTGTCTTCGTCCTTCGTTTTCAAAAATCTTTCAGGCAATCTTACATCTCTTTCATTTTTTTGAGCGGTATTTTTGTTTTCGTGTTCTAAAATGAATTCTTCAACTGAGTAAACAGAAGCGAACCTTCCCTCGGCCATTTTTCAAAGCGCGCGGGTTTTGTGCAACGGCTCTCGCATGACGTTCTCTTCAGTACGTTCATTCATCATTAGTGAAATTTCGTCGTTCGCGTTGCTGATTGGACGAACGATAATTTTTCACGGTGAAATTTTGTCGTTCGTACTCCTGATTGGCTACATTTAGAATCAGTACGAATTTTATTCACTACGATTTTTGTGGGTAAATCTCAGTACCCATGAAATAAAATTCGAATCTGCCGCGATCTCTGAATCGTTCGTTGATCTCATAAAATCAAGTCAAATTAAAAGCTAATGCAGGTCAAAGCCACTGGAAAACCACGTAATGAACCACCACGGATTTCCTTCAGCGAGGAACAGTCCACAACATAGATAGAGGTCTGATTTTATTTTTATAATCATCAATTTCTCAAATTGAACGATACTCAATAACCTTAGTTAACGAGGATAAATTATACGGTATAAGCCACAGAGATTTGAAAAAGTCGCCGTAGAATGAGTCTATTTCATTGTGGTGGCGATTCAATTGCGCCATTAACCGCTTTAACGAAGGGCTAACGCTCGAAACCAGTCAACTTCATATTGCAAACACAAAGATCCAAAAAGCATTTACTGGGCTTTGCCATAAGAGCCTTACCTCTCTACAGCTACTAAATAACGATAGTTGATAAAAAGCAAGTGACTAGAAAAGATTTCCAATCGCACTTACCAAGATGTTGACAACGTGGCTGATGCTTTGAAAATGAATCAACAAAAATTAACGAATTACAGTCGGGACTTTTCTCAACCTTCCAAACTTCTGCTGTCGCAGTGTTTTGGGTATCCAGATCACTTGTGTTTTAGGTTATTCTCTTCCCCCCTCCAGGCTAATCGAAATAAAAAGGAAAGTTTTAATTGTATAATTTTTTTGTGTGCTCCTATACCTATTTATTGCGTCCTATTTTGGTTGAAATTTTCAGCAGATAGTGGTCATATGATAAAGTGCTTATTGATGTGAATTTGGTTTAACTCTCGTTCACGAAGCAAGGACCTCGCTGTGCTTGGTCCGTAGGTTAGGACCCCGAGCCAAATATTAGTTCCTGTCCGACCCTACCACTCAAGCAATGAGTACACAATATTTGGGTTTTGTACGTCACACTATCATCACTAATGATGTAATTGAACATGAAAAATGAAAAGTGTTATTCTTTTTTACTCTTTTTTAATAGGGAGCGTCAGGCTTTAGTGTGGGCCTCTTTGAAAGGTTTGATTTTCATCACAAGATCGACCACAGTACAACCTAAGTTTCTTTCTTTAAACGGTTAACTATTTGTGCGTGACAATCGACTCCTGGTCTTCGTAAACTTTTCACTTTCTGGCGAGTGTGATTTGCATGATCGAAGCCAGAAATGCTAAAAAAACTAAGTGACTGTATTTCGGTTTGGCACGTTACACTTTTATAACTAAGGATGAGAAATGAAACATTTTACCCTGTTTATGATGGGAAACGTCAGGCTTCAGTGTTCATCCCTTTAGGAACGGTTGGATTTGCATCACGAGATCGATCAGATCGAGAGTACAAATTAAGTTTCTGCCTTTAAACGGTAAACTATCTGTGCAAGAAAACTGACCCGTTGTACTCATGAACTTTTCATTTTCTTGCGAGTGTGATTTGCACGATCGAAGACAAAAATAGTAACTTTTGTAATACATAAAAAAACGGACGGAATGGATCGGTAATTTGCTCGAAAATAACTTCATCACTTGTCTTAACTTTAAGGGGAATTTTAATACAGTGACTGAAATATGGCAACAAACAAAAACCAAATGACAGAGAAAGGAGGTAGCTTGACTTTCAGTGATAAACAATAGTTATAGTAAATAGTTTAACATATTTCTTTTAGGAAGAGGAGAGACGTGGAGAAAATGGACTGGACCACAGTTAAGTTGTAGGATCCGCGCATCCGGAAGGCACTCTCTTGAAAACTCCTAGCGGAATTTCGCGCTGCTTTAACCTTTTTATTCCCTCTTTTCCTCGGACAATTGCAAGAAACTTGTAACTAGAGGGCACTAACACCGAGCGATTATTTGAATGATAAAAATTATATATGGCTTTGGTTCTTCCCTGTCTTCGAAAAATAACAAACAATTGCAAGCTTGACAGGCTTGCTTCCCGTTTAATTTAGTATTGATGTCAACATTACCTGATTTCTCCAAATACGGGGAAACTTCGTGTTCCAAGGCTACACGGTCAAAGCCAAACAAGTCACAATTGAGAATTATGGGCTCACTGTAGTAGAGGGAGGATCTCAATGGGGTGATGGCTTTTACGGCTGAAGGTTCCAACTCAAGCGAATGAATTTCGGTTTCTTACGTCACGCTTTTATAACCAATGATGGAATTGAAAATGTAAAAATAACTTATTTCATTAATTTTTAACAGGGAACGTTCAAACGTCAAAACAAAGCCATGAGGACTATTCTGGGGGCCAACAGAACCACCTGCACACAATATGTGAGGAACAGTCTAGGGCTGTTAACCACCTGCACACAATATTATTGTATAGTTATTAACATTATACAAAAGAGACGATTCCTCAGATTTGTTTTTATTTTTAGGATTGTACACGACTAAAACTTCCCCAAGCAACAAGAGGTTTACCTAACCAGTGGGGTTGAGCTCCAAAACAGAAATCTACGGAACCAAGGCACTCTCGACGTACTACAATCTAAGACTTCTTCAGGAAGAAAGACTTTCCAAATTGCTGGTGCAAGTGACTGGAACTCGCTTCCCTCAGAACTTAGGATAGGCTCTTTTTAAATTAAAATTGATGCATCTTTTTATTTATGTGTCCTTTTAAGCAGCGCGATATGTCTGTTATGACCAGGGTGCCAAATTTTATTCTTTAATTTTGATCTTCTCCACACTGTGCATAGTTCATGACCTGATATTTCAACGTAAATTATCGAGAAGGCGCCTTCCGATCACCTTTGTCTACTTTGTAAGTCACGCAAGCACGCTAGCGTTACGACCGATCACGTTTACGCAACGTTTTAGGACAACTTGGCATCTAATCTCCTCACAGTTGCAGTGAAAACCTAAAATCCTCAACGTAGAAGATAAACGAACAAAGTTTGAACTGTCAAAAGGAGATCTAGGTCTATTCCAAGAATCATGCAAATGATCTTTGACACGAGCGCAATTGAGCAAACACGTGGATTTGCATTGTTTTTAAGAAGTTGATGGATGGAAGTTAGAGATATAACCGCGGGTTTGAGGCAATCCATGACCTCATTGGTGTATAAACTATGCACTGATATGCTTTTTCAGCCCGATTAACGCCTGCATTTTGAGAGTTCTTTCGTACAAAGTAGTGAATTTTTGACATGCAAATTAAGGTCAAAGAGAAGGGTCTCCTGTGATCACGGTGGTATGAAAAATATTTCAGCTGAAGTTTCCATATTTTGTCTGTGAACTAACTGAATACACCTAGTAACTTGTAGCAAGATAGAATTCCGTGAGCTACATTGTTGCAGTCGCTGCGCGCTGGACAAAATCTTTGAAATTTACACTTTCGATCGCTGTTCATAGGGGTGGTCTGGCCAAAAATCATTTTTGGCCTGTGGCGACGCAAAAAGAGAGAATTGGAGAACAACTAAAATCTTTTTGAAACATGTGTCCTAAACCCTTTTTATGGGCAAAAAATAAAAGAAAACTTTTTTCCGACGGGAAGTCGAGAGGACCGCTCTTAGAGGGAGTGGCACTTAATAGCTGAAGTCACATTCCCTTTGCTTTTCTCCTAAGGGACCGGTCATTATTTATCGCCTGGGGAGGGGTCGGAGTATTTAGGGGGGGATCACATGGTTTTTTGAAGACCTTTAGGGGGGATCAGCCGTAATTGACAAGCATAATGGGGGGGATCAGACCAAAAAAAAAGGAATTTTAGGTCGCGCCGGGACCCCGGGTGATTGCCATTGATGATCTGTTTAAAGAGGAAGTCGATTCCATGGAAAAAGATGCGAGAAAGGACAGGATTTTAAGGGTAACCAGTTCATGTAAACATGGTCTTGAAGTTCTCGGAGATCTCTGCCTTCCACCTGTAAAGCCACGATGGGCTGACCTTACAGATGCTGGTCCGGGCGTGGGAGTTTCCAACTACGAAGTTAGATTTCGAGACGCCGAGTTAGCAAGGGTTTACAATTCCGATTATAGAGTGCGATGTCATCGTTCGAGGGGCGACAGCGGGCAAGGTGAAGCCGAAAGGACAAACTCGGCAATTTCTGATGCTCTTGTGGATGGCGCAACTCTAGAGTGGGAAAAATATAGGAGATTTGAGGATCTTTCAGAAGAGGAAATCAAACAACTGTCTCTCCAGTCATACGAAGAGTACGAAAAGAAACGGATGGAGAAAAATGCCTGGTATGTCTGTAGTCAGGTAGCCGAGAGAATTGATGATGCCCCTGTCCTTAAAGATTACATCAAGAGCAAAGTAAGCGAGTCCCCTGATGAATTATTCTTTTTCAATTCTGTTTACCTCGACAACTATCGGGGTGCATCAGAACGAAACAAAGAGCAAGCGCCCGGTGCAGCATACTTCCGAAAGATCGAATCGTTTATGGAAGACCACTATATTCGTGGAGAACTTTTTATGGAATTCTGTCGTGATGCCCGTAAAGAGTCAAGAGAAGAAAGTTCCAATCTCTGTTCCTGGTGTTCTAACAATAGATGGGTCGGTCCAGAAACGGAAAGAATTCCGCAACCTGTACCAGATTCAAACAATCCTGGACATTTCATGGATATCTATCAGACGGAATCGACGGGCAGGACACCAGATGATTACCTTCCAAGAAAATGTATTAAAGATCTGTACGAGGAACATTCTGACAGTATCAGAAACGATCAGGATACCATGAAGAGCTTCTGCTCAAAATATAATGTGGAAGAGAAGCACGTCATTGCATATGTTAATCATTTGAAGGATATTGAGATCCGAAAGGACATCAGAACAAGAGCAGCTCAGGAGCGAAGAAGGCAAGAGGCCGAACGAACGTACAAGGACTTTCAATGGGATAACCTCATCGAGGGTGGCAAAGTTGAAAAGTTGCGGGTAAGAGAACTAGACCTGTATCTCAACAAGCATGGTTTGACGACTGTGGGTCGGAAACTTGACAAAGTGAAGGCCATTCGATGTCACTATTACCGACAGAATAAAGCGACTGTGATAACAGAAGAACTGTCGAGTGATGAAGATGACGTGGAATCCGAGGATGAAGAATCCGAAAGTGGAGAGGCAGAGAGAAACGATGACTATGTTTTCGTGGATTTGAATGAACAGCCTGAGATTGGCACTTCCTCGACAATTCAGTTCGTATCTGACGAGCAAATATTTACCGTTGTGGTTCAAGGTCCATGAGACGTAAGTACCACTATTAAAATATCACTTGCATATTGAAAAAGTTATTTGGCGGTGGCTGGGAGAAAAGGGGGGGGGGGATCATGAAACTTTCCACTACCGATAAGGGGGGATCTCTAAAAAACTAGATACTCTACGGGGGGATCAGGTAAATGCTCCGATGTGACAACAAAAATACTCCGACCCCCCCCAGGCGATAAATAATGACCGGTCCCTAATCTAGTTTTAAGATAGAGGAATTGTTATTTAACGTTTCTCTTCTCTCGACTGTTTTGTTTTCATAATTTTGACAAGACGCTTACTATGCTTACACATGGGACTCTTCAAAGTACAAGAATGAAATCTAAATATTAAGGCAAGGAGCACGGGACTGATTTTCATATATGACTACGACGACACTCAAGTGAATTTTTAATAAGGTCTACCGCAGGCACACATTTGGTTTGGTGCTGATCTGCAATCAGGATCACCTTACTTCCCGGAGTCGATCGGCGATGCATCAGTGGCCCAATCCCCCGAGATGAATTTTATATATTTACCTTTTATCTTTTTTTGAAAAATAATTACACAACTAAATACCCCTCAATTGGGACTAGAAATCCCATAACTAATTAAATGAGAGTTGATATTTCAAAAGTAAAATTATCTTCGCCTGTAATAGACACTTTCATAATCCTGTAGATTTTGCTTAAGTGTATCATTTCAAATATAGAACCAGCAGGCAAGTTCCCATTACGGGCGAAGAGGCATGTGTTGCAGTTTGGCAGTATGATCAGTTGTGAAACTGGCAGATCAGCTCTTAATTATCTTTTTCATGGTTGTTACTGCGGTTTGGGTGGAAAAGGAACACCTGTAGACGGGGTTGACAGGTAAGTTAACTTTCGATATGTAAAAAGCTGATGAAGTAGAAACTTTCTTGGCAGCTCTCGTGAGTGGTTAGCTACACTAATAACCTCCTTTGTAATGCCTGTCGGAACTGCCATATTACCAACTCACTGCATATTTCCTTAAGCTGTTGCAGACACTTTTTTAGTTACGATCTAGAACTTTCCTTTCTCTTTAAGCCCCTGTAAGAAGAAGCCCTAAAGCAAGTCCCTTCATTTTCTCGCGCTTACTTAATTCCAAGGAACATGATCAATTTCCGAACTTTATTGATTCTTAGTGTTGTTTACTTCTGTGAAGTCCAATAAATAAACATAATGAGATACAAGGGTAGAAAAGTGTTTGAGATCAATGTTTGTAAAAAAAATTTCTCTCTTGCAGGTGCTGTAAGGAGCATGATGAATGTTACGATCGCGTTAAAGACTCCGAAATCTGTTTTTTTGACCTTGATGTTTACATCGATGTTTACAGAAGGGTCGGATGCAGCGGATGTGGTATGGAATAATACATTTTGCTTTCTTTCCTTCTTTCTTTGCAAATTGTATAGCCAGAGTTAAAAGATTTAGTCATGATATGAGTCTTGGCTGCCTGCAAAGTCATTCTAGTTTGGCAAGATATGAATTGTTGCTATTGTTGTCAATAATCATTGATATAAATTTTTTTTCCAATGTTTCAGCCAGTAGACCAAGCAATAATGCATGTGAACTTGCCATCTGCAAATGTGACAGTGCTGCAGCTAAATGTTTGGGCAAGAACACATTCGATTCGCGGTACAAGTATTATCCCAATTTCCTATGTTAAGAAAAAATTATGGAAAAGAGTGACAACCTCTCACTCAAACACTTGTAAATGTTAATGTTATTAAAGCAAATAAAAAGTGACTTTAGATGTGCAAATATACTTTCAGTCATTGGCGCACAAAAATCTTTTTTAGATTATCCTCACTTGAACGATCGGACCACAAGATCAACGGTTATTCTCGGCTTCAAACAATTCACAGTCGAAAACTTGTTTCCTCAAAATTGTTTTTTGAATTTGCTTGTTATAAAACGAATAAAATCTTTCCATGTTTCATTCCAGAGCCATAATGTATAATACATAAACGTGCTGGGTTCACAAGCCACCCAGTAATTTTTAGCGGGTTGGGACAACTCTTTCTTCCCAGGCTTTCTCTGAACGATTTCCGCAACGGAACTTATATATAATCAAATACCACGCACTCTGCGCTAGGCTTCTCTACTTCGTAAGAAACGGATTACCTTCAACAACTTAAGCTTTCAAAATGGTGATAGTGGCAACAACGATCGAAACAAGAAAATACCATCCACAAAAAGCCTATAGAAAAATAAATATAATATGACGAGTTAATGGACAAAACTTTGGATCTATTAAAGCTAACTGTTCCTGCTATTCATTAGTGCTGTAACTGATTTCCTTCTCAAATTGGAGGCAATTCTTCTCGAAAACTCTTGCAGGAATTAGCGAAGACTTAGGCCGAGTTCACATAGCCTCATCTAAACACGACAGAGGTTGGGAGAATATAATTCAAAGTAATAAAGAATGTCTCGTGGAGGACATCATAAGAATCCAATATTACCTTGAAAAACGCTTACTGTGCATTTTGTTGCCTATTTCGTCGTCTTTGCTTGAGTTCCCTCGACGAGATCATCCTTTCTTTTGCTTTTTTTGACGGTGGGGAGGGGAGGGGGGCGATGATAAAGACCAAATCAAAATTTGGCTACTCTTCTCCATTTCCTTAACATTTATACTTGAAGTTTTTTGCGATCGTTGCAAAAGCCTTGAAATATTTTCAAATTGTGCTGTAAAACAAAAATTGTGACGTTACAAACCATGTTTCATACTTCCATCTAAACACATTAATCGAGCAATGAGAGCGCCCGCTCTATCTAGATATTTTATAAAGCTACACAGCTTTCCACTGTTGAATGAAAAGTGCTTTTACTAAATGATCTTTCCCTCTAACTTAACTGTTCTGAAAGGTCATCGTAACTGCGCGTTCTATAATGGCTTAGTGATAACTGCTGATCATGAACAATGCACCAATCACACGCAGCGCTAACTCCCTTAAAGCGCGGCCGGCACAGCCTCAATTTAATTAATGTTTTTAATTAAGGAGGAAGTAGTGACTGGCTAAATTTCATCAGTTTGTCAGAAATGAACGAACAAATGATTATTGGTAAGGGCGTTGTAAAAACGAGGTAACTCTTTCTATGTATATTTATCATTACTTTAGAGTAAATGTGATAATAATTTTAACATACTTGTCGTCCGACGGGCGGTCAGTTAGTTCTAAAATAGACAGTGGGCAAGCTCACGCTCAATGGAGATCACAGCTATTGACAGCGAGCGAAAATCATCTGCCCTCTCAGTTTACCTATGTTTTTCCTCTGCTCACCCCGCCTGTTTTCTCGCCCCACTGACTGAGATCTTAGAGGAGATACTGCTGCTAGAGAGCAGGATTTAATTAGCAATACAGCAAAAGCAGCGAGGCCCACAAGATTCGAGTCGGTGATCGAATTGCGAGAAGTCTGAGAAGGGTCCGTGCGAGACTCCTCGAAAAAATCTCGCTGAGTCGGACCGAGTTGAAATGTAAAAGCAGAAACTCAGCGGAAAACTTTAAGATGAACTGTATATTTTCGCTAGTAATCAATTGATTTCTCGAGAAGTTTACTCTTGCTTCCATATTCCTAACGGCTGCACTTGACTGATCATCCTCTCAAAACTGAAGCAGAATATTTCCTCAGTCACTGAAGGTCACGTAGGAATGTGCACAAAGTTCCTGACATGTTGAAGTATACCATTCTTTCTCATCTATACCAAGTTGCAACATCTCGCTGAGAAGTAACAATTCGCAATATAAAAGCGGAAACTCAGCGGAAAACTGTAAGTTTAACTTTATATTTTCACGAGTAATCGATTGATTTCTCGAAAAATTGACTCTTGCTTCATCTGTTCTTAACTGCACTTGAAAGATAATCCTCTTAATACTGAAACAGTATACTTCCTCAATCATTGAAGGTCACGTAAGAACGTGCGCAAAGTTCCTGTCATGTTGAAATATGTTACAAGTCTACTCCGACTTTCATATGTAAAGGAAAGTGAACTGAACGGAATCTTGCAACGGTGGAATCTTAGCAATTATTTCACGTGCAAGTTTTATGATGTATTGACGATTTCGTTGAATGTTTATCGGTGTCAAAGTAATACTTTCCGTTTACACTTTTCTTTCCGGTTAAGGGAATAGTATAAACTAACGTACACTTACTCAGAAACTCAGAACACAAAATGCAGTACGTTAAACATTTCCATTTTAATTACTTTTCAAATCGATGTTGTGGATAACCGAAATTGGACACCTAAAATCAAAGAAAATCGTGCACAAAACGGCATACTAAAATTCTCCGCGCTACACATCCCTTTCCTTTAAGGCTAAAGGCAAAGTAACAGCTAATTATAGATTACCTAACGTTCTTGGGAACGCAGTACGTGCTTGAACTGTCGAAGAAGAACCTCTTGATTATTAAAAGCCTCCAGGAGTTTTCAAAACTGCTGTTGAATCGAACTACGAAGAGTGCAAACTTCGATCACTTGCCTGGTGCAGAAAGTTTTGAGAAAATTAACCTAGAAATCATGATAATTTGATGAGTGTTGATGCACCGTTAAATTTTAGATGCCTTTATTCTGATCCGTTTGGTTAATTTTTCTTATTTTTCAGGTCTTTCGTTATCTTTTTGTATTAGTACTTGCTGTTTTCACTATCCTGAATATTGAGGAAGCTCAAGGTAAATCAATTTTCAACGAGTAAAGCTATTTTTTTTTCTTTTTTTTTTCTCAGTGATTTGATTTAATAATACAGAAACTCAAGGAGAAAATTCATTTTCATGACAAAAGATTTCATGTTGGTGATTTAGAATGTGGTTGTGCATTGTGTGACTTGGACCGAAGCTAAGCTTGTAATCAATGTTTTGAAAGCTGTCTTAGGTGAACACACAGAGTCATGATTGTGAATGTTTGGCGATTGAATTTTAGGTGACTGCTATAAAACATGGAGCAGGTGCTCGAGATGGAGTAGCTGGGGCACTGGAAGATTGTGGAAGACCTGCAATGATAAGTAAGTATTGAATCACGAATTCTTCGTTTGTAACTTGATGTCATTGTGAGCAGGCCTGATTAGACCTGGCCGGAAATATAGACAACAAGCTATTCAGAAAAAGAAAATTAGCCACAAGTATTGAAAAGTAAAATCATGATCCGAGGAAATGGTCAAAGCTGAACAAATAAAACTAAATATATAGACAACTTGAAGCCAGGTTCAACTACGCGAGGATACAAAAAGGTGTAATAAACACTAGTCATACAGAGCACGGCTAGCTGCCCGTTGGTGTAACTGAGCTATTCGGGCGGTGTGCGTTTCCAATTATCGTAGTCCTAAAATTAGGTTGTATAACAAGATTTAAGATTGTCACGAAGGGTTTCATTTTAATTCGCAGATGCATTGAGCTGGGTTACTCTGGTGGAAGTTGTCAGCTCTGTCCCAGCACTTGTTGGATGAGCGACAAAGCTTACCAGTGCAGGTGTTTTGGAACCGGATCCTGTTGAAAACGCATCATGGTTGTTTGGAACAACAACGACAAGATTTTCAAAATATTGCAGCTTTTAAAACAAGATAGATGATTAGTTTTTCCTGTTTAATTTTTAAAGCTAGAGTGGAGTAAAGTGTATGCATAGCCATGTGAATCTTGTTTATGAATAAAATGCTTTGTCATATCGCTGGTTCAGTCTTACTCATCATTTGTTCCTAATTCCTCACGGAATAACGTGTTACAGCCTGACATCGGTATTGAATTTCTCCATACTGTTCTCTGTACTTTCGTATGGTACTTACAAGGAGGATTTCTCTAACAATGGAGATCTTCTTTCGTTGTCGAGAATTTCTTTAATTCTAATGATCCTAATGGGAGAGTAATACTGTAGGGAGAAATTAGATGCTTATCACTCTTAGAGGCTAAGGGGTCCAGTTGCATTCCTTGGCGTCCTTTCCAGTCTTTCTTTTCATGTAGTTATTTGAATTTTGGTTTGGAGGAGATGTTTATTGCACAGCCTTGCAGATATCGGGGTGCGAAAGAGTGTGTTGTGTATTTGATCATTTTGAGAGTGGTATGGTCAATCCACTTTTTAATACTGTTTTGAATATGAAAAATTTTAAAGCAACCATTTCCTCAGATCAAGGTTCTATTTTTCAGTACTTGTAGCTAATTTCTACTCTGACTAGCTTGTTGTGTATATTTTTGGCCATGTCTAGTCAGGCCTGTTCACAATGACATTAAGTTACATACTAAGAATTTGTGAATCAATATTTACCGATCATTGCAGGTCTTCCACAATCTTTAAGTGCCCCAGCTACTCCATTTCGAACACCTGCTCCATGTCTCATAGCAATTACCTAAAATTCAATCGCCAAACATTCACAATCATGACTCTGTGTGTTCACTCTGTGTGTTCAAATGTAATTTACATGTGCAGTCTTGACTAGCTGATTTGCTTGCTTTGTCTAGCTCTAATTCAGGCTGCTTATAAATCAGTAATCGAACAATGGAAATTTTTTCGTAAAAGGCCAAAGTGATTTTAAGGCGGTTTCGAACCGTACTGATAACCAATCGATGTTTTCTGATCATTGCAGTTCCTCCACAGTTTTCCAGTGAGCCACCGACCCTATCGAGAAAATCTGATCTGTGATTTAAAGCAAGTACCTAAAATGAAATCAGCAAATATATATAGTCATAACTCAGCGAGTGCATCTTGAGACAGAATCAAAAAAATAATTTCAAACTCCACTGCAGTCCAAGTAAACTGCTATTTACTGTTCTGCACCCAAAAAGCATTAAACCATCCTTGATCTGTACACAAGTACATTAAACCTTCCTCGATCTGCAATCACAAACATTACTCTTTCCTTGATTTGTACACAAAAACATTAAACTTTCCTTGATCTGACAAAAAAAGGATTAAACCCTCCTTAATTTGCAATTACAAACACGAAACCTTCCTTGATCTGTGCAAAAAAACATTTAAACTTCCTTGATTTGTACACAGAAACATTAAACTTTCCTTGCTCTGACAAAAGGAGCATTAAATCGTCTTTGGTTTGCAATTACAAACACGAAACGTTCCTTGATCTGTACCCAAAAACATTAAACCTTCCTTGACCAGCGATCACAAACATGAAACCTTCCTTGATCTGTAAACAAGAACATTATACATTCCTTGATCTGCAATCACAAATATTAAACATTCCTTGAGAGCTACACTTACAAACACGAAGCCTCCCATGATTTGCACTTACCAACATGAAAGCTAAAGCTGCTGGATACATACTCCGAAGGGTAAGTGTTTTATCACTCAATTGAAAGTGTAAAATAGACTTTCGGACTGAGGCAACATTTTTTGAAGTCATAAGCTTTAAAATTCGTTAAAAAGTATTACCCTCAACAACCGAAGTATTCAAAATGGTGATAACAACAATGAATAACACAAGAAAGTAGTAACCGTGACGAAAAGCCTATGAAAAAATGATAAATGATATTACGAGTAAGTTTCGATTCTATTATAACTATTAGTCCCTCATAAACCTTGTAGCTGATTTCTATCCGTGCTCCATGTGAGCAGGATAATTTCCCGCTAAAAAACATGCAATAAAAGGTTGTAACATGACAATGAGTCGCATTTCGTACCATACTGTTTTCCTTTTGATTGTTTCCGTTTCGGTGTCGCTGGTCTTGAACTGAGTGAAAAATCGATTGAACTGTTGTTATACTGCTGCTAGGTAACTATGGAAACGCACATTCCTTTCGAGATGGGTTCGCAACTTGTAAGTCTCGTACCTGACTCAAATTCCTAATTCACTTTCATTTCCCTATAGTCTTTCCAGCATATTCATGTTTGTGTTGCTCATCGTATCACGCTCACTCCATGCACGATTGGGCGCTAAATCAATGAAGTGTGATGCCCTGTGATTTAAATGAATTGTGGCGATGCATTAAGATAGTAACCCGAGTTTCACTGTTTTTATTCTCAAACTAGCTTCGAGTTTGCGTTCATGATTGTACAGTTTGGCGATTGAATTCTAGGTAATTGCTATGAGACATGGAGCAGGTGCTCGAGATGTAGTAGCTGGGGCTCTGGAAGATTGTGGAAGGTCTGCAGTGATAAGTAAATATTGATTCACAACTTCTTAGTTTGAAACTTGATGTCATTGTGAGCAGGCCTGACTAGACCCGGCCAAAATATAAACAACAAGCTATTTAGAAAAGAAGTTAGCCACAAGTACTGAAAAGTAGAATCATGATCAGAGGAAATGGTCAAAGCTAAACAAAAAATTAAATAAATGAACAACTTGAAGCCAGGTTCAACTAAGCGAGGATGCAAAAGATATAATAAACACTAGTCACACGGAGCACAGCTAGCTGCCTGTTGGTGTAACTAAGCTATTCGGTGTACGTGTCCAGTGAACACAGCCTTAAAATTATGCTGTATTACAAGTTTTAAGATTGTCATAAAGGGTTTCATATTAATTTGCAGTTGCAGAGAGCTGGGTTGCTCTGGGGGAAGTTATCAGCTCTGTCCTAATAAGTGCTAGCTAAGCAGCAATGCTTACCAGTGCAGATGTTTTGGAACCGGATCCTGTTGAAAACGCATCATGGCTGTTTGGAACAACAAGAATTTCAAAATATTGCCGCTTTTAAAACGAGATATATGATTATTGTTTCCTGTTTAATTTTAAAAGCTCCGATTACGTAGAGTGGAGTATAGTGTATGCATAGCCATGTGAATCTTGTTTATGTATCGAATACTTTGTTACATCGCTGGTTCAGCGTTACTCATCATATGTTCCTTTTTCATTGCGGAATAACGTGATTGAAATCTGGGATATGTCACGAGGTTCCTAACTCTTTACAGCCTGACATCGGTATTCAGGTTCTCCTTAATGTTGTCTGTACCTTTCCTATCTTTACTCACAAAGAGAATTTCTTCAACAATGAAGAGCTTCTTTCGGTCTCGAGCCTTTTCTTTATTCTAATGATCCTATTATTTGATTCATAGTGACGCTTTTGGTAGAAATGAGATTCTTATCACTCTTAGAGGTTAAAGGGTTCAATCGAATCCTTGCCGTCGTTTTCAGTCTTTCTTTTTTTATGTAACTGGTTGAATTCTTTTTCCAAGAAGATGTTTAATGCACAGCTTTGCAGATATCGAGATGCGAATGAGTGTGTTGTGTATTTGATCATTTTAAAAGCGCTATAGTCAAATCACCTCTTAATACAGTTTTGAGTATGAAACATTTGTAAGAGAGCATATGAAATAAAATTGCGGACAATTACAGGACTTAACCAGTAGAGTTCTCTTGTTTCTCAAAAATTAAATCTAGTTAGTTAAACACTGATTATTTACCCTTCGCTGTCACTTACTTTTTGCCTAAGTCTCATCAGTTATTGTGAGATCATAGTACTTAAACAAAATTCTAAGATATTTGAAGCGATTTGTAAGCGACTATCAAGTAAAATTGACCATCTATCTATCCTTTTCCCGAAATTAAGTATTTAAAAAAACCAAAAAGTTCCCATATTTTCATAAACTGTTATTTCATCGATGTACTGAAAATGTTTTTATTCTTAGTCTTCTTACTTGGCCCGTAAGAGGGCTGTCACTATTTTCGAAATTCTACTCTTTATAGAAAGTTTCTTTTCTCCTTTTATTGCGTCTTCTTTAAGATGAGTTTCTCAAACCTGAACAGAAAAGCAAGAATTTTGCGAAGAGATCTTCCAAATAAAAAATATTCATTTAGGAAACGAATGACAAGGGGTGAGTGTAATATCTAAGGTGGAAGCCCTCATTTTCCCTCAACTCGAACGTTACATTCGGAGTATATCAATGGTCATTAATCCGACAATGTCACCTAGGAAGACTGATACTTCTCTCCAGGGCAAACTTTACTTTTGTGCAAACGACGTACGAGTCAGTAGCAAACAATTCAAAAGAAACCCCTATCAAGAAGCAGGAAAGTAAAAGGGCACAATTCTCCAGTCTCAAGGGTGAAAAACAGAATAAAACATAAAGTTGACAAGTAGCAAATAAAACATAATAGAAAACATGATAAAAAATGAAGTTGAAATTGAACATTTTGTAAAAACGAGTTTTCAACACACAAATTAAAGTGTGAATGGCAAAAATACTTTCTCATAATTGTTTGATCGTTGAACCACGTATGACTTACATGAAACAACTTACTTTTCATTGGTTTTCCAAATTCAAATATCACGTGATCCGCGATCAATATGATGGGAGCTCATTAAGAGATTTCGTAAAATCCGTTATTTCTCGTCAACTTCATGACCTGTGATTGGTGGATTTGGCTGAGTGGACTTACTATGATTGGCTGCTTCAACTGTTCGATTACAGCCAACTGTCCAATTACAACTGTACAGAACGATTAGTGAAAAAGAACACAGCTTATGCACCAATCACATTCGGGATAATTGTAATGGTTATTGTTAGTGGTAATAGGAGCGAGTGAAGTCCAATCCGGTCTGTAATCATACGAGTGATAAACAAAATCGGAGGACCGCGAAGCGGGAGTCCGATTTGTCAATCACAAGTACACTCAGGAGAATCATCTCCCGTAAAGACAATATCTGAAGTAAAAAATTCCTCCACTTTGAAAAAGGAAGGTTGATAAAGAACGCCTTGGATTTGATCTTGATATTCCTGATTAATTCTTTTTTGGTTTCAGGCTATCGTAGATAGGCGCAGGCTTTAAGCAAAGACGACGCTGAACTTCCAAAGAAAATTATTTTATTATCCATTAGCAAGACTTCACACGGTTTAGTGTACTTTCACCACTCCATGTTATAGGAAGTTTTATACTTCAAGCAAATCTTTAAATTTTATCCTGAGTTAAAAGGCGCAATGTTCCAAGCCAATCAGCACTAACAGAGTCCGGTTCCAAAACATCTGCAACGGTAAGCTTTGCTGCTCAGCCAACAAGTCTTGCGACAGATCTGACAACTTCCTCCATAGTAACCCAGCTCAATACAGCTGCAAAAGCATTGAAATGAAAATGATTATAAAAAATTTTATCATGCTGTTTCAGTGTCATCAGTACATAGTTTCAAAACAACGTTGTAGTTGACCCCAACCCAACCTACTGGAAGCCAGCTCTGATCTCTAAGTTCCACTCTAGAGGTTTGTGGTAAGGCTCGTGATTAATTGATCAAACCTTGTTTCACTCGTGGTTACTTTATACAGGCGTGTTTGTTATCATATCTCATCATGCATACTTGATGTTATTTTGATTGTGTCTTGATTGCTATTTATGCTGTCTTGACTAGCTGACTCGCTTCCTTTGTCTAGCTCTAGTGCAGGCTCCTTATAAATCAGTAATCGAACGATGGAAAATTTTATCAAAGGCAATGTGATTTTAAGGCGGTTTCGAACCGTAATGATAATCAATCGATACTTACTAATCATTGCAGTTCTTCCACAGTTTTCCAGTGAACCACCGACCCCAACGAGAACACCTTAGACGTGATGTAAAGCAAGAACCTAAAATGAAATCAGCAAATATATGTATTCATAACCCAGCGTGCACACCTTGAGACAGAATCGAAAAAATGATTTCAAACTACATTGCAATCTAACTATATTGTTCTGCACCCAAAAACATGTAACCATCCTTGATCTGTGCACAAGTACATTAAACCTTCCTTGGTCTGAAATCACAAACATTACACTTTCCTTGATCTGTGTACGAAAACATTAAACCTTCCTTGGTCTACAATCACAAACATTACATTTTCCTTGATCTGTACAAAAAAACATGAAAAATAGACTTTCGGGCTGAGGCAACATTTTTATCAAGTCATAAGCTTTAAAATTCGTTAAAAAATTATTACCTTCAACAACCGAAGTATTCAAAATGGTGACAACAACAATAGTCAACACAAAGAAATAGTAACCTTGACGAAAAGCCTATGAAAAATGATAAATTATATCACGAGTAAGCTTTGATTCTATTGTAACTATTGGTACTTCATTAACCTTGTAGCTGATTTCTATTCGTGCTCTCCACAAAATAACTAAAACTAGCGTGTAACCGGATCATTTCCTGCTAAAAAAAACATGCAATAAAAGGTTGTAACATGACAATGAGTACCATATTGTTTTCCTATTGATTGTTGCCCGGTGTCGCTGGTCTTGAACTGAATGAAAAATCGATTGAACTGTTGTTATACTGCTGCAAGGTAACTAAGGAAACGCGCATTTCCTTCGAGGTGGGTTCGCAACTTGTAAGTCTTGTATCGGACTCAAATTGCTAGTCCACTTTCATTTCCTCAGAGTCCTATTCAGCATATTCATGTTTGCGTAGCTCATCTTATCACGCACATTCCATGCACGATTAGGCGCTGAACCAATGAATTGTGATGCCCTGTGATTTAAATGAATTGTGGCGATGCATTAAGATAGTAACTCGAGTTTCACTACTTTTATTATCAAAATAGCTTCGAGTTTGCGTTCGAGGAGATCGTGTTTTAGCGTAGCCTATTTCATTTCTCGATGACATCTCTTCCATTTATTGACTGATTTATACTTCAGGGGGCTTTCGAAAACATAGAAAAGATCTTGAATCCAAATTTTTTTCTGCTAAGACAGCTCCCAAGATTGGACTCGACGATATGATTGCTTCGCGTTCAGTGCTGAAACCAGTGTTTCGTCAAAGGATCCAACTCAAAACCAAGAGAAAGTCAAGAAACACCCGCTTAAGTTCTTTATAGCTTTTATAGGTAAGTAATAAAACAACTTGTACAAGAAACAAAGCTTATTTGTCTTTTTTATTTGCACACAACGAATGCACCAAACACATTCGACAACGTCAAAAAGGTTTTATACTTTTCTGCAGGAATTAAAATTATAGCCCACGTCTGGTAACGTTCATTTGTATTAATTCAATCCGAAAGCACATTCTTAAGCAAAGTATTCATTGCAATGCAAGTTGCAATCCTCAGTATTTTATGACATCTTTCCACTATGCTTTTGACAAACATCTCCTGCACTACTCATCTAACTCGATTATGCGCAATAGCGTTTAATGTTTTTAGAAAAATAGACTTGCCGTTTGAACTAGCTCGCTCTACGATGACAACCTGGAGACATTGTTTTCAAGATTGCTGTTTAAGAAAAAGCCGGTTTACCTTGCGTGCGTTTGAGTTTATTGCCCTTACAATGCCGTTTTCTCAGATACGGTGCTTATTCATGCTAGGGCAGTGTTTGATCAGGGGCAACCCTAATCTCGTACCCAAATCCTACTAGATAACAAGGCCATACGAAGTCTGGGTATGAGACTAGGACAGCCCTTCACCGAGAAAATAAGGAACTTCCCCAAAATTTAGTAGAGCGCCAATCGTTAGAGGTTAGGACTCAGGTGAATATTATAGATCTCCTCCTTCGAAAAGCTACAGGTACTGTGAAGCACCTTCGTAAGAAGCTGCTTTACGTTTCGGTTTAATGATTACATATCAGATTCCCTCACTGAGCGTGCGCAGAGAGCAAGATGAAAAGCAAATTCTATAAGTTACCTTCAAGTCACACACATCAGTAGCCTCGCAGTCAAACTGAACGTGCTGTTAAAAAAAAAGGAGGCCAGAAAGATTCATCAAATATGTATACACTGGCCTACGGTAAGGCTAACATTTATGAAAAAATCCCAGACAGAGAGGGGTAACCGACTCGTTTCGACTGCGAGTTGTTCGCCAATGTCTCATTGGTCGCTTCGCTAACATATTACGGCAGAACTTGATCAACTTTCATTGGACTGAAAAGTCATAGAAGAGTTACTTCGTTTCAATACAAACTTAAAGACAAGGGGATGGAAGCAGGGGGGCATTTATAAGTCTTTCTGAATCTGGAGGGCCTAAAGCTTGCCATCGCTCATTCTGAGATTCAGTGGGTAATAAGCTAGAGAAGAAAGTCCATCATATGCTTCACTTACCTCATTACAACCCTCTCCTTTGATCCATTTAGCGGTGGCCCAATGCACCAAGTTGGAGTGTCAAGGGGACATCGCTGTTTTCCATCATTAACATCACCGTAATCACCTGCGTGAGTCGTTGTGAATAAATAACAGCTAGGCCAGGAACAACTATAAGATCACATATGCAAGCTTTCAAAAAACCATCGTGGGCTTCTTTTGACACAAAAAATAACACTAAAAATGACAAAAATACTCAGACCAAAAGTATTTGACAATTGCTCACCGCTGTTTTGTAATGATGATCGCCGTTGAATGAAAATTGGGACCTTGAGGGCAAGATTCAATTTGAGTCGATTGGCGTGAAGTGAATAAATGTAATTTTTCCATTTTAGCATAATCAATTAAAAAAATAAACCTGTTGACTTCTTCTAAGCCCGTCCGGTTGTAGAAAAGAAGTTAACCCTTTAACTCCCAGATCAAATTTGTAACTCTCTTTACTGTCAATTGTGCAATTCTTATAATGTTAGTTCAGAGAATTTAGTATTGGATCAACTAATTATCCCCAAATTGATATTTTCCTTTATTCTCATCATTTATCTGGTTGATATCATATTGATATTGTATTGATATTGTATTGATATTGTATTGATATTGTATTGATATTGTATTGATATTGTATTGATATTGTATTGATATTGTATTGATATTGTATTGATATTGTATTGATATTGTATTGATATTGTATTGATATTGTATTGATATTGTATTGATATTGTATTGATATTGTATTGATATTGTTTTGGTATGTACGGAGAAATTCTGTCTTGGTCACTCATGGGAGTTAAGAGGCAACAGCTAAGAACCAATGTTTTCGCTCCAACATCTTGACCAACTCTGAAAATAAAAGGTTTCTCAGCGTTAAACACGCTTATCTTAATCTCAATGGGCATCTTCACTAGTCCGTCTTTAATCTCTCTGTCTATGAAGGCTTCAAGAAAAACACACTACTTAGGTACAAAATGTATTAAATTATGTTGTCATGCAAGCCCTGAAAGAAAACATTTAATCCATCAAAGCAAAATCTCATTTTGAGTGAATTTTTCTAAAACATTCTATTTAGAAAATGTTCAATTTTTCAATTTTATTTTCTACTTTGTTTTCTATTATGTTTTATTTTCTATTTGTCAACTTCATGTTTTATTCTGTTTTTCACCCTTGAGACTAGGGAATTGTGCCCTTCTACTTTCATGCTTCTTGATAGGGGTTACTCTTGAATTGTCTGCTACTGACTCGTACGTCGTTTACACAAAGGTAAAGTTTGCCCTATAGAGAAGTATCAGTCTTCCTAGATGACATTGTCGGATTAGTGACCATTAATATACTTCAAAAGGATCGTGCGAGTTGAGGGCAAATGAGGGTTTCCACCTTAGATATTACATTCCTTGCCATCCATTTCCTAAATAAATATTTGATCCTCTGCTGGAAGATCTCTTCGCAAAATTCTTGCTTTTCTGTTTCAGGTTAGAGAAACTCACCTTATAGAAGACGCACGAAAAGGAGAAAAGAAACTTCCTATAAAGAGTAAAATTTCGTAAATAGTGAGACAGCCCACTTTTAGGCCAAGTAAGAAGACTTAGAATAACTATATCGATGAAAAACAGGTTTATGAAACTGTGGGAATTTTTTGTTATTATAAATAGTTAATTTCGGAAAAAGGATCGATAGATCGTCCATTTTACTTGATAGTCACTTACAAATCGCTTCAAACATCTTTGAAAAATTTGTTTAAGAATTTCGATTTCACAATTATTGATGACATTCCATTTTCTTAAGCGAAAAGTAATTGACAGCGGAAGGTAAATAATTAGTGTTCGATCAATTAGTTTTAATTTTTTTAAAAACGAGAGAACTCTACTGGTTGAGTCCTGTAATTGTCCGTAATTTTACTTCACATGCTCGCTTACAAATTTTTCATACTTAAAATTTTATAGAAAAGTGATTTGACTATAGCGCTCTTAAAAACAGTGTGGAGAACTTGATGTCAGGTTGTAAAGGATTAGGAACCTCGTGAAGTATCCCAGATTTTGTCATTTCAATCACGTTATTCCGTGAGGGATTAGGAATAAATCATGAGTAACCGCTGAACCAGCGATGTAACAGAGCATTTTATTCATAGACAAGATTCACATAGCTATGCATACACTATACTCACTCCACGTAATCGGAGCTTTTAAGATTAAACAGGAAACATTAATCTTCTATCTCGTTTTAAAAGCTGCAAGATTTTGAAATTCTTGTCGTTGTTGTTTCAAACAGCCATGATGCGTTTTCAACAGGATCCGGTTCCAAAACACCTGCACTGGTAAGCTTTTTTGCTCAGTCTACAAGTGCTGGGACAGAGCCGACAACGTCCACCAGAGTAACCCAGCTCTCTGCAACTGCGAATTAAAATGAAATCCTTTATGATAATCTTAAATCTTGTAACACAGCCTCATTTCAGGACTGCGTCCACTGGACAGGCACACCGAATAGCTCAGTTACACCAAAGGGCAGCTAGCTGTGCTCTGTGTGACTTGTGTTTACATAAGTCACACAGAAGGGTAAGTGTTTTATCATTAAATTGAAAGTGTAAAATAGACTTTCGGACTGTGGCAAATTCGTTAAAAAAGTATTAACTTCAACAACCGAAGTATTCAAAATGGTGACAGCAACAATAGTCAACACAAGGAAGTAGTAATCGTGACGAAAACCCTACGGAAAAATGATAAATTATATTACGAGTAAGCTTCGATTCTATTATAACTATTGGTACTTCATAAACCTTATGGCTGATTTCTATCCGAGCTCCCCAAAAAATAACTAAAACTAGCGTGTGACCGGATCATGTGCCGCTAAAAAACATGTAGAAAAAGGTTGTAAGGTGACACTGAGTCGCATTTCGTACCATAATGTTTTCCTATTGATTGTTGTCCGGTGTCGCTGGTCTTGAGCTGGATGAAAAATAGATTGAACTGTTGTTATACTGCTGCAAGGTAACAAAGGAAACGCACAGTCCTTTCGAGATAGGTTCCCCATACATATTCATGTTTGCGTAGCTCATCTTATCACGCTCATTCCATGCACGATTAGGCGCTGAACCAATGAATTGTGATGCCCTGTGATTTAAATGAATTGTGGCGATGCATTAAGACAGTAACTCGAGTTTCAATGTTTTTATTATCAAAGTAGCTTCGAGTTTGCGTTCATGGAGACTGTATTTTAGCGTAGCCCATTTCATTTCCTGATGATATCTCTTCCATTTATTGACTGATTTCTATTTCAGGGGGCTTTCGAAAACACAGGAAAGATCTTGAATCCAAACGTTTTTGTGCTAAGAAAGGAGCGAAAGTACAAAGGTTTAAATGCGTCATAAATCAAAACAACATAAAACGTTTCTAGGCTAATTGAAGGTAAATAAAAAGCTAAACTCCAAAGGAAAGGGCGAGAAGATTTTTTTATGGTGTGGTCGACGATCCCTATATAAGATCTGTGGTGAATTTCTAACATCATTAAGAAATTTCAATTAGTTTTAGCATCGGAAAAGTCATAATAAACGTAACCACAGCGGGAAAGGAAAATGGAACAATAAGATAATGAAAACACCAACTCATTGCGTTGGGTGATCCTAAAGATGTTAAATGGCAATTGTTTCAGTTGTGCATGTCTCAGGTTGGTAAGAGTTTTTAAAACCGATCACAAAGCCTTGTAAAACAAAACGATTCGATCCTACTTTACTTTCGACCATCGATCAGCCGAAAATTTCTTGTACCTCTTCCATTTATTTAACTGTATGGATGATCCATAAATGTTATCGAAATGTTAGTCTTGCTCGTGAATACATCTCTCTCTTCGAGTCTTTCATAGCTTTAAAGTTTGCATGGAGAGTTCGACACGAGGGAACTGTTTGGTTTGAAAAGAGTGCGCAACGCGAAGGGGTGTTTTTTTGGGAACTTTTGTTCGAGAAAAACAGGTCTTGCTTGATATCTAATCTCTCTCCTGAAACCTACATTTTCACACCGAAGTCAAACAATCTGCGTGAAGTGCATACAGCAGTTCCCATATTTTTTTGGTTGTTTTTGCAGAGCACGAGCGCTGCGACTTTTCATTGTTTTAAGTCGAGCGCGTAACACTTGAAAACATGATAATAACCTCGTGTTATGACGTAGTCAAGACTATAAGGTTTACCTACGGACCTAAAATTCGCTCACCCACTCACTCCCTCGATTCTAAGCTGTTAGACAAATAATCTATGCTTTCAAAACAATAAAATGAGAAAGAAAAGAGGTGACAGCGAGTGGCTCCAAATTTGGAGTTTGTTGTTGGTCTCAATGCGGCAAGGGTACAGATGCAAAGCATAACTTTCTGTGTGACGCTGATCAAAACAACTCCTGAGATAGGACTCGACGATATGATTGCCCCGTGTTCAGGGCTGAAAGCAGAGTTTCGTCAAAGGGTCCAACTCAAAACCAAGAGAAAGTCAAGAAACACCCGCTCATGTTGTTCAACATAAGTTGTTCAACATAAGTTGTTCAACATAAGTTATATTTAGCTTTTATAGGTAAGTAATAAAACAACTTCTACAAGAAACAAAGCTAATTTTTCTTTTTTATTTGCACACAATGAATGCGCCAAACACATCCGAAAACGTCGCAAAGATTTTAAACTTTTCTGCGGGGATTAAAATTATACCCGCGTCTACGAACGTTCATTTTTATTAATTCAATACTAAAGCACACTCTTAAGCACATTATTCATTGCAATGCAAGTTGCAATCCTCAGTATTTATAACATCTTTCCGCTACACTTTTAACAAACATCTCCCGCACTTCTCATCTAACGTTTAAATAAGACCTACGATTGTATATCTCTAACTTCTAAGAAGTCTCGAGTGTGATAGGACCTAGTTTCGGGTGCACTTTCCGGACAAGCATCCCACTGCTCCTTGCACTTCTTCATCATGCAGTCATGAGCGGGCTTCAAATCTACGCTGTAATCAACGTAGGAGGCCTGGGAATTAGAGAATGAAAAGTTTTTTTAGAGTGATGCAGGCTATAGCATCTTCATAAGGATATCTTACGACCTTGACAAAACCGAAAACCATGTGCCATGGCGTTTAATTTTTTTTTTTTTAGAAAAATAAACTTGCCGTTTGAACTAGCTCGCTCTATGGTGACAAACCTGGAGACATTGTTTCCGAGACTGCTGTTTAAGAAAAAGCCGGTTTATCTTGCGTGTGTTTGAGTTTATTGCCCTTACAGTGCCGTTTTCTTAGATACGGTGCTTATTCATGCAAGGGCATATTTCCTCACTGAACATGCGCCGAGAGTATAATGAAAAGCAAATTCTATAAGTTACCTTCAAGTCACACACATCAGTAGCCTCGCAGTCAAACTGAACGTGCTGTTAAAAAAAGGGGCCAGAAGGATTCATCAAATATGTATACACTGGCCAACGGTAAGGCTAACATTTATGAAAAAATCTCAGACAGAGAGGGGAAACCGACTCGTTTCGAGTTGTTCGCTAATGTCTCATTGGTCGTTTCGCTAACATATTACGACAGAACTTGATCGACTTTCATTGGACTGAAAAGTCATAGAAGAGTTGCTTCGTTTCAATACAAACTTAAAGACAAGGGGATGGAAGCAGGGGGGCATTTGTAAGTCTTTCTGAATCTGGAGGGGTTAAAGCTTGCCATAGCTCATTCTAAGATTCAGTAGGTAATTAGCTAGAGAAGAAAGTCCATCATATGCTTCACTTACCTCATTACAACCCTCTCCTTTGATCCATTTAGCGGTGGCCCACTTACAAATGCACCAAGTTGGAGTGTCAAGGGGACATCTCTTTTTTCCATCATTAACATCACCGTAATCACCTGCGTGAATCGTTGTGAATAAATAACAGTTAGGCCAGGAACAAATACAAGATCACATATAAAAACCATCGTGGGCTTCTTTTGACACAAAAAATAACACTAAAAATGACAAAAATACTCAGACGAAAAGTATTAGACAATTGCTCACCGCTGTTTTATAACGATGATCGCCGTGGAATGAAAAAATTGGAACCTCGAGGGCAATATTCATTTTGAGTCGATTGATGTGAAGTGAATAAATGCAATTTTTCCATTTTAGCATAATTAATTGAAAAAAACCTGCTGACTTCTTCTAAGCCCGTCCGGCTGTAGAAAAGAAGTTAAGAGGCGACAGTTAAGAAGCAATGTTTTCGCTCCAAGATAGAACTTTGACCAACTTTGAAAATAAAAAGTTGTTCAACTTTTAAAACACGCCTATTCTAATTTGAATGGGCATCTTCAGTAGTCTGTCTTTAATCACTATGTATATGAAGGTTTAGAGAAAAACACACTACTTAGTTCCAAAATGTATTAAATTATGTTGTCATGCGAGCCCTGAAAGAAAACATTCAATCCATCAAAACAATGAAAGTTAAAATCTCATTTGGAGTGAATTTTTATAAAACATTCTACTTAGATGGCGCACAGGGGTAGACATAACTTGGCCCAGCCATAAAACAAACCATATGAATATCCTTGATGGCAAGGCAACCTGTCAATTACCTTCAGCCTGGTTGGATGAAATTACAAAGAAAATACAGGAAGTGAGTAGACATAAAGCGCAGTATACTTACTCACTGACCCACACCAAGATGTTTGTTGAGTAAATTTCCAAAATGACGTGCCTGGATCTCCAATCTTGGCACAGACTCGATGAGTCGGGTCGTGATTGCAACGCCTATCATGAGATGAAACAATTGAATTTACATACAAAATTAATAATAATAACAATAACAATAATATGGTTTATTAACAGCGTATCCAATTGTGTTGCCTCTTTATCTGTTAAACTAATTAATGATACTAACTGATAACTAAGATGAGTAACAATTAAGACCTATGACTGTATACAAGGTCCACGTAATGTTAATTTGAAAAATATATTTAAATAAATGTAAGTACACTGAAGTATTAGGAAAATTTTTATAGAGTTTTTAAAACATTGGCAACTAATAGGTTATGCAGTTTACTGATAAAACTATAATAATAATACACGATTTAATTTAATATGGAAACTATTGAAAAGATTAGCTGCAGTTTCTTAAAAAGGTTCCATTTTCCATAGGCACTACAAGACTGTCAATATCACCAGAGTGCAATTGTCTGGTAACATTGACTTTCTGTAAAGGCAGACAGGATGGCCAGGATGTCTTGTGACTGAGTTGTGCCCAAAGGCCGACCAAAAGATCTGACTACCAGCCATGATAAGTAGCCAAAATGAGTGAACTATCAGCAGTCTAATTATGTTAGAGGGAAATTACTTAAGCCTTTGACCCAAGGGGAACCCTACCTCTAGGTATTACAAAATGTTTTGAGAAAGTTTCAGGGGTCTCTTACTTTTCATTTTAGTGCCTATAGTTCTACAGATCGATAGAATTCCGATTCAGTAACTAAATGTTTCTTCTGGCCAACAGTCATCACTAAGTGCAGTAAGTTACCATAGCAACACTATACTCTCTTAGAAATTCCTTTAAATTCAACTCAACTTGATCTGCCCATATCTTTAACGCAAGTTCAGCGAATCTGTGTTTCCTGTTAACAATTTTTAATTCGGACATCAAAATTAATCTTAACCGTATCGCATACTTATCAAGGTGACTTATCTTTGAATTGCACAACATCAATAACCAACAATCAAGCACCAATAAAAAAGCAACTCACCTGTCGCCCCTAGTGTCTCCCGGACAAGGCTTGATCTGTTTGAGGGTTGATAACGCCTCGTGGGGTAGAAGGGCAAGCAACACCAGACATATTAACGCCAACATTACTCAACTGCGGGTTGAAAAAAAAAACGGTTAGCTCTGTAAAACGTATTGAGTAGTAACACGAATACTAAAACATTGACTCAGTAAAGACATCTTTTATGAAAATTCTGGATCTCAATAAGTTTATTGATGTACGCCAGGTAACTAGAACTCCGATCTATTGTCGAAGGAGCGGGAAAGATAAGACTAAAATAACCAAAAATTATAAAGTGCAACGTGTCTAGTAACTGTTCAAACGACAGGTGCAATCACGTTCGCTAAGAGTCTGAAGGAAAGATATCACTTCGAGTTAGACATTATCAGCTCTGTCCGTGGTTTGCTCCTTTGTAGCGAAATTATTTAACTTGATTTTTTTTACCTTTGGTAATTTTCATTCCCTATTTCTCACTCATGATCTGTGTTTGATATTGCTATTGCAAGAGGAGACCTTTCCAGAACAATTTTAGCTGAGACTAAATAACTTACATATATTCGTGTAGGTACCGCCCCGCGTATAAAAACTTGTTAGGCGTATGATAGGTTACTTTTCTTTCCAGACACTCATACTTATGGTAAAAAAGCGTTCCTGTTAGATACTTAAATGAACCCTTTGTTTGTCCATAAACATTTCATTTATATGCGCGTAAATTATACTTTTTGAGAAAGCGTCATTATGTGCAGCTTCAGTCTGAAAAATACCCTGTAATAAAATGTTCAGGACTGTTTGTGGTTTATCCGTAGAATGTTCGGTATTGACTTTTTCTTTCAATCGTTTATTATCCATTAAAGTAAGGTTTGTTTTCCAAAACAAGATGTCTGAGATGTTTCCGTGCAACCCCATCACATTCTAAAGTAAAGCCCTAGTCCCAATGGTACTGTAGTGTTTTGTCATTGTTTTCATTTACCTAAGAACATTTTGTATAATGACCCGTGGGGTCCTGCAGAATTCTCCCCCAGAAGCTCAACAGCAGTTTTGGTACCTCTATGGTAATTTTCCCCAGTAATTTTCAAATATTTAGTTTAACCTTCTCTTTCTTTCCTGAAGTATGGGTTTCTTTAAATACTTTTCTACGCATTCCTCAGAGTACCTTACTCGTCGAGAGATGATAACAATCACAACACTGAAAAACAATACCTCGAAAGGTCAATTTTTGGCACATCAACTCCATTTTTCTCTTATTCACTCAATGTAAATTTCGAAACTATTCGCTCCAGGTAAATTGACAAATCTGCCCCTAGACTGAGACGGAAGTTTAGCCTGACATTTTAAAATAAGAATAAAGTTTTATTTCATTTTATGACATAAGTATCACAGGAACAGGACCCAAGCATTTAGCATGGAAACAGAGAAAAACGTGATCCGAGACGCTTTACACGTGAAATTAACGCGTTGTAAATCGCTTATTCATACCTCAACCCGTTTCTTTCCGAAAAGCGGTAATCGCAGATCGTAAGCCCGAGTTTCATTTTCACCAAATTTTCCAACAGTAAAGTTGTATTTCAAGAAGAAAAATCAAGTCAATTTGAAATTCTCAGGATAGCAGTTCAGACGTTTAGACAATAATTGCAGTCAATTGTGAAGTAACGCGAGGGACTGAAATGTTATGTAACACGTTGTAAAACTTCGATCGAATAAAACTTATCTTACTCCTTTAAGTCCGCTTACATTCACTTTTTATGACCATAAATCAGTCATTCGTCAAATTGTTTGTTTGACGATTCGAATTAGGGTTAGGGATTACAAGACAAGTCATTCGTTTGAAAAGCAATTTCCATTACACACATACGATCAGGGCCTTTTGTCTTCTCTGTTCGCTTTCCTAGAGATTTCAGTCAGAATTCTTGTAGTCGTCCCGGTACATGCGATCAACAAGCTTAGGTGTGATTTCCGTAACTCGACGAATCAAAAGAAAACTAAATCAAATTCAGAAAAACTTACCCTCGTCGATTTCTTATCTCGAAGGTCAGTCGGCCGCTCTTGCTTCGTGACAAATGTGATTACAACCCCCAGTCACAAAATGCAAATTAACTACAGGTACAAGGAATTACAATACATGCATAAATTAACAATGCTGATACTTAACAGTGCTGTGTAGACAGTCTATTCCTTAAGCAGGCCCACATGGTTAGCGTTTCGGCACGAACGTTTTACCGCCCGAGGTAAGATATCAGAGGTTTACGAAAGTATGGTGCGTTTTTCCTATCAAAATTCAACTTTTCCGCTCGTCTTTTGAGTTCGACATCTCCATATTTCAAAGGGTCTGGATATCTCTCGTTTCTCAGTTCTCTTATCTCTTATTTCCCATCTCAAAAGCATACTTTCGAATTCAACATGAAGGGCACGAGCACAAGCCTTCGCACTCATAAAAATTGAAACAATAACATGTTGATCCACTTATCTACGCTATTGAATTTCACCTATGTGTTTTCCTCGTTAACGGGCAAAAAATCCTGAGCCGGATTCTTCCAAAAGAATGCGGCTGCTCTTACTCGGTGTAGAAGACACAGTATACGTCACAATAGAATTTAATCACAACCGGAAATAAGAAAACAATGGAAACAATAATGTGACGTAACTGTGTCTTCTACACCAAGTAAGAGCCGAGAATGCTCCCTCAGAGACGCCTGGTCAAATCCGGAAGAAAAAAACCACTAGAGAAATCTCATTTTATAAGTCGATGATTAGGAAGCGCGTAAGAGAGAGCTGTGGAGCATCCGCGGCAATTTTAAATCATGTTAATTTACGCGCCCAATGGCCATTTGATCTCTCAAATCTACGGGGCTTTTGGGATAATTGTTAGCTATAAAAATATTCAAAATTAGAGAAATAATCCGCGAAGAGTCAAACTAAGGTTTGCGTTGCATATTTGTTTTCAGGTCAACAGCGCTAATTCTACAAACTCATCCACAGGGTCTCCACACAAAGTGCGGTAGTTTCCCTTCACTGTCGAGCAGAACAACTCCTTTCATCAGTTTCATGCAGTTAAGTTTTCTGTAGGTGCGGATGGGAGGTCTCAAATGTATATAAAATGGCCCAACAATAAAAGGTGTCCACAAGATAGGTGGAGCATGTCACACGAGTGGGAAGTTGCAGCACAAAAGGTGTCCCGAGGGGATGTCGTTTGCCATATCATAGTGAGCTGAGGAAGCAGTGTTCTTAAGGAAGGTGGGTGGCTGCTTTGTGGGTCGAGAATATAACAGCTTCATTCAGTAATGTCCAGAAATGCACGAAGTAACGAAAATGGGGCTTCATTGCAAGATCACGTGGGACCAGCACTTGTTAATCACATAAATTGAATTTAAAAAAGTATGCTAAACACCTTTGCTCGCAGCTCAATGAAGGAGATCGTATCACTGAAAAACATCCCAGTTTCAAGGTCACAGGAAAAACAGCCTGCGCTATAGACACCGATTTATCAGGGAACGAGTTATCTTATTACAATCATAAGTTACCTTGACCCGCGGAAACATCCCAAACAGCGAAACCCAAAGCCAACAGAAGAAGGATAAAAGGTCCCCAACGGAAATCCTACAAGAAAATAAATATTTATAGGAAATTCTCCTTCGAACCGATCGAACCCAATTTTATCATTCTCTACATAAAAAAAAAACCTTTAGAGGTTCGACAAAGCCATTTTCAAAGTTACCTTTTCGCGAAAACAAAACGTGCTAATTTGTTTCTGATGGTCTAGGGAAAAAATCAGCGAAGTAGTTCAACCATTGTCAGTTAGCGTATCGTGACCCCAGAGGAGTAATGCTCCACAGACTTAACTGCTCTCAGTGCTTCAGCAATTGAACCTTATGCGCCAAAAATGGCCTTTTATACCGTCTGTTGACATGCTATTGTATATGATCCTTGCAAGGAAACAAGCATATCGTTTCAGATAGTTTCCGCTCTTTTTCAAGCGCACGTTGTCATGGTTACACGGCTGGATATACCTTGGACGGTTAGGTTCAGTGTGCACTGTCCTTTATATACTAATGAGCTTCCAATCTGATAAACGATTTCATTGGCTATCATATGTATCAACTTGACAATCTCTGAATCAGAGCTTAAAAGGTCACGGAAGGAAATTTCGTTATTGCAAATTTCAAGGCACTTGTGTAATCAAGATGCTGAGTTTTGCACGGAAATAATGACATCCTTCCATATTAATATTGTTTCCTGTCTGTTTCAGATTCCATAGATTCTATAGCTATGTTCGACAATTGTAATGCGTTTGCGCGTCTTTGGCAATCTCAAGTAAAAGCGCGCGGGCATGGTTCACTCGATCAGAAAGGGCGACTTCAAGGTCACGCTGCACCTTTATTTTACCTTACGAGAAAGGGAATTGCAATTTAGTCAGCACAAAAGGTATGATGTTAGAATTTACCCAAATCTTACGCTGAATTCTCATTGTTTTTTTCCTCGCCCCTCTAGTCTTTTGAGGTAATAGGTTCGTATACCGAAGGATGAAATCAAATTTCTCTGCTTTCTCAAAAAAGAAAGGTTGACCGTTAGTAACAATTATAAATGGAGTCGTATATCTAGATGAGATATTAAAGGCACTGTGATCTATTAAAAGCTCATTTTCTACTGGAAACAGACGGGCAACAAAGCAATACTGATATACACTTCCAATTTACTACCGCAGCATGCACGAAAAGGAAACTGAGAGTTTTAAGAACGGGTTTAGGTCATGTGATCTACCGCACCAATTCAACTCCTTAACCCTTTACGCCTTAACATCGGTACGCATATTCTCCACACTGTTCTCTATACCTTTTTAGAGGTGCTGACATGGGGAATTTGTTTAACAATCAAGATATATATTCTCTAGAGGGTGGTGTCTTTGAGTGTGATTCAGAGGTGAAATTGCAAGGAGAAATTAGTTGTCAGTCACTCTTAGGGTCAAAAGGTTTAACGCCTGTTACATAGTTCCTTCGCAGCCAGTGTTTGATCTCGTCCCGAAACACACGTTCCCTTGCCATCAGCTGCTTCTATCGGAACGACATTAGTCTCCCTTTGTTTTGAGTGCATGGTGGTCTTACTTAATAATGAGGCACTGCACAAATCAGACCTCGCCGTTTGTTTTCTAGAGCCAATCGCGTACCCATACAATGTTAGACACGTAGGTTCCCCGCGTGAATTTTCTCTGCGTTTTCACATTTGTGGGGGAGAGAGCCAGTTGCGTGACCAAATCAAAGGATATAACTGATGCATTCACAAAGTTTTTAAGAAATTCTCGTCTTCGCTATAAACAATCCCCACTTAGATTTTTAACCCTTCAACCCCAAAGAGTGACTAGCATCTAATTTCTCTTTACAATATCACCCCTGATTCAAACATGAAGGTCATAAGAATAGAGAAATTGTTCACAACTAAAACAGCTCTTGATTATTAAACAAATTCTCTTTGTCAGCACCTTGAGAGATGTATAGTGTAGAGTATGGAGAATATGGATACTGATGTTAGGGGGTGAAGGCTTAAGGCAAAAGAGAAGTTCAAAGAGGAAAAAGACTGCCACACTCCTCAAGTTTCACATACTTTAATGTACAGCGATCTCTTTACATATAAAACGAGAATGCATTACAAATACGTGTGCTCATCTTCCATCACGATTCAGTTTCTTTCAATTCTACATTTTTGACGTTATACACACCTTAGCCGCTTGTGTATTTCGACAGTAAAACAAAAGGCATGAAATTATCCCATTCCATTGTCTTAAGGCAAATCTTTGTACAAATTTTCATAATTCACATCTACAATGAAGATAAGATAATACCTCGACGACTGAAAAGTCGGAAATTGAGCTTTCAACAAACGACAAAAATTCGTTATACCCTCAATTACGTGACATATGCCTTGATGGAAAATTATCTCGAGCTGTAGTCTTAATCTTTTCAGTCAAATTGTATCCCTGTATCAACCTACATGATCAGTTCAAATGAGGAGCCCCCCAATTGCTTTTTCAAGCCTCAACATCAAACCACATACAACAAAATGCAAAAAGCCGATAATATCACTATATGAGCTACTTCAGTTTAATTTAAAATTTAAGATTACTTCTGAATTTTTCACAATAACCTGCATGTTTGCGTCTGATTTATTTGAGCGGTTACTTGGGAGCATTAATTAAGTTATTGTGATAAATAAATTAGGGATTGCATTTTACATACCGATTGAAATTAAAAAATGGAAAACAAGCTATGAATACATAACATAGAGACATTTCTCTCTTAAATATATATATATTTATGGGAATTAAAATAACAAAAACAAAACAAAACAAAATCATTGAGTTGTCGTTCTCAAAGCAAAAGAGTACTTTTAAAACGAGGCGCAAACAATCAGTTATTGAATCGATTTCAAAATTCACTTTTCACCATATATTAGAAAGAATAAAACTAAACTTGATATCTTTGGTCTTTGCAATCAAAAAGAGCTCAAGCACATTCAAAAGTTATACCGATCTGCATTGCCTTTGACATCGAATATACAAGGAAGATCGCGCCAATCTACAGCCTGGATTCCACGTACATTCCACTTCCATTCTTCGAAAACTCGGATTTCTTTAAGATATCAATAAACAATTTACCTTGAGTAGTTATACAGAAAAGATAATTTCATTACGTTTAAAAGTAAGTAACTGCAGCCCCTTTCAAAAGGCTCTCATTACTATTTATATTACTTTTTTCCCGTTGCATTTAATTTCCATAAGTCAAAAGGGCTGCTTTTCACGGGTTAAGCCACATGCAACCAAACAAAAGGTTTTTTATTTAAAGGTTAATCAAACTGACCCAATACTCAGGCGCACTGAAACGAAACACCGCTGCTCACAACCAAAGTTTGGGAACAAGAAACAGACTCATTTCCTAAGGCAACCCCCTGGACACCAAACACTTAGTGGCGTTCAAACGAGCCTCGAAGGTTGAGATGATCATTATCCGATTCCGCGTAATAAAGGTAGCACGTGCATTAACGTAAAATTCTACAGAGCAACTATTAAGAAACGAGCTTGAAAGTTGTAAAAATTGGTAGAAAAATCCCAAGCTTTGGGACAATTGTTTCTTCCTAATTGTGCATAGTAAACCATACTCTCTGAGGCCTACCTACCCCTGCAATTATGCCTAGACTAAATCTAATTCTAATCATTTCTTACTGAACCAATCCTGCACGATGGTGTGGAAATTTTCCCGCCTTTTCTCTCTCGCAAAACTCCGAGTGATATTGGCGTTTCCTGATGACTTAAGAATTAATTCTGAACGGATTATAGGGAAACTAGGCATCGAACACCAAAAGCTCCATTCCCTTACTAAGAGATGTATACGGTATGAATACTATGAATGACTGAGTAGGTTACGTTAACTAACGACTGGCGAGGTAGGAATGGGTCCAAGTACTGGAAAGAGAAGGGCTGGGTACATTTTGTCAGAGCCTGACCATGACTTGACACATGTCGTTCGTGATCCTTGCGAGGGGTAGGGCGGAGTTAATACACCCACGACACTGGCACCCACTGTGACGTTTTGTGCAATCGCTCGAGGGCGTCCTCCAGGAGGCGAATCGTGTCGTCGATATCATTATTAACGATTGTAAGGTCAAACAAGTGCCCGTACGTCTGGCGAAGTGCGTCCGACTCTTTGGCAAGCCTCTGAAGACTTTCGTCCTATCGAGGGAGGAAAAAACATAATAATTAAACAAAATTATAAATATTAAATTAAGCAAACAGTGCTGGTCAACGCAAGTTTTTGAAAAATTTGGTTCTCTTTACGGTGGCCAAATACGTTACCCACTCAATTGTTAAAACCAAATTATCGCCGAATTGCTACCGACAAGATTTGTCGATTGCGAATATAATACTAAAAACTTGAAAATAAAAATGAATTATATTATCAAAATCTTTCAGAATCACTGGAGAATATCAGAAGAGGCACGATAAACTTCAATATTCAGACTTACAGCAACATCTCCGTTTGGCATGGGAGGGTTTCTCGTGTTGTCGTTTCCAATGATGGTTGGTGCGGAGATGAACACGACGTAAGGAGAGAATTCTGCGGTCCGAAGAACCTTCAGCGCCTGATAGAAAAAAAGCAAAATTAGAAAGCCGTGGTAACAAAGCGGTTCATGTGGCATCTAATTCGCGGAACTACCTAGTGACAAAAATGAGAAGGCTGGTCGTGCGAACGTAGACACTTAACATGTCACGTAAACTGCATTTATTGGAAAACGAACTTGAAAGGGATGAAAAAAAACGGTATTGTTTGGATGACATAGATCTAATTCAGTTTACTTCCCCAAGTAACACCAAGACAATTACAGTCCATATGCCCCAGCGCTGAAGGACATAATCTTAACGGCTTGTCTAAAAGGGCCCTGATTTACCTGAGGCTCCACGTCGAGAATCGCTGTGAGACCCTGATTAAGATTGTCCCTTATCGTGTCGAGCTTAGTACCGTACATGGCGCCTTGGTGCGTCCCGTATTCCAGGTATTTGTTGGCTTCTATGTCCATTAACATATCCTCGGCAGAAACAAAGAAGTAATTTTTTCCATCCTCTTCTCCTTCTTTCGGCTCTCTTGTCGTATCTTTAAAAGAAATAGCAGAAATTATTTCACCAAGTCTCACAAGCTTCATAGTTCCTCGTCTCGATCACAACGTTTACTTTTTCGGGAACCTGAATGTATGCGAATGAAGTTTACTCATGCCTTGTTTGCGGATTTGTTACAAAAACCTTGTCCCTAAAATGTTTTCAGCTTCATACTAAAAACGGAATTTTAGTGAAGTTAATATGATCCACCAATGGCGAAGACAATAACCGTTTACTTACGTGGAATAGGATAAGAAAATCTTTCGGGAAATTTATTGATCAATGTATTTTTAATATGTCTCCTTCCAACGCCATGAGCCCCTGAAAAAAAAAGCCATTGTGTGAACAGAGTAATCATTAACAGAGTAAATAGTATCAGTTCCACTAAACTAAAGGATAAAAGCCAGCGATCATCACCGCTGGATCAAGCACGCTTCTTAGCCATATCACGCATTCAGCACTGTTTTGTCAATGACTACACAGAAGCCTTAGTCGCATTAGACATTTTCAATTATCTTTAAAGGCGTCTCTTAGCAACCGCACCGCTGACATGGAGCCAAAATTACACTGGGTTCGAGATAAAGCTATTAATGGCAGTATTTGGTGAGCAGCTTCTCCAAAGCGGGTAGAGGCGTTTGCTCTAAACGTAAACTCTGTACTTCAAATTTTGCTTATTTCTTCACGAAATCATAACATGTGAAGGAAAAAACACCATACCACACGCCTGAAAGCAGGATTTCGGAATGATATGGAGGGATCTTCCTGCACGCCCAAGACCATTCATGAACAATATGCTCATCCTTACTCTCGTGTTTTGCTAGTAACCCAATACCCGGGCTTTTCAATTGGACCACAGCGCGAAGAAATGATTAAAGCTATCTTGGGAATTCAATCGGTCATTTCCAAGTTCCAAAAACCCTCACTTAGAAAATGAAGCTACTTGCAAAACCTTTGTTGTGAAATGAGTCGCATTTGCGCGAGGGTGAAATATCATTTTCAGATCAGAGGTTTTGCTTTCTAGGTCGTTTTGAAGAAGATGCAGTGAAAATCTCGGAAATGGTTTATCTATTCTTACCGAGAAGTACAAGTGCCTTTCGTTTAAAGTAATCCAGCCTGATAACTTCCTCATAAGTAACAAGATCAAGCTGATCGAAAACTAAGAGAAAAGAGAAAAATAATTGCATCACTGATTGTTCAATCCTAAAAACAAATCAATTCATGCCAGTAAAACGCACACCAGCGCTCACCTGCATTGTGTTTAGCCACATACTTATCACGACTGCTTTTCTTTTTCTTGTTAAACCATATACAAGTTGCTGAAGGAAAGAAAAACATATGTCATTCAAAGATAAAGATAATTATTATAATAACAAAAAAAGCATCAACAATAATGATAATACTCTCCATCATAACGATTAAGACAAATTATACAAATAATATGAATATCAAAAATAATAATAATAGCTGAGAAAAAGCAAGAAAATCAAGAGCAACAACGACAAAACCCAAGAGAGAGACTGGATGAAAGAAAACGGTCTAAGTTTGGCAAAAACAATACAGTAATCGCAAGGAGCGCCGGGCGAACTCCTCACTCTTCAAATTATAACTACACCTGAGCTATAATTTGCAGCGCTATGAATTAACTATGACATCTCTCCTTCATTATACCCTTTCCCACTTCTGAGGTACTAATTTCAGATCGTGATCCAGGCCGTTAATTGAATAAATCCAAAAAACACATTCTTACCGCCATTCTGCTTCCTGGCTTTCTCCGCTGCTAAACTCGACACTCTCCTGCCAAAAATTAAATGGAAGATCAACATGAGGCACTACGGTTTAGACGCAGGTTTCACCTTGTTCATCCTTCCCGCAAGTAAGTTTCAACACTTCTTTTTTTCTAAAGAACACTTCAAAGAAACTACTCTGAAAAGTTTGTTCCTATGTTTTACTCTTTTTTTCCTTTCTATTTCTTGAAATGTTCACATGCATACACTATTTCTTCCAAATATACTGTGGGTTTTCTGACATCCGCTTGTGTAAGATGCCCTGTAGAGAATACTGCCTATGCCACCTGTTCTTCATCATTTTCTTTCTATCTTGCATTAGCTTCTTAAGTGACTTCAGTTCAATTTCAAGCGATATTAAGTTATACAGCTTCCAATTATTTGGTAGTATGTCCTACTGACTGAGTGGGAGGGCCGGGAGGGCCGGAAGGGAAAATACTTGGCTCGACGTACGTACCGAGCAACACGTGGTCTGACTGTGTGGGAGGACCGGGAGGGCCGGAGGGGAAAATACTTCGCTCGACGTACGTACCGAGCAACACGTTGTCTGACTGAGTGGGAGGACCGGGAGGGCCGGAGAGGAAAATACTTGGCTCGACGTACGTACCGAGCAACACGCGGTCTGAGTCATGCCCGAGAGCAAAGTATTTTCACTTCTGACCCGACCTAACTCAGCCAGTATAGGCATTTATTATATGACCATCGTTTCCTCTTTTTCTTCCCTTTTTCTTTTAGTTCGCAGCTCGCAGGGCCGTACGGCGTTGTATGGTGCTGCTCACGCCATCGCATACGCTCTTCATACGGGAACACAAAAACGTGCAGAGCCTCATTGGTCATATAATAACATCACAGACGTGATAATGGGATCATCATACGACGGTAACTAACTCTTGGACAAACCACTCAAATCTCCCGAAATACTAACCACTCTTGTAGCTCGGGCGACGGAGCGAGTCCTGCGAATCCGGTCTTATCGTCAGCCTTGACTGCCTGCCACCAGTAGTGGTCAGTTTTACTTACGACTTGGATAATATCCCCACAAGCAAAAGTTAACCCGGCCTGTTGACACGGAATCAGGTCATCCCCACGAGGGTCGTAATCAAACAGCGCCCGCACAAACACCTGCAAACGGCAGCGGTATGTAAGTAAGCCGCATATCAAGCAAAGTCGAGAACTTATTATGCTTCACAACTAAACCTCTGTAGTTAATTTTCAGCTAGCGTAATAAAGTTTCATCGCATTGAAGTATTCGTTTCTTTTTTTATTTTTCATCATTTTGTATGGTTTTTTACGGAAAAATATTCTTATGCACGAATTTTCAACCCTGAGTTTACGTGAAACGATCGACGTCGCATGAAAGGCACTGTTCTAGTGACATAAACATCATGCATTTACAACGGACTAAAAATATTTTGTTCCATTCTTCATAGATCTTCTCCACTGCACACTTACTTCAGAGACTTGGTTTAAATTCCTTGAGCTTGGCACAATCTTGAACGTGACATTTCCACTCGCTTGACGCTGAGAGATGAAGACGAAAGAAAATCGTGTTTTGTCAGTTTCATAGTAAAGCTTTGGTCCCTAAACCCTTACATCGATCAACAGCTAAGTTCTCCTTATAGTGGTATTGCTGAATCAAACGTCATGGTCACGAGAATAAAGAAATGATCGCTAGATTGTGCAACAAATTCTCCCTGTAAGTTCTACAAGTAATGTGAGGAGAAAATGCGTCCAGATCTCTGGGTGTGAAGAGTCAAAAGCACTCTGGGGTATGGTGACTATTATATAACTCACCAAAATAGCTTGTAGGTTTTCGACTGACTTCTCTGCCACGTTGACTCCATTGATTTCGCGAATTTCATCTCCTGGGTGAAGTGTGCCTACATAGGGAAACAAAGAATTCGCCATTAAAAAGACCTGTTTTGCGAGTAAATGTATCGATGAAGGACAGTAGAAAATGTGTCTAATAAACAACGGTTCACTCTCCAGATGGTTGAAGCAAGTCTCATACATTTAAGTGATTGTCTTGTTTCCAATTTGAGGGGAGGGATTTTGGAGGAGGCTGCTTCCTACAACACAGGCTTCCCGCAGAAGTAAGCGGGTGACCCGAGGGCAGCCCGTAATTCCCTTCATATTATTAACCTGACACTAGGCAAAAGATCTGGCGTCGCCCAGATTGTTATTTTCCTTACTCGTTAGAGGTTAGAGAAACAAATCATTTCGCGCATGCGCATCGAGCCTTCAAAATTAAAAGGAAACATCATCAACTGTGGCTGTAGCTGTTCATTTACGCCAAACGGTAGAAAGTGTTTCAAACTTTCGACAACCAGACGAAAATATAGAATGAAATATTAATCAACGTAACGGTTTATCTCGAATGTTTACCTTCCCTGGCATACGAAAAGTCAAGTTTTAGCAAACGCTTTGTTGAGCTATATATCACTGGACTTTTCTCCTGCGTGTAGCCATACCCGTCCGTTTCACCTTGCGAGGGAGGGTAAAGCTACACGTAGGCTACAGGCCTTTGTGTTTTAATTTTCAATCTAGACCACGTTTATTAGAGTCACAATCTAAATAAAAAAAAAAAGAATCTTATCGCAGGGGTAAATAAATCACGGCGGTCATATGAAAACTTTAACGACAATGACAACAAGAGTTGCTTTGGTTCAGTTTGAACGCGTTGTTTACAGCTTTGCTGTGGTTTGCTGTAGACTTCAAAAAAACACAAACCTTGTCTGTGGATCATTCCTCCGTGCATGATTCTGGCAACAATGCACCTTCCTTCTTCGTTCATCTTGAGAGTAATTCCCTGAAGAAGAAAATCATACAATCAGGGATAAACATCTGCACCATGCAATTTGAATTTACTCGACCACAATACAAACAGATAAAAAAAACATTTCAGTTCGAAACGAGATTCTATCTCTCAGTTCAGTCGCCAGACAACTTTCTGAGCAAAGAATAGTTGAAGCCTTGAAAATTACACTCAAAAAAGTCTGGCTAGAGAGTACATTTGCGCCAGTTAGCTCCCACTTACATACAACGAAAAAGAAATTGGTCATTGTTGAAGAAGCTAGGCTTCGGTTTGTGCATCATGAAAAATTTTTCGCAAGATGTGTCTCATTTACCATCCACACCAATCTCTGCCATTCTATACTATTCTGGATCGCTTTTAGTTTGCTTTTACCTCTTTCATGTTCGAGTACAAGAACAAACTTTTATTTTTTGGTTTTCCTTTCTCTAATTCTATAATTCCCTAACCCATCAACTAGCAGTTAGCTATAAGGCCGCAACGCGTGCACTTGCATCCTTACCATGGGTTCGTTGAGATTTTTATGAAACTGAACGAGTCGAACACGGGTGAGTTTTTCCGGTCTTTCGCTCATAGATTCCTCCATTCTGCCATTATATCCAGTGCTGGTATCAGCATGATACTGGTTTACTTCCTCACCCGTTGAGATTTTCAACACTTCATCGTGTGACTGAAGCATCGCCTGGAGGGTGACAAAAGTTTCACCAACACAATTCAGTTCAGTTCAGAGAAAAAAGATAGTTCTTCAAAGTTGCAATAGAAATATAACAAACATCTCTGATATGAAGAACATAATCCACATGGAACACATTGAAATTGTCCAGCCGATGACTGAATTTGTTCATAGTTACAGATTTTAAAAGGACTACGGGTTTGTCAGTCATAAACTCCAAGACACACAAATATACTTTTCCGGCTGAAACAACAACTGGCTGGATGAAAATTGGTAAGATTACCAAATAAAAAGTGCATTTTAAGTTGCTGGGATAATGAGTCCCTTATTTTGCAGCCGTTTTGGAGAAAGGTAAAGTAAATTTCATTATGAAGAACACTATTGTTCCAGAGGTCGTATCTTCAATTCCGTTACCCAAGTTTAGTTTAAACGTAATGAAAACAAAAAAATAGAAACACAAATTTAGGGAGGGCAGACAGGGAATTTTCTGACGTCAAATCACGGTTGTTTTGGACTAATGATCGCCAACAAGTTATTCTTTGGATCGTGGTTCCATTTGACCAAAGTAAAAAAACCTGTTTCCCACAAAAAGTTGAAGGGGAAGGATCACGTTATCACATAATCTGATCTCGCACAGCCGCTAAGTTTATAAGCCGATTATCCAGTAATTTACTGATCTTAAAAACCACCCAAGAATGTCTCGAGACTTCTTCAGGTAATGAGATGCAAACAGCAGTCAGTCACTATATGGGGTTCTTAGAAATTTTTGAAACACTAAGCTATTAAATGAAAGCATGGATTCCTTTCCACGCATTTATCCGTCAACATATACAAATTCATGGCTCTCGTAGTTACAAATTGTGACACATGACACCCAAGAATTTTCTTGACAATCAAACCTTTCCGCTAAAGCGTGACATAGAGAAAAGAACTTTCGAGAGATGCAGAGTGTGTCGTTTTTGACCATTGTTCAATAATAAACTGAGTTAACGATTCTCGCATCTGTTTCGCTAATTGAGGAGAAAAAAAAAACTACTTTGCAGTCTTTCTCCTTCCGCAAACTGTTTCAAGATACTCTTCGATTGGAAAGTAAATTTGCATAGCAAACGCTTTTAAGTATCACAAAAGAAAACACTTACATTACGCGTCAAATGGAAATTAATATATGCGGTGGATACCATTAAGATATTAAATTCATTTCATGGCTTACCATCACATGCGGGTCTGACAAGATGTTTTGCAACTCGTAACAGTCGTCGTCGTCTTCGGCCCTGAACTCGACCAGGTCAATAATCTGTGGAAAAGGGAATGCATCAGCCGATGCAAGAACGACGAAAAATGAAAGAGAACCTACTTATGCAATACCACCAGAGCAGGATACAGAGTAGTGCTGATTACACAGTAAGCAAAGGTAACAGCTTAAAAAAGGCAGATAATTAAGATATAATAATGAAGCTTTGATCGAAAAGAAAATTCACCGGATGACCTAAACCTTCTTTCCCATACACTTGACGAAAAGACGTGGGTAGCATCAAATCGCACGCGAAAAATTGTACGACCACACCTTAGTTATTTCATGCATGACTGGGCGCTTACTAAGAGATTATCCCTAACTGTCATTGAAATCTTTCGATTGTCTTTTGATCAATAGAAAAGGAAACATTTGGATGCAAACCAAAAAACAAAACAAAGGACGCTCTATCATGCTAGAAACATTGTAACTTTGAGTAAATATTTATAGTAGATTTCAAATAATCGGCCCAAGACAAATGGACGACTTTAAAGTAAAGATTGTTCGTCTTCGTGCTTGAGTCTTTTACGGATATAGGAATCGTCAGAGAAATCCTGATATAAACGTTGGAAATTCTTTCCTTGTGTATATCATATAGATGTACAGAGAGAGCGTCCCCTTTGATTTGATCTGACCTGCTGTATCAGGCGCAGTAGAGAGATAAAAGTAGTCTTTGACGAAGGCAACATTCGAGCCTAAGTTCTCATTACTCTCTGCCTTATATCTCTCATTGTGTGAGTTCCGAATAATTTGTATCCCATTCCATAATATCCCCTTAATGCTAACTTTTTAATTCGAATGACTTGTCCGCTTGGAAAAGGGATTGATATTGCCACATTGCCAGAGTAGTTAGGAGATATTAATTTTTGGACACCACTCGTAGTGAAAGGTTAAAATCCGATAAACATGGGCAGAAACCACTGGAAACATTAAGCAAGGTGTCAAAAGGAAAAAAATTGTTTTAAATGGTCTCAAGTATTGCTGAACGGGTAACTTGAAGGATGTGCGGATATCGAACAAAAGATGTACACATCCCTCGAGGGCCAAACTAATGGAACTTATCCCAGTTGTTTTAACACGAAGTGACACGGTGCATTGTGAAGTTACAACAATATTCTATCTATACCCCGTGGGGGAGAAATCAATGCTATCATCGACTATGATCTGCCTAGGGTTCGAATCCAGACCCCCCAATTCACCCTCGACATCACATCAATGTTACCGTACTTTCAGCAACAGTTCATAATGTGACATCAATGAGAACGTCAATAAGGACAAAAACCCACGTATGTGAAATCACTAATTAACCCAATCACTGTCAAATTTGTATCAATTTCTGACGTCTTTCTAGCAGTCTTTGCATGCCCCTCGGCCAATGAGAGAGCTTCCTTTAGCTTCCCACCAATCGACTATGATTTTCAGCCATTCAGTTTAAGTTATTTGGACACCCGAAAGGAAACGAAAACAAAGGCTTAAAGTAAAGAGTAAAAAATTCCGCCCATTTAAGAGGGACTTGGAAGCTTTGCAGATATGACTTTTCTTCTACTGAGTGCTTTCTGTGAAGCAGCGATTATGTACCTTTAAATGGATGAGCTAATTAATTAGTAAGTTAAATAAAATTTACAAAAGGAAAAAATACACGACCAGAAATACAGTAATTATATTAACAATGAGAAACGAATTAAAAGGCTCAGGAGCCATTTTTCTCATAATCCTTAAATTTCAGGAAGGTACTTCAACCCCACTGAAATCTTCACTCTTTTCACAAGAATAACACAATCTGGAACCGTCGCACTTGGGTCGAAAATGGCTAACAAATAATTATTAAGAACCGGCAAAGTAAATACTAGTTGATGATTTGATAGATTCTCACTAGTGACCGACAAGAAATCTGAGAAAAACAGTACACAGACTAACCTGAAGCAGTTCAGAAACCAAAACGTACATTATTACATTTTCGCTAACGACAGACTTAAAAGATACGGAGAACAAGCGGTAACACGATACAAAACGCTTCACTTCATGTTTTGCAAAATTTAATGTTCGTTATTACAAACAGTGAAGACATACTCAGTCCAGAAATAAACCTTGAAAAAGTGACACCACGATGTTAACACGATAATAACGAATTTTCCTATTTAAAAAGGCTTCCTCTTTGCTGGTTTGTTACATAAAGCAGCTCCGGTCTTCAAAAAAAACGACTTCACTAGCGAAACTTGTACAGAACACAAAGTGCATCTCATGAGGCGGAAACATTTCAAGAAGATTTTGCAGTGTGAAGCGCGCTTGATCGAATAATTTCAAATGTAATTTTGAGACAGATTTTCCTCACCTCTTTAGCGTCTTCTACCGCGTTAGGAGAACATGTCGATGGACACGAACGATTCTCATCCGTCCATTCTTGGCTTCTGTCGTAAACCTGCAACATGACCGGGAAAATAATGGATATCTTTTTTTTTTTTTTCCTATCGACAGCGTCAGGGCCAGTTTGTGGGCTTGGACGGAATCAATTATTAACCAAAAAAAAGATAACATTTGAATATCGAAAGCCACAATTTCCACTAATCTACGAACTAGTAAACTATATTTTCATTAAGATTTCGTAGGATAAATTTCGCAAACACAAAATGATAAAGTTACTTCCGACGAGAACTCAGAACCAAATCTTCGCTTTTGACAATAATCACAGAATACGACTGGGATTCAAAGTGGCATATGAGGCGGCTTTGAGGAAAATGTTTTCAATCTGCATTTAATGATTAATTCGTCGACCCACTTATATATTTTATCACATGAATATGACACGGACATGCTGCAAACCAATTTGATTTAATTTGTTTATTTGATAGAAAAACGTGAACCACCAACTTCATAGGACAGCTAATTAACATCTTATCTGTACACAGAGGTTTTGAAAAAAGCTTTGTTTCTTGTTTGAAATGCAAAGAATTAATGGATTATAAATGACTTGTCAAGATTATGCCAACCTCGTATAATCAAAATTCTTTATAAACCAAAAAGAAAATAAATTTCAAGTTTATAAAATTACAAATAACGACATTTAGTGTACGAGGAATTTATTCTGATTAATTTGCTTTCCGGTTTTTTTTTTTTTTTTTATTTTTTTATTTTTTCTTTTAATTAAAAAAAATTAAAACCTCACAAACGAATCCCAAACCATTTGGCATCACGGATCTGCATAAAATTGCGCGAACAACGCTACATGTAAATCGTATATACCCGTACATTTTGTCTCTGTTCCAGCTGAGACCCCTATGGCGCGGGAAAATGGATGCGCGAGAACCGGCTACAATCAGAATTTGCTTTCAAATTATGCTGAAAGCACACACTTCCAGATTGGAAGATTGTGGAGGAAAAATTAAGTGTTATTGGTTTTTGATTGATAAAAAACAGCACTAAATTAAAAACACTTTGATACCAAGTAAGGAAGCGATTAAAAAACTGATCTCACCGTGGCCTCGTTCGCCTGAGAGGTTTCAGAATGTCAAGCTCGCTTAGCTAACCAAAAATAAAAGGAGCACACTCCCCTATGCTAATCGACTTGTCCCTGAAGTGTTAGACGCTACTCGTACCTAATCCCCGGAGGAGCATCAAGGCGAATGACAAGAGGAAAAAAAGGGAGAGATTTCTAATTCGCTGCAGTATCGTCAACCGTTTCTTTACGGGTTCTTCCCATTATTTATTTAATAGTTTACCGATCTTAGCAGAGCACACGGGCAGTAACTGGTATTTCATTTCAGCCTTGTTACACCCTTTGTGCCGAGCACTCTTGGGACACGAGTGTAGAATGAAGTTGGGTTAGAATGACTTCACAAATTGCATTCTCACCTCTAGTAAGGCTTGCAACGTCTGGTGTTCAAAGAAGTTCTGTAAAAAGTTCACATCATCTTCGCTTGCTCCGGCGAGAACTTGAATCTCTTCTAACGAGTCAAGAAGCTGACCGATAGCCCCTACGGATGGAGAGAGGTGTGACGGAGATGAGTCGATTGAAAACAAACTCGATCAAAAGTTATTCCGTTATTGCATCGCACATCCTTTTTGCACGTAATTTTCACGCATAAATGGCGCACACACATTTACAAATAGCCTCCTAAGAGAGGAAGATAGTTACTTCTCGTAAATGAACACAAAAATGGACTAATTTATCGGGAAGTTCGATCGATAGCATACATGTATTTCGATGTTGAGAATTCATATGGATGGCTGAGAGTTAACAGAACGAAAGGGGAAAAAAAAAGGAAAAGGTAGCGAGTCACACCTGATGCAGACAGATCATCGTCTTCGTAATCAAAAACATCATCCTGTAAAAAAATTAAAGGTTCATCATGCGATGATATGAATACTTCATTTATTCTATGAATTCTTAAGTAACTTTGTACGAGATACGATCTCTAAACCACAACAGTCACAACGACGAGATCGCTGCTGTGCAATCATATCAATGGTATCTACCATCGTTTTTCTTTCTTTCTGCACAAATCACAACAATCTACCGAAACTATATATTGAGGTGAAAGGAGAAATTTCAATACCTGAGATCCGATGACGTCTCCGTTTGCCACTAAGAGATGAAGAAAAAAGTAACAGATATGTTAAAGAAAAAGGGCACAACACTTTTAGGCAGCTTATCATAACTAGAACTTAAAAAACACGGCTCAGTCAATAAGGGCATCTTACCTGGAAACTTTCTGCTGGCAACAGCAGCTAAGATGGCTCCCTATAAAAGAGAGACACACTGATTAATTTTCTCTAACTCTACAATTTGCCTGTTTTTTACATGCAGACAACTGGTGGAAACTGACATAAATATTATATAAAATATACCTAAAAATTGCTGATTAATTATTTCATTTACGCTTCAACAAATGTTCCGAGCAGTCCATTACTGATCCTGACCTGGGAATGTCAAGCTCATACAGCTGTGGAACACATCCACATCACTAGTCTTACATTTGTGTATAACTTAAAATCACGCATTTCTGATAAGAATTGCCTGAGCTTTTTCTCTCTTAATGTTTGCAAAACAAATTTGATGGAGTCTATGGCGTCATCACTTTACTACTTTACTTAATAAAAACCTACATATCCCTCAGAAATGAAAAGAGCTATTCTAAAACAGTAAATGTCATCTTCTTGCATAAACTTCCTATCACGGTTCAAGGCAGATGCACTTTAAATTCTTTGAATTATAGTGTGACGTTAGAGTCGTTATAAGCACACTTCCTGTTGGTCGTTTGCTTGTTGACTAAGTATGTTAAACCAGCAGTTGTTTATAGGCTTCTGTTTTCTTTATCCCAAATTTTGAAACCTAGAGGACTCAAAGGCTAAACAAAGCAGTGTCGAGAAGAATTTTGATAACGTGACAAAATCTTGCGTGACATTAAGTCGCATTCGTTTGATAGCCTCGTTTTAAATTGTTATGAGCTGGAAAAGCTCTTAACAGTTTAAGAACAAAAGAACGAGCTGGATACCTTTTCCGCTTCAAGACCGCGTGAGATGTAACCAGCATGATACACGGATTAACCCTGTTGGTTGAGTGAGTTATTTGGTCTACTGGAAGAGTGGAATTATGTTTCCCACAGCAGTAAATATGTATACATAAATTTCTTGTACAAATTAAAATGACTGTATTCTTATCACCTTTAACTTTCTTCTTGCATTAAACTTTTTCATTTCATCTACTGAATCCTGAAGGTGAATTCTCTGTGGTACATTGCGATTCTAGAGAAGAAAAAAATATATAAATCACTGTTCAGTAATACAAAACACTTTATTAACCCTAGCTGCGGTTGTTTTCAAGTTTTTTTACAAGGATTTTATTGTTAAAGGATTGAATAATTTGGGACTTAATCTTCTTAGAGAATAACTTCTAACTAACCACTGACTGCAAAATAATACAAAGGACAACACACTTTTCGTGCTAAACACTTGGGTGTGAGTGTACAATATACAGTCCTAACCCCTTAAAAGTTACCGTAAAATTCCAAAATAATTACCCTCATCATTCAGTGAGTACCTCAAGTACATAAACCCATTTTGCCTGAACTGAATAATATTCATAAAATCCATATGAAAAACTTCATATGCTATTTGAGAATTGCAAATTTTACATCCACTAGCTTTTCCTTTAGATGCCAATCTCCATCAGCTGTGCCACCCCTTGTATACTTGTGTTTTAAAGATATAGTTAGAACTGCTTTGATGCAATTCCAATATTTCATTGGCAATGAAAAGAGACAGACTCAAATTTCATGAATTGTGCTGTTATATAGAAACAACTTGTCAACTTGCAATGGTAAACCTTAGAGTTAGTACATACATTAAGCCAAGGATGTTGCAGTGCTTCCCTTGCTGTCAGTCTATCATTCTGATCCTGGGCTAACATCTTCTTCACTAAATCTTTTGCCTCATCAGATATGCTGTCCCAAATTTTTGGTCTCATCTACAAGATGCCCAGACACAACTGTCACCATACAAATGTTTAAAACATAACTTGAATCAAATTCATCCCATAAATTAGCACCTTTACTTCCCCTACTGGAGTCAATGAAATTCAGTTCTTCTTGTTCAATGAATTATTGCTAGTCAGCTTTTTGTTCAACAACAGGAAGTAAAAATAGGCCTTAGTTTTGACACATCTTTTGTTATTAACATACCATGGGTATGCCCTTCTTGATGGATTCGTATACTTTTTCTCCAGTTCCTTGGAAGGGGTATGATCCACTCAGAAGAATGAAGAGTACAACACCTAACACAGGAATGAGAGGCAGTCATACATTAGAAGGTATTTAATTTCAAAAGTTTGTTCTAGCAAGGTACAACTTAATGTTCTTTCAAGGGATAATCCACTGTTTTAAAATTTTCATTTATGTTGCAAAACTGTGGATTACTGTGTTCTTCATTAATTAACATGAAACAAGACTGAATGGAGTTGTACAGGCTTTAACACATAATGCTTTTAATGCTGTCATCAATCATGCAGCTGAACTCCCAGGGAAACAATGCTGTTTAATAGTGTTGAAAAGGTAATGTTTCTGCATTTTCATTGAGAGAATTGTAATCCAATTGTTTCTTTCTAAAATCTAGATGGATGTTATCTTTAATAGTGACTGAAAGCATCATGAACCATACAATTCCCATGTTCTCAAAAGGTGCAGTAACATGGCTGTCTAAGTTACTCTTGATAGATTTATCACATAAACTGATAATCTAAGTTTCTAATACATTTAGGTTAAGAAGAGACTGAAAGCTGACTCTAGAGCCATATCAAAATTGACACTGAAAGTGCATCAAAGCAAGAGGAGATCCTGGATAAATGTTGCAACAAAGAAGGGCTGACTAATGAGGATTATTCCATTTAAAGGTTTCCAAAGTCACATAAAATTTACTATAATTGTAAGTATATTTAATAATCTACTAGGCAAAATTTTAAAGATTTACTCTATCATGGAAGAATTGTTCTTGGTAAAAAAGGCTGGGACAATGATTACAAAAGTGAACTGAAATGCTCAATACAAAAATGACACAAATATTTGCACTATCTTAAAAGTGCTAACAATGATTTCTTGCTCAACTGCCCCAATTACATAATTTTTTTGATGCTGCTTCAGAATTTTGACTTATTACCGTTACCACTAAGTAGAAGAAATACTGTATCACCATTGTAGCGATTTATTTTTCAGTATCATTTCTTCCAAAATACTTAAAAATGAGTATTACATCTACTTACCACATCCCCAAATGTCTACTGGTTTACCATACTGTTCCCTGTTTATCACCTCTGGAGACATAAAATGTGGGGTGCCTATGCGTCCTTTATTGAATCAAACCAGGAAAAAGAAACAAATAAACCAGTTATCACTCCCACTATGGAAACAGTGAACAGGTTTAGGGAGACAATCATACTGAGTTATAACTTTAACACTGTTGGTGGACACAAACACTGTCCAGGAAAGACAATGTCTGGTCCACAGTCTCTTTTTTTTTGTTTGGGGGGGGGGGTGTAGGAGGGGAGTTGGGCTGTAAAATACAACTGTAGAATAAAATTGACAGGGCTAACCTTCATGGGTTTGTCACTAAAAGATTTCCAAAGTGATAAAGATCTCCATTTATAGAGTTGACATGGTTTCAATTTCATACTTAGAGGAAGGGAAAAGAGAAGTTGGGGAAATCAACCATTTATAAACCCCGCACAATAAATTTACTTCTCTATGAGAATATGAGTAAATTTTACTATGCCACTGACAATAACTTGTGTACTATAACTAAATGTGGGAGCAACACAAATTTTTCAAAGCAAGTTATCACATTCATCAGTAATCTTTTGATAAGGGTTTCAAAGTAAAATGCCATGATATTTTCTCTCACCACTTGTGACATAGCCTTCTTCTCCAATTTCTACAGCCACCCCAAAGTCAGCAATCTTGATTGGTGCTGAATTCTCTTTACTTGCCAACAGAATGTTGTGAGGCTGCCAGGAATAAAAATATTGTGACATTCAGTCAAAATCCAGACAAGTGATACTTTTATCATAGTTAAGATACACTTATATTTAGTATGTAGGTAAAATCTGGTGAGTTTCTGCAAGATTTTCCATTTGATTTTCTACATTATAATAGTCCTGTAAAGCTCTACTAACCTAGTCACTTACAGGATCTAAAAATCAGTTTTCCTCATTTTTAACTCTAGGAATGTGGTATTGAATCCAAAATATCCATTTATTGGTATTTTTTTTGTCTCATCCCAGTCAGCTTGAAAATGAATTTATATTGTACAGAAAAACATGTATTTATCTTGGGGATGAAAACGGTGATGAAGTTGAGATGGTTGTCCCTTTGTGGTGTTTAGTGAGACTTGTACAGAGGTTCCCATCAGTCCCTCAAAAATAGGATGAGAGGGTTGTCAGTCAGGGCAATGGATCTTGTAAACTACCTTGTCTGTTGTTTAGTTCATAAACGTTATAGCAGTTATTGGTTATATGCAAACTAATGTTGATGTGTAAAGGGCCACAGGCTGTAAGATCTGTGTGATGGTTTTGCACATGCCCCTATGGTCACCATACTTGTTGGAGTTTTACTGTAATAACAATCAAGAGTCAGAATATACTCTCAAATAATCAGCAAGTTAATCCATATCTTACCTTAAGATCTCGATGTATGATTTCATTTTCATGACAAAATGACACTGCCTCCAAAACTTGTCTGAGATAGTGACTGTTGATTCAAAATTATAGATAGCACTTACTCCAAATGTAAAGCAATGCATACTTCATTGACCACTCTCCCAATGGGACTTTTTAGAGCCAATAAAAACAAATTGGAAACAAACATTTTAAGCTAACATGGTGTTTAAAAATCCTAAGCAGCAGGATGCAGACCACTTGGCCATGTACTGTACATGTAAGAAGTGCTGCCAAGGAGTTGAAGTGAAGACACACTAGAACAAGTCCATTCAGTTGTGAAGGGCTTGAACCTGGTACCACCTGGGCCTGGTTGTTCCAATGGTGGTGCACTTTCCAAAGGATATGTCACTATCCAGTAGATAATTGTAATAAAACATACTGTGCAATCCACCAGATAGAGATTTATTCAGTGGATAGTGTTATCCACCCTTCGAACAACTGAAGCCAAATTACAAGCCCTGCACCCTTGCCAACCTTGCTGCACTGCCTTCACTTCTATACTCCATGACATCCTTTTTTCTTGAATAAATTTGCAACACGGAGTGAGATTCAATAATTTCCAATTTCCACAATAAATTCATATAGTTATAATCATCATTATTATTACCATTGATTATCTTTGTCACTATCGGCATCATCATTATCACCATCGTCATCATCATTATCACCAACTTCTATTATCAAGATGAATTTATCTTCTCACCTTGCTACAGCTTCACTGTAAACAAAACCCGCATGGACACGATTCACTATTTCAAAACACAAATCAGCACCATCCAAACTGCAAAATTAAATGTAAAACACTGCATTCGAAAAATGAAAAATGATATAAAATGCTGTAATTAAAATAAGCATGTTTGATATTTTGCCCTCTACACAAACACGCATAAAGCTTCAAGATAAGAAACAGCTCTGAACAATTTGTTTTCATTATGTAATACAAATATCTGGGCATATAATTATAATTAATTCAGCCTCTTGAATGTTACAGAATTTCAGTCTCACTTCATCTCAACTCAAGAAGTGTTTCCCAGCATTTTGACTCAAACAAAAAAAGGGAAATTACTATTTGCCAACATCTAAGAACATCAAAAGTTACATCAATTAGTAAGAAGCAGCATGACTACATACTTTGGTTGCAATTAATTTCTGTATGTGGCTTTAACAATACTCACTATTCAAAAACCATGTATATATATCCACTCACAGAGTATGCTCCTATGATTTCAACTGCAGAAATAAAAATACAAAGTCAAAATACAGCTGCAGCTCTCAATATTGTAAAACATTGCAACATTTCTCAATACTGTGGAACATTAGATATATGAAATAAAAACATTTTCCCCTTAAAGGTGCACAGCTGTACTCTAGCAGTACCCAGTGGTCCCTAGTGCCCTACTTTTGCTCTAAGGAATCTTTCTTTCTTTTCCCATGTACATGTAAAGCATGTGCTGGGCACCTTTGGTTTCACATTGGGCTTTAAGCACTGGGCTCCCCTTTAATTTTTCTTAGAGTACAGCCATGAAAGTCTACCAAAATTTTGTCATCATGAAAAGACATCATATGAAGTAATTTTTCAATAAATGATAGAATTTTAAAACGTCTAAAGGAAAAAAAAGTAAAAATGAAGCAAAATAGCATGGGCATTGTAACATGTTCACAAATATGTTTTTCTTACTCATTGCAGAAATTCTGTATTGTATAATCATGCATTATAGCCCAGAAAAAGGGAATACTTGAATTAAAGCTGCAAGAACACAGTATGTATCACTTTTTTGTTCCTTTATCATTCTGACTTTTAAATAAAAAATTTAAAAAATGAAATATTTGATATATATCATTCTTGAATTTAAACAATACTTATAAAGTGGTAATCAAAATAATGAGACACTAATAGTAATGATAATAATAATATGAAGAGGAATAGAGTAGATACTAAACTACATGAAGACATTTATGTGTCTGTCATGATATAAATGGTCAGAGTTGTTTGCATGAAAGAAGTAAGCTGATGACATCAATCTACACTAAAAACAGTTCTTCATCGTTATGATTTACAAAGTGATGATACAGCCATTGTATTTTTATGGTTCATTTAACCCTTTAACTCCCAAGATCTAATTGTTAATTCTCTCCTGTAGCTGCTACACATTTCTGTGTAAATTGGTTATGAGAACTTAATGCTAGATCAAGATAGCAGCTTCTACTTGATAAGTTTGAATATTCTCATTAACTGTTTGCTGAAGAATGTATGGATATTGTAGGGAGAAGTTTTATGTTAATCACTTCTGGGAGTTAAAGGGTTAATATTTTCATTCATTTACCACTTAAAAATATTCTGAAGTCAGAAAATCATGCTCTATCTTAAAGAATTTCACATGGAATGTATTTTTATTATTCCACAGAGCTGTGATCCTCAGTACTGCAGCACTACAACCTTTGTGAATCTAGTAATCTGCATTGAATCGACTTGATGATGTCGATACCAGAGTTTTAAAATCTTCCATGTGCATTTTCTACCCAACAGTATGTGCATTTATTTCCCATAAAATTTTTGTCACTATGAGTTCAGCAACAAAACACTCTTTTATCATCTGTATCTGACCATTAATTTTGCTGTTTACCATTCTATTAGTTCAATGGCCACTTTAATGCAAATTCAATATTCTACAAGATTTGCATGTACCTGTACCAAAATTAAATTCTGAAAATCACGGGGACCAGCTGACATCTAATGCACAAGTCTTATTTATTTACTTGGAGGAAAAAATGAAATAAATGCATTCTTTACTTGGAAAAAGAAAATCTCATTTTAAATTTGAAATTTTAGTGCTTTCAAAAGACCAATCAAAACTTTTAAACTATAGATGGAAAGACTTAATCCATTTAGAAATGTCTGTATTTCTTATTATTTTTTTTGTTCTTCAGAAAAGCAAACTCTTGAGTCTCACTTCACTCATAGGATTCAAATTGAATATTTTAACTAAATCTAAACGAATTGTGAAATAAGAAATAAACTTAGATCCCACGGATTACGACTTCAATCAAATCAGCGGTGGAATATACATTGTATCTACAGCAGGAAAACTCTACGAGTAATTGATACTTGTTTAAATGGTATAATGCCCAAACAACAACAGCGGACACCTAAAAAGCATGTCGCCAAACGAGCGGAAAATTTACATGACAGAAGTTTTCCTTATTCATATCCGTTTATACTGTACCTATATGAGGATGCCGCAATTTCTGGCAGATACGGGCCTCCCTCTGTAAATCTGCGAACGATGAATTAAAAAAAAAGTTTAAATATCTTTTCAACGTAGAATGGATAGGTTACTTTCTGATGAAAATTTTTAACGCGTAAAGAGAACGCCTTGTCGGCTTTAGAAGGCTCAACCACCCTGAAACAGAAAGATGCGAAACCACCGGAAAGAAGGTTTGAGAAATACAAACCGCGTGTCCAGAATTAATAACCCCTTCACTGGATATCTAATAACATAAGAGGGCATTTCTCGCATCGTTTACTGTTCCCTGTATCTGATAAATAGCGCGAGGAAAAATATTTCAATTCACCCTGACGTGCATGTAGTCTTCGTTCGTTTGCCTAAGGAACATTTTTATTGCTTTCATTTAGAGGTTTATATAGAAAAACACATATTAGAAGAGCAGATTTGAGGCAATCGAACCTTAAGTATTGCATCGGCAAGAAGTCAATAAAAAATCGAACGTTAAATTCACGTTCAGTTCGGTGTTCTTCAAACTTTAAGCACATGCAATATCAAGATGCTTTCATTACATTAGATTTAAACATTAGCAAACCGGATAACAACCAAAATCCTCTTGCACCTGAATATTATGCATAAAATCAGCAAGATAGCGGCATATTACCTTCTTCTGTAAGACCACTCGAGGAGGACATTTTTGCAATATCTACAATTTTCACCGCACACACTCGATCGCTTCTTTTGTCGAAACATCTTCGAATAACACTGAAAGTACCTCTGCAAACAAATTAATAGGTACGCTTTACACTTCACAACATTCGACGGTAATACAAACTACACATTTTTAAGATATCGACAAGGTAATACAAGAAGATAAGAAGTCATAAAACCAAGATTAGGCAAACACGCAAACATTGGTGATTCGCAATTGCAACTGCCTGTTACATTTGGTTCTCGAACGACCTTTCAGATATCAGCAAGAATACTAACTTTCCGATTTGTTCTTGAAGGTCGAACCGCGACGGAAACCCGTTTTCCATGTCAAATGTAGACAATTTCCTTCTCCAATTTAAGTTTCTAACCGCTGGATTTCAAGACTTTCGAGCCGATAGCCAAAAGAGCATGGCTACAGTAGTTAAGTTCGGTGCGCGAAGGGAAAATGCCTTGCCCAGATCAGATGAAATGACCACTATAACAGCTGTAAGCTTGGTTACGCAGCTGCTTGGTAGCCACGCCAAATCTCAAATTCCTGATCGTCTCTTCCACAACCCTAACTTGCACGCTTAGAGTTAACCGCAAAAAGGAACCTAGGGTTATTGAAGTGGCCCGTGAAATCAATGTAAATTAAAATTAAGATAGGATTTGAGTATGTCTAAACGAAACGCGCGTGATTTTGTTTGTTTGTCTGTTTAATCGTGAAAATCCATTAGTTTAATTCTTTTGCGCCAAAAAGTCTCAAGTTGTTTGTGTTCGATTCTGGAAAGCTCCAGCCTGAATGATTTAGCTACAGAAAGGTCAAGACTAATCCAAGTATTGGCAACTATGGACTGAACGATGCCGTAAAAATAAGCTGCTCATAGCCATTTTAAATACTTCGATCCCCTTTCAGACGATGACCTAAGGTCTGTGAACGGACAAGTCTGTAATGACCCCCAGGGAACAGCCGACACTTCAGAAAAAGACCACGTACGTATCAAACTTCGTTCTGAAAAGCCCTGGAAACGAGGTTGGCTCGCATGCACAAACGGTTGCGATGTGTAAATTTGTTAAAATGAGAAAGCGACAAAAAAGGGCTAACGCTAGAACGTCAGCGTTAGAAAATTTCTACGGTGGTCAAATTACATTAGAAACTCAATTGATTACACCAAGTAATCTCGTAATTTACCTCCCACCGATGCGGCAACACAGTACAAACTTACGCTTACATCCTTTTTTACCAAAATTAAGAAGAATTATGATTCGTCTATAATAGCTCTTATTCACCGTGCATTCATATATATTTGACAAGTAGATTACCTCACTTCTAATATGACAATTAGATTACTTTACTTCTAACATGACAATGAGATTAGCTTACTTCTTACATGACTTTGACTGGTCTAACTGTGCTGTCGGCTGCGCTAAAGTGTAATTTATTTAGAACCAACATCATGACCAGCTCCCAGTTGGCTTGTTAGCTCAGTTGGTAGAGCGCTGCACCGGTATTGCAGAGGTCATGAACGTACAGGCCTGAATTTTTTTCAGGCCTTATTTTCACTACTGCCTAAGTAGTGCACATTACTGCGAGGATCACTTTCATTCACGTCTTTATCCGCAGTTCAAATATATGACTTTCATATATTCTTAACCGTTTAAAGTGTAATTTGATAAACATAACGTCTTTCTAGAACAACGCTTAAATTTCATAGATACTATCAAGCACCCATACATTTTACTGTTTTACTCCTAAAAATTGCGCTCAATATGTTTTTAAAACAATCACGTAGTCTTCTAATAATACATTCTTAACTAAACTGTGCATGCGTTTAAGACCGAAATTAAGCGATAATAGAGACTGGGTCGAATGTGATACGATGTATTGTGGGTAATCACAAAATGGCGCCGACCTCGACCCGTTCGATTCAGAAAGATAGCATGTAATTATGTTTTGTCAACATGTGAGTAGATTACGGCAGCGTTTTGCTGCCAGATAGCTTTGACAGTAATGACAGTTGAACACCCTTCAACCGCTAATAAGGTAAGATTTTCTACTGCTAAATTCAGTTCCTTTCTTCTCGATAGCGTGTATTTGATGAAGATTTGGTCTTTGATTCATAGTAGGCTACGTACTGTTCACCAGTCTAGTAGTTAATGTATGTAGACCTGATTCTAGTGAGTAAGACATGGTAGATCGAACTGGAAAGATACTATTGGGATTTTTATTAAGGAAATCCGGCATCCAAAAGGTAAAACAGGGTTAAGAAAGGCTAGCCAATGTGCGATCGAAAAAATTAACGAAAAATCTTAAATTTTGAAGGATCTCAATATAAAAAGACGTTAATGAAACGAATGAATCAAACTCCACTTGACATTGATATTGTAAAATTTGCTATATTTTAACATCTTAGTCTGAGTACTAGATTAAATGTTGTTATGTTTACCTCTGTGCCACGTGATCCAGGTGTATGATCATGACTTTACTTGTCATGGTGTCTTCAACTGTACATGGAAATTTAACTCGATCCTCAACTTTTGAAATAGTCAAAAAAATTTTTCTTGTGACTTTCATAGCAAAATGATCAGATACAAGTTTTAATTACATGGGTCTGCTGTGCTTTTAAAAGGGACCAATATTTGTAGTTAAAGAAGTTACTCACCCCACAACAGTAATGACCAAAAAAAGGTTTCAAGTTAAAAATTGATTTCACTTTATCTGCTAAGCTGTGTATTACAAGAAGGGCTGGGTGTCCAAGTACTCTTGTCTCAGAAAACTAGGGCAGACAGAATTTAACAACAAGTTGCCAACACAGCGATAAGAAAAAAAGCCATTGTATTTATCAGTTGAGAAGGTCTATCACTGTTTGAACTTCTCAGCAGATCAGTTATAAAATCTTTCAGACAGAACAGAATTGTTTTCATGTGTACAAATTTTGTGAGTGAGTTTTTTCAGTTTTTTTTTCTTTTTGGTTGAGTTGCTCTTTAGAGGTTTGTTCAGTTTAGATTTAAGAGTTAACAGTGCTTCTATTTGGTGGTGTCCTTTTTGGCCTTCTTCTTCTACTTCTTAGAGAGAAGTACAGTTGAACCTGTATTATGCGGCACGATATTAAATGGTCATCCTATATTGTGCAGTTGGTTGTCAAAGTAACCAAATTGTTTCCCCTTAGGTTCTGTAATTTTCATCTCTATTAGACATCCCAGTGGCCAGTTTGTATTTTGTTCTGCTTGTATCAAAGGGTGATGTAAGGCAGAACCCCTTAAATAAACTAATCATACTCTCTTAAGTGAAGTTTACTCCATGTTTATCTCCTGGAGTCAATATTATTACTTTGAATTCAGTTGTTATCAGTACATTACAGATTACATGCCTCTCTCTTCTTTGGACTGTCAGGACAAATATTACATGCCAAAAAACACTCACTCATTTGCTGGTCACTCCACCATACCCTGTGGGTGACCACTTAAAACAGGTGTGACAGTATTCCATCAAGGATTTGGGGGGGGGAGGGTCTTTAGACCAATTGAGTAGAAATGAGCAAGAGAAAGGATGTATTCAAGAAGGTCAGTTGAGGATTAGATTTTTAGAAAATGAATTTTGGGATATAAATTATCAAAGTATTTACAAGAAATGGGTACAAGTAAATATCAAATGATGTCAATAAAAACTTCACCAGTGTCACATTTAGTACGTGATTCAGTGTTGATTTTGTAAATATTTTGATGGTTTGTTTTTTCTTATTTATGGTCCATGAATTCAGGTTATTGTTAATACTGATGAGCTAAATCAGATTGTAGAGGCCACGGGTGCTTCCTATGATCAAGCCAATCAAGCCTACATTGTAAGTCAATCAGCAGACACTGATATTTCTTCTTAAAAACAGAACAGTTTAAGTGTTAGGTAGTGAATATTCTGAATAGGAGAGTAACATTATTTTGATTGTGAAGTTTGATCATCTGGGTTTGATCAGTAATGAGATAGACTACTGTTGGTAGCAATGACTTACATTTTGACAACCTTGGTAGAGGATGTCATCATTGGAGCCAACTTGCCATCAATGACTACTTCCACTGAGGTTACTATTCAATTGTCAGTCAGTACTACCTACAACAGTCCTTCTCAGGACCACCCTTAAAACTCTTTGCATAACCCATTAGACCACTCAATTCAGACTCTGCAGCAATAACCAATTGGTCATGTCTTCTTCCTTTCTACATTTAAACCCTTCACACCCTAACATCAGTATCCATGTTCTCTACAATCTTTTCTATGCATTTCCTTTGGAACTGACAAGGACAATTCATTTAAAAATCAAAGTATCTTTAGGTGGCATTCATTTTCTTTATTCTTATGATCTTAATGAATGAATGATTCTGTAGTGTCGCTCTAAGGAGAAATTAGATTATGGTCACTCTTAGGGTTTAAAAGGTTAAAATTGATACTGGAATTGATTTTATAATTCTGAATTCCTTTTGTTGCTGTATCTTCAGGCCAGTGGCAATGACCTTCAAAGAGCAATAGCAATGTTGACAGACACTCAGAATCCTAATGCCTCATTAAAGGTGCTTTTCACATTTTGATGTCATGTTTCTGGTATATGGCAAGGTTGTTGTTGGGCACTGGCAACCAGTGAAATTTTCAGCAGGAAAAAGTAGCTTTGACTTGCATTAACTCACTAAAGCACATAGAAGATTGTCATCTAATTGAAAATATTGAAATATAAGTCTTACAAACTTTAGTATTAGTTTTGCAAATGGCTGGGAAACAAGTGTTTTCACTAACCCTAAAGTCCAGTTTTTTATCGCACACAAAGCACCTTCTTGGATGCACCATAATTGAGCCCCCTCACTTGAAATTTTAGTTGGTAGCTGAAATTTCTCAGCAACAATCTTGTTAATGGTGTATTTCTGTTTCTTGGATGTGGTTGTACTTCATACTTCTAGGTATGCATGGATTGACTTAGTAGCTTGTAGACCTATTGGCTGATTATGAGCTGATTATGATTATGTAACTGCTGGCTACTGGCATAGTTCAGTAGCTGAGAAAGATTAGGTGCAACTCTTGTTTCCAGATCTCCCTTTGAGCCTTCTCAGTTCTAATCTTAAATGACAGACAATTTCTTTAGTTACAACTCTGAACCAGATGAGGTCAGCCAAAGCACCACAGGAAATTTGGAAAAGATGATGATTTTACTGTTCCCTTTGTCAGTCAGAAAATTGGGGGTTGTGGATATGTGTATGTTTGTGTAATTGTATATTAGAGTTAATGCCATTGGAGATAACATGGTAATGAATGATTCATCACATAATCAATTCATGAAACAAAAAGTACATTTGCTTATTGTAAAGGGAAGCAAAGTGCTAATTTGTAAGATAGATATTTGTTTTTAAGGTTTATGACTTTCTATCTCTCATGTCAGGTGAGCTTTAGGCTAGCTCATCTCCTACTGTGGGCTTGTTCAATGGGTATATCTGATAGATAAATGAGAAAAGAAAACAACTGTCTTTTTGTCTTCAATAGGGTGTTGCAAACCAAACAGGTGAGTTGTTTTAAGATCTCTTACAGTACATTTGTGTGTGCTTATTACACAGATTCATGAAAATACACAAATTCTTTTTTCCACAAGTCAGCAAATTTCTAAAAAACATTGATTACCAGTGGCTTTAAAAAACTGTGCTAGATTAGGTTAGAAAGTAGGTTTTAGAGGACAAAATTGATTGAAAAACAAGTTTATAAACCACCCCAATGTCGAGAATTTTTTCTAGAATGAAAGCAGCTTATTGACTGTATTGTTTCAATGACATCCAAATATCCAAATAGAAATTCCAAGGAACCAAGGTATGTCTCATTTAAAGATAGAAAATGAATCTTAATATGTTGATCTCAGCCTATCTAAAGTCACCTTTATGGTAGGGTGTAAACTTTTGATAACCAAGTGCCACCATTTATGATTGATACCAAACTCAATTCAATTTTCGATAGGAACAGGAACACAGACCTTTATAGGACCACAAAATGCTCCTGGTAGACCACAAAGTAAGATTTTGTTGATTATTATCAATTACAGTTATATGTAGTGAAAGCAATTTTCATTATCAATCTAGGGTTAGTTTTACTCTTCTAAGCACAGCAAAGCATGCTCATTGCAGTTTATGTGTTTTGTGTTTAAACAGGGTCTTACTACAGCATATTGATAAATTTGGATTTTTAAAGTGCCCTTTTTTTCAGATGCTTTGAAACTTTCAAATGAGGTCATTGTGTTGACCCATGTGGTATTTTCATGCCTCTTTAAATTGAACACTTTGTAGCGAATTTTCATCGATCAGATATAAGTGACCCCCATGTTGAATAAAATAGCAGGACTGTACATGCTTACTAACCATTCAACATCTTAGTATTATTTTCTTCTTAATATAATTTTTAATCATTTTAGCTGATGTAATTGACCTAACGAAAGAGACAGAAGACTTGGAATATGCAATTGCTCTTAGTTTACGAGAGGCACAGGTGTGGTATACACTTTGTTATATTAAAATTTGTTGGGAGAATACTGGAGGCAATTAAAATTGCTGGTTTAACTTATTTTGGCATTATTTAGAAACTAGACTAGGATACCAATGAAATAGCTGATTTAGAAAAGATGCACCAAGTTATTTACATTTAGGAACTAAAATTTACAGTGATGTGCAACACAATGCAAGAAGAATTTTTCCCTTCTTTTAGAATTAATCAAGACTGTTGGACTCTAATTTTTCTTTGGCAAAAGAATTCAAAATAACATCAAACCTGGTTGAAATCTGTTAATCTAAGAAATAAAATTGAGGCACAGCATGTTTTAATTAACAAGTTAAAAAATTTATGAACTGTTGGAGCAACTTACATTCATAAGTTTATTTTCTTTTGATCTTAGGGTATAACTGTAGAAGAACAAGATATAAGCAGGTACAATATTTTTCAAACTTCAAGATCATGTTTAAGCCGCCCTTTACACCTTAGCATCAGAATGAAAGTTCTCCATACTGATCTGTACACATTTCCTAAGATGCTGTCAAGGAGAATCTGTTTAACAATCAAGAGCTTCTTGAGTTTGGGATCATTTCTTCTATTCTCATGACCTTAATGTGTGATTCAGGGGTGATACTGTTGGGAGAAATTAGATGCTTATCACTCTTAGGGGTTAAAGGGTTAAGATTGTTCACCATTTATGAGTCTTTTTACTTTCTTCCAATCATTCATTACATGATTTTCATTTCCTAAGTTATTGAAAATGGTTTAAATATTCATTAAGTACTAAACCTCTAACTGATGAATACATAACTATAATTGCTCTTCCTAATTAAATGGTCATAAGCTGTTGGTGCCATTGTCAAGGAAAAAGCATGAAATCATGTGGTCATATTTATCCATCAAAGAATTGGTGTGTCAAAAGAATAATAAGTGTTTCACTTCTATAATCCAGGCTGTCTTGTTACATTTAGTGGTCAGTGATATTTTTTCCAAAACCAGGTTTTCATAAGCAATTTCTTCTTGAGCCACTGAAGAAAACTCATTTTGGCATTTGTGTTCTTTTGAAGGGTTTTAGAAGCCAGTTTAGCAGAAAATAAATCTGGTCTAAAGCGGAAGAGAGGTGATCCTTGGGTGAGGTTTGTGGATCCTGTGAATCCTTATGAGCGTCAGCGCTTAGATGGGTGCCCTGTGGGCCTGAAGAATGTAGGGAACACATGCTGGTTTAGTGCTGTCATTCAGGTTTGTATATCTGTTACTACAGACATGTTGACAACTTGGAGACTCATCAGTGTCATCATTTTGGTGCATAAGAATTCTATACTTTGGTGTATTCTTGAAGACTCATCAGTTCATGCATTTCTCTTGCTAGCAAATTTCCCACTAAACAAGAGGCACACTATATTCCAGAACATATATGATTTTTTATCTCAAATGTGAAGTATGAATTGTACTCTTCTTGTGATAATTTGAGATTTCAAAGATTTAGGTAACCCTTGCAAGTTGTATTCCAGTATAACAGAAATTAGGACTCAGGTGCTATAACAGTAGTTTATGACTAGTCCCTCCTTTTCAAGGAAGACCCATAAGTAAAAAAAATCAGCCAAAAAAAAATGGTATTGAGCACTAACTTATACCATACAGGTTTTTGTGTAAGAAAAAGCTTGCCACAGATGTTTGATCTGAAATTCTTACCCACTTGTCCTAGCTATATTTTCACAGAAAAGAAAGAGTAGGTATATTGCATTCCCAATCACTACTCCAGTTAACATAATCATGTTTCATGGCTGGTGTTAGTAAACAGGGATGCTAAAGAAATCCACATATGAAGCAGACAAAAGATTTGTATCAAGACAAACCTTTGAATTGCTTTGCATGGAACAATGAAACATCTATTACTAGTCAAATACTAACAGCAGTTTGACCCAGGCCTCATCTGTTGTCCATTTCTTGTTGTCCTTTTACTTTCAAGATCTTGCCGGTATTTCTCCTTACTGTCTGCCTTACAAATGCTATGATGTTAGTCCAGAGAATTTGACATTGGATCAACCACTAATCCCCTCATTGATATTTTTCTTTATTCTCATCGCTTGTCTTTTTGATATTGTATTGTTATTGTAAGGAGAATTTCTGCCCTGGTTACTCACATGAAGCTATCATACTGATGAAACTCTGTCTCTGCTTTTTTGCGATAAACTTATTGTTATTACTATTATTATTATTATTGTGGCTAAAAAATACTAGTCCTGACTTTAGAATATAAATCATTTTACCCACAAAATATCTTATCAGTGTTTCCTGGCAATGCCCTTTTCTTTTTCCTTCCTACTCAACAGTCATTATTTCATCTTCCTGTTTTCCGACGACTGGTTCTCAACTATACTCCTCCACTGGATCCTCAGGAAAAACCTGAGGTGAGTGATGATCTTTTCTAGTGTCATTTAACTGTTGGTTGGTTGACTCTGAATCTGTATGTGTCTGTGGTATTTACATGTACAGCGTTTAGTTGAATCCTGTTGTTGCAGATGAGATTCAAAAGACTTTGTAAGGCCAATATTCTAATGTACATTTGTCAAGAGGTCAGATACTTTTGCACTGGGCTGTCTGGTCAACTCTTGATCTATAACTGAAATTATGGTGAACTTTCTATGCTGGAGATTTCAATTGTAATTCTCCTCATCCTCTGCCATATAATTATTATATTGCTAGTGCTGAGATCTCAGTACTTATTTACTTTCAGTTATATTGTGTTGATATTGGCATGAGTAATTATGCTTGGGTTGGTAAAGGGTGTGAATGGGCTATTAGAAGAATTGGGTGTTATGTGAACAAATTTTTATTTAGGGATGAAATTCAGCTTTTTGTTTCCTTTTTTGAGATAAAGTAAATGTGACAACATCAGCAAATTTTGTGTGGGGATTTCCCTTGTTTCACTTGCTGTCCTTTTTATTGTGTTTCACAGGATGGTTATCGTGTGTCTTTCATGACAGAGCTGCGATTCTTATTTGCCTTAATGCTTGGTAGTAAAAGAAAATATGTGGATCCAACCAAAGCTGTACAGGTGTGTGTCTTTACTTGAACTCTAAAGCACAAAAACAAACAGATGGGTGTGAGCAACCAATTGGGGGCCTTCCTTAGCTAAGCCAGTGGAGAAAATAACAGAAATTTTAATTTTTTTTTTTTGGTAGGGGAATGAAATTTCTTCCTTCAATTGATTGTCATTGGCAGTGACCTGTACTGGGTCTATGACTAGTACTTACTCTCTAATTAGCCCAAACAATTCTTTCCCAATGCAGGTTTTTTTTCCATAACTTGGTCCTGCCTCAAGATGTCATCCTAGTTCACTAGAGCTGGCATGTGTTCTCTGAATTAGATTATCACGTTTGCACTTGTTGATAGAGTAGATTTTAATGGGGTTTTGTCGGTGACCATATCTTCCTTTAAAAATTATTTGCTTGCAGATATTAAAGGAAGCTCTGAAGTATAATGGGAGTGAAAGTAATCCTGGAAACCAACAGGTATATACATTTAAGGACCCTTGTAGGTAATGTAATTTGGAAAACAAATGCGGTGTGATCAAAATCACAGAATACAAAATGAAAGTCTAATGACTGTATTTACTCTTTTTCCTTCGTTGTTCACATTCTAGTGATAATTGATTGTGTTTTCTCTTAAAAAAAGAGAGAACTCTCTTTTTTTTTTTCGTCCATGGCCCAAGGATCTTGCAATCATTGTTGACAATGTCCCTATCGATTTTTGCCTAGTTTGCAGGCTTGCCCTCATTATTAGCGCTTGGCATAAGCATTTCTTCGTCTTCGGGGAAGTATGAGGCTTTGAGCAACGCAAGCCTTGCTAATAAGGAAACTTCATAATCAGTGCCAGACCCTTGGTAAACCTCTCCCCGACTCGCCTCAAATTTGTCCGCGGGCGGAGAAACGCGCGTCTTTCAGCGCTCATATTGAAGGTTGATTTCTGCATTTCTTTTATTTTTAGGATGTCAGTGAATTCACTCATAAGTTGCTGGAATGGCTGGAAGACTCATTTAAAGTTAACCACAACAACGGCGTCGACGGCAGTCCAATTAGGAAGTAAGTAATGATCACAAGGTCTGACATCTAATTCTTGAAAGAAACGTGAGTATTATTGGTGTTTGCCGAAGAAGAAAACAAAGGTTTCTTTATGCTATGGAACTGATCGTACCGTTATGGTAAGCGTCTTGCCATGACAACACCTCGTTATTTGGCTCGAAATGATATGAGCCGCCAATCAGGGTATGATTTTGCGGGTCTTGAGTTCTATAAAGGGTACATAATTTCACTATCAAGCGCCTTGAACAGGTTGTCTTTTGGATTGGAAGCCTCGGGTTGGATTTGATGTAATTTAGTTATAATCAACTCTTGAATGTAGCGTGATTGTGTTTCCTAGTTAGAACAACTCTTCCACCGAGGGCCGGTTAATTGAATATAGTGTATCGTCCTGGTGTATCGCCATATTTCTTCAAGAGTTAGCCTTTTGATATAAATATAGGTTTTTCCTGTGTTGACACTCGTCACACTAGTCAGCCTTGAGAATAAACGTTTGGCCAAATGAAAATGATTTAGAATAAACAGGGTTCGTACGGGTCCTGAAAAACCTGGAAAGTCCTGGAATTTTACTTTGACATTTTCCAGGACTGGAAAGTCCTTGAAAAAGACTACAGGTCCTGGAAAGCCCTGGAAATCTGCTTAACAAAAGCAATAAGAAAATTCCTGGAAAATTCCTTGAAATTTTTTTTTTGAAAAAGGGTACGAACCCTGAATAAAGCTTTGCTAGATAACAGCTAAACTTTCTTTGAATGACCAGCTCGTGGTTGTTTGGTTTGGATGGAAAATCGAGAGTGTGTTTTTCCCTTGATTTGTAAAAATATCAGCGTTTAAAAAACTTAACGTGTTTTGTTTAGACACAAAAAACACCATTAATTTTTTTCGCAGCGGCAAAGACCTAAATCCTGTGGTCGAATTGTTTTTTGGCGAGTCTAACGTGGAAGGTGTCTACGAAGGTGAGTTTATTTGCGTTACCTGAGTGTGCAGTTTAGTTATGTCGAATGATTACTTCTTACTGACTGAGCGCGAGGGGCGCGCTGGGACACATTTATGGTCCGTGGTGGTGGCATTGCGCGAAATCCGTACAAAAAAGACCGAGGGCCAGTATTCACCTGTACGGCTAAAGCAAGCCAGATTTATAAGTAGTTTGCTATAAGGCACTCGAACCAAACTTGTGTATTTGAATTTGTTTTCTTTCGCGAACTAAAATACACGACGCGGCTTTTAACCGTTTCCGTGGAAACGGTCCTTATGGCAAAAGACAGACCATTTAAGAACCAATTAGAACGCTCGGATTTACCTCAGAACTACTTTGCCATATGATAGAGAATGTTATATGCGGTTTGAGGAATTGTTTTGTTTCATTTGATTTGGTTTGATTCATTTCAAATTTTGCCAAAGATCTTCTCAAGGAATCCCTGCTCTTAAGATGGAAACTACTTGATGACGAAAAAGAATCATTTATCTGTTCGAGAGACATTTACTTAAAGGTGGCTGTGTGCCTCTAGTATTCCGTCTCTCGCAGCGAAATAACTTGCGTCAATCATCAACTGTCAGCGACAGAAAAAAATCCTGGTTCTGCGTGCACTCTGGGAAGTGATGCGCCCGGGCGATTTTTTTCTTTTTCTTTCGGAGGATGGAGGGGGGGGAGGGGATTATGCAAAGGAATTATGCAAAGGAAGGTTCGATTCCTTATGGGGATTCAGACATTTTCTGTGTTCCACGTTCATCTCACTCTTAAATGATTTTGTCGGAATCAAAGGTAATACTAAGTATACAGGTAAACTGGATCGTATAGTTCCACTACATATGTGCTCCCTATGCTTTGCTGTAGGTAAGACCTTCAGCAAGAAGGAAACATTTGGAGCTTTTCCCCTGCAAGTTCAAGGCTATGGTGACCTTCATGACAGCTTAGAAGGAGCTATGGCTCAAGTAGAGATTGAACCAGTAGGTCCCGAAGGATCACAAAAGTCTGGACAGGAGGTGGGGTATATCGGCTGTAATCTGTAACCTTCGCTTGAGAAGCCTTGATTTCAAGGTGATGAACTCCAACAGAGTCAGTTTGGGTGCAAGCCTGAAAATGGGTTCATTACCGTGGTGGTTAAAAAGAGATGCTTCACGCTCACAATCCTTTTTCCAGCCTTGACTAAAACCGGCCACCAGCAAAATCGTCCAAAAATAGTTTTTTTAAAACCACTCACCTTTCACCAGCAAACCCTGAAAATGCAAAGCGAACGCGAATGAGTGGTGAAAACGGATTTTGTCATAGCTTTCTTAATATGTCTTAATGCAACAGACGTTTTACATTGGTCTGAACGTCAGAGTGGTTGATTCACAGACGATGCGGAGCTTCTGCACAAGGCACTGATCCCTTCATAAGCGACTTTGTGACTAAAAATCAGATGGGAGAACATGTTATCGTGTGGCATTATTCAGCACCCGAAGGACTTTTTCTGACAATGTTTTACAGCGTAGCCTGGCTGTGTTAGCTACTTTCATACCAACACTTTAACTTGGGTCGTTTTGGATTCTGGTGCTTGCTTAACCTGAAGATTTCTCCTTACTTTTAGCACTGGTTCACCCGTCTTCCAGTTGTACTCAAGTTCATGCTCTCTAGATTCCTGTTCAATCAATCCACAGGCAGAGCAGAAAAAATACATGAGAGATTTTTGTTCGACCGAGTTATCTTCATGGACCGGTAGGGATTTGTTCGAATGTAACCAAACCAAACGTTTAATTACAAAGTCTGCGACATTCTGAGATGATTTACTCTTTCATTTGATGTAACGTAGTTTAACTGATTACTTTTTCTGTTTGGCGTTCAGTTTGTAAAATAGAGCGAAATAGTAAACAGCGTGATAGTAATGCATGAGTGCCGAAAAAGCGAGAGAGGTCTGGGTCGGGTCTCGTGATGAACGACCCGTTTTTACTAAATGGACGCCTGGGACATGCTGATTCTGTGCTGAGTAGTGCGTTTTCGAGAGTAATTACGTTTGAGTCTGATATTTCTATAATTTGTTGTGCTTGGCACAGGTACATGGAGCCTAACAAGGAAATAACGAGAACGTACAGAGAAGAGGTGAAGAAATTAAAAGAACGAAGAGCCAAGCTTAAAGGCAGCCTTGAAAAGTGAGAATTCAAACTCTATTGTCATTGAGTGACGTTTGTGTATGGTTAATGAGTCGATGTCACGTGTTTCCAGTTGCGTCATGTCAAGAAAAAAGTTGTGATGGTGATCGTTAAAACATTAACACCATCTTTCGATTCACCAATCCGTTCTTCAGTTGATTATTTGCAATATTGATTACGTTTTTCGTTGCAGATCTCTGACAGAGGGGCTTGACCAGTGTAATTGACAATCTAAGGGAACCTGTGACTACAACCGATAGATTTGCTTGAAATCACGCGATTCGCCTATTGACAGTACTTGAAATCGATCCGAAAGGCTATACAAAGCGGAAAAAATTGATGTGACACGGATAGTTTCTTAACAAAGCTTACTAGAACTTATCATTGCAGCACGGCGTTGGTTTTGTAAGAAAAAGACTCTCGCCCCATGGTACAAAGTTTTCTTTACGCGTTACCTCCTTTGTCATATTTTAGGTACCTCAAGTACGGTCAAGGTTCCAGACGTTGTCCTATCCAAGAAGTTTTAGACAGTGCTCTATCGTTCGTTCAAAGCACTCCTCCATCAAGCGATGAACTCGATTCCGATGTTGATGTAGACATGAAAACTCCTCTGTCAGGCTCACCCACACCCATGAGCACCATGGGAATGGTGACAGATGCACACTCACCTACACCTTCTCCGTGCCCTTTGTCCGATGTACGGTGGACCCCAGCGCCTCGTCACGTAACAGAAACGGAAGTGGCTGTGCTGGAGGGCTGCCTAAGGCGGTGGAAGCAAGAGATGGAAAAGGATACTAAAGGTGAAATATTGCTGTGATTTAACTTCATATACTCGTTAATAAGCAATAATATATAGATTTAGCCAAGCCTAAAAGCGGAGCTCGCATTTTTTTTCCCGCAAGTTTCAAGGGCACAACGCCTTGCCCCGGCTAGGACTAGAACCCGAGTCATCCGACTCGGAGCCCAGTGCACTAACCACTGGACTACTGAACAAAGCCGTGGCGTTGGCGTGTCCGCGGTACAGTTGACCACGCATGTTAAAAGTAGGACCTTGTACGGTCGTACGGTCGTACGGTCGAACATCCAAATTTTTTCGGCTTGATGGGTTACTACTATTTTGTATAGTTATGGGGCTACGCTCTGCGAGCTCCGCTATCAGGGATGCTGGTTGAAAGAACAAAAGAAGACATTGTATGTAGGCTAATGATAGCCTATGAGCCTTTCTTCGCCCACTCGAGATTTGTTTTGAGCCCGCGAGATCCGCACGACAATATTAGTGCCAGTCCCCCGCTGGCTTGTTCCCCAGTCAAGGCCTCAGCGTTAAGGCGCAGCGCTTATATCGAGCTGCTCACAAGCTGGTTTGACAGAAGTTATTTGACCTGGATGAGGAAGCCCAGATGGAGAATAGTCTCTCAAGCATGCAGTCGTAGCCAGAGAGATCGTAACCTCATTCCAACTGGTTGCAGGAACGTGAAAAATCCTTGGTACTGTTTCACTTCAAAAGAAGACAATGTTCGTGCGCAAAACAGTAGCTCTTTCCATACGGTGGCTATGTGATGTTAAGAAATCGACTAAATCGCTAAAGGGGTTGTTATTTTTGATGGATTTTTCATGGAGCTGTTTCATCAAACAGTGGGCCGTAGTGAAGCGGTAATGTGTTTAACTTAGAATTTATAATGACTGAAGCCTTGATTTTTATTTTGTTGTTTGGAAGATCTAAACTCCCACCTTCGAGAAACCGAAGACGCCATTTCCAATATTTATGACGATGCACATCTTAAGAAAGTGAGTCGAACTTTGTTCTTTGAATAATTAGGTGAACACACAAAAAAGATGGGCTGTGATGTGGAGAGGGCAGCCATCGTCTCTGACCCACATTCAGCATTTAAAAATATTTAAATTAGTTGAAGAAGCTCTTTAGTTTTTTCTTCAGATTGGAAGAATCGTTAAGCAATTTAGTACAAAGAGTGATGTTGATTGTTAATTTAGTGTTCTTTATCATCCTCCTAGCTATTATCAGCTCTTTTCATAGGCAAATACAGAATTAATGACAGAATGAAAGTCAGAAATAGGTGCGGTGCGGTGTTGTATGGGTGTGGTAACTTCTTGATGAGTTTGTCTCTCTCAGCTTGAAAGAGGTTACGAAGCGTTAGATCGATAACAGAGATATGCCAGAGGGGCGAAGATGGAATATTGTAGAAAATGAACTCGCTCTTTTAATAACGAAATTGAAAACTTTAGGCTTTTCTATGTTTACAAACAGGGACATAACCCCTTTTTCAGTTTTACTTGCTTTTTTTCCTTTAAGTTACCGTACCGTCTTCACGCAGTCCTTGTCCACGAAGGTCAGGCTTCAGGCGGCCATTACTGGGCATACATTCAAGATCCCAGTCAACAGAGATGGTGTAAGTTCAACGACATCACAGTCAGCGAAGTCACGTGGGAAGAGGTATCTCGTGAGTCTCTGGGTAGCTATCGTAACGTGAGTGCGTACTGCCTCATGTATATTGACGCTCGTCGCGAAGGTTGCATTGGCGCCGGTGGTAGTATACATGAGTTGCCATTGGACTTGAAGGAGCTTGTTGATAAAGATAACGCTGAGTTTGAGAACGAGATGAGAGATTGGGACGAGAAACAACTCGCGAAGACGGGTAAGAGCTGGGATTCAATTTGTCCTTTTTGATTATATGAAAAAAAAAAAAAAGCGACCCGTTCAAAAGGTACAACCTAAACAGAAATTTCGTAAAGAAGAGGAGAAAAATAAGAACATCATTATGATTCTGTAATTTTAAACGCCCACGTACCGTGCAACTTGTAGTTATCTGGAAGTTGTTTTCTATCGAAACTAACGACCCCCAAACTATCGATTTTCTTTACCGGGGCAAGAGGTAAATGACAATGCCTTCAATATATTTCTTTTTAGTCGTAAGGGCACAGATTAAGGCAAACAATAAACAACGATGACCTTTTTTGTTCCGGATGGATCGTTTGACCGACACACGGTGTGAGTTAGAGTTATCCATTGTCTGATAAACTGACTGGGCTCGCTGACTGTCTAACTGACAAACTGACTGACTGATTGGCTAAGAGACTGAGTGACTATTTGACCGACTGACTGACGGACGGACTGTTCTACAGAATTACTGACTGGCTGACAGACTGACTATTTAGCTAACTGATTGATCAATTCTTGATTGTATTTCCCGCACAGAAAATCAATGTAAAGCGATAGTTCCCAGACCAGACGTTGTTATTGAATCTGAGTCCAGTACGCAGACACGTGATACACCAGAAAATGAAGAGACCTCCGATCTGAACTCACTGGCCGAGGCTGCAAGGAGCCTGGGCGTAGAGGAAGCACTGACAAAGTGGTGCATTGAACAAAGGACCAATCTGGAGAAGATCTCGCGAGAGTACTCACCAGACCACCCTGGAGATGTGCGCCTAGAGCATTTTGCAATTTATTTAATGAAGTGTAAAGCTCAAGAAAAGATAATCAGTTTGGCCATACTGGAACAAGTTGTGGATGATATCAAGACACAGGAGGAGGATACGTGAGTTTAGAAATCGAGAGAAGAGAGGGAATGGAAAATTCAAGGAAGTTGGAGAGTAAAAATTGGGTGGAAGAGTCAAGATGGCGATTTAGTCGGGTGGGGTGGGGTGGGGGGGGGACATGACGGAGGATAGGAGTGCAGCTTAGTGTCCAATAAGTGTCAATAGTTTGTTAGTATTACGTCATGCCTTCGTGTAAAAACTATGGTCTGTTGGCATGAAATATTTGACCGAAACGAAAACAGTGCTAGCTGCTTACCAGTGACCAGTCAAAGCCGAGATAGTGACACCAGTGACATACAGATGAACACGTTAATGAAATTGATTGTCTCCTATTTATCTTCAATTAAGGCTCCTTCTGGTGAAACAGTGGGGACACAACAGATTGAATGCAGAAAGAGAAGGAACAAATATTGAATTCCAGGTTACGCAAAATTTCGGTACATTTTTTCACCACAAACCTGCTAGTGTTGACTATCTTCTTCGTTGACTAAGCCACGTCCATTTTCCCGCGCTCAAGCGCGTTCACCTCTGTTTTGAGTGCTTATTGTTCGTTTCTGTTATATGCCATTGTACCTATTGAAAGTTACGATGACTTGACTCTGTTGTCAATTGCGCATTCAGTTGTAGGAAGACTCTTCTCCTAGGGTAATTTTCTCGTAAAATCCATCAGGTTACAACCATTTTAAATTTAATGGATAACATTTGCCCTCCCGAAGTGCAACCGGGAAAGCTACAGTAATCGATCTTGGTACGATAGGGGATCATGGTTTCATGTATCTACTTCCTTTTCAGGGTTGGAAAGAGAAATACAGCCAATTCCAAAAAGTGAATTCTTGTTTCCTGACGGGTCTTGAGCATTTACACAATTCGAAGTACGTACAAGTTAACTACACCAATCAAAGCTCGTCACTTTTGATCCAAAGAATTAAAGTTTGTAACACTCTATACAACATCATAGTACACTCTTTGTGAAGCAGAGCTCAGTAGCTTTATTTAGGAGACATTTATGCCATTTAGTAAATTTAAGCGTGTGCCCTCTTAGAATGTCTGGAATCTCATTGGGTGACTTGACCGTTAAATGATCACCCACTCTCTCCCCCTTTTCTGGAATCTAAGGAACCTAAAACGTTAATTTGACATGGTCATTGGCTTATATATGTCAACTTTCCTTAGACTGAACAATTCCTTCTGTGTATCATACCTTTCTATTTTAAAACTTTTTCCAGTTTTAATTTGCTGTTTTGTTCTAAGGTTGTGGAATGAACTCGAAATTTAAACCCTTTCTACCATTTAAATTATTGGTAACTCACTTGTCAGAGGAACTACACTCAACGTTAAGTTTCCAAAAATGGTTCTGTTTGCAGATTTCGTGAAGCATTACCCTATTTGGTACACGCGTGTACACTGAATTCCAAGCTTTTCAACCCAGACTTGCCCGGCCAAGCCATGGACGAGAAACTGCTGGCTCACTACCGGCGCGTTTGCTTTCTCCGTTTGAATGAGTTGGCAGTAGGGATGTTTGAGGGTAACGATTGGAAATCGGTATGCTCGGGTCTGGAGCTAGTCAGCGAACTGGTGGTGCCATGTATACCTCGACTCATTGCGTCACAGGAGGCCGACGATGCCGCCGCTGTGGAACAGGTCAGAAGCTGCTGGTGTAACTTCTTGGGATTACCTCTTGATGGTGAGTCAACTGGTTCTGTCACGCAAGATTACGTGACAAACCCTTGCAAGTCCCATGCTCCATTCACACCAAAGTTTAAAATGTTTTAAAACGCCTTTTTAAACACAGTTTAAAATTGTTTATTCATAGAGGTTGCTTTAATTTTGAATTAAGCCCATTGAAAATGCAAGTTCGTAATTACTTGAATCCCATCCCATCTGATTTTCATTCAGTTAAACTCGCCTTAAACTAAACTTGTTTTTCTGGTATGAATGGGTTCTTGTGTCTACAATCACTGAAAATTTCGAGTCAGGTCAAGTCAAGTTCTGGAAGAAATATCAATTTGATATTTTCATAATTCGAGCAGTTTTTAGGAATTGGAGTTGAGCATATATGGAAAGTCTGTTTGGTAAAGCACACTAGTATTCCATTCATTGACGATCTTAAGTACACCCTATTTTTTCAGTGAAAAAGACACTAACCGTTTCCTTCTCCCTCTTTATAATTTTTCTGATAGTAAATGTTCTAGCGCAATACAGGGGAGGGTTGGCGAGAAGGGGCTAAACTGAGAGATTGAGCACTTCGTATGAGTTTGAGTAGAATTAATTCCGCAAGTGTCGCTGTAACCCAAGTGCTCTAAACATGGAGGTCGAATGATTTAGAATGATTGACATGCCTTTATTGTACAAGACCTTGTATTGGTTCAAGCTACTTGACCAACCCTACCACAATTTAATATGAAACAGTTTGAATAAATTACCATTTTTTTTTTATTTAGATCGCCATCGTGTCAAACTCGAAGAATACCTTCCAAAGCTTCTTGATGTCACAAGTGAATCTTGCTCTGAAATCAAAGCACCGCCGATTATACGACCATCAAGCTCACGCGACCTCTGCGATAGATTTTTCCGGGCGATGGAACTGGTACACGCTAATCCCGCTGCTTTTACGACGTAACGAAGCCGCGTCGAACACGAACCGAAACTCTGGGAGGCCTTTCCTTCTTCACCAAAGCACATCGCCTACGTTCTCCTCTTTTCGAGCCAAGAAAAAAAAATACAATTAACATTTCTGTCCATTTCTCTCAATGAAACACGACGATAGCATGGTACAAAGTTTCAATTCTTCAAAGCGTTTGGATGTTTCTGTACATACAGCATGAATAAATAAAGTGCGTCGTATTTAAGATTTTCAAGCTAAGTGCATTTGTTGGATTAAATAAATGACTACTAACATAAGTGTGGAAGTTCTACTCTTTAAAATGGCATAGCACAGCGCATTTCTATGAGTTTGGTGAAACCAAAACCACAGTGATCACAACAGCCAATTAGAAAAGAGGAAAATATCATAGGAGCCAACCACAACGTTTGGCTTTGGTTTTGCATCTGGTTAGTCGAAAAGGTGGCGCGAGTTTCTGAACCAATCACAGAGCGCAGTAGAGCAAAACATACAATCGCGGATTACTTTCGACACTCAGTGGAAAATTGCGCTAAAGTGAAGTAGCGTAAGGGAGGAGGACAATGTATGTACAGTCATCCCGCGAAATCTTACGAAATATCCAGTAAAGCTGAGTCAGTTAAAATCACGAAATATCCTGAAAGATATCAAAAGCAAATCACACCTACTACATGCTTTCTTTGCAGTTTTTCGGTCCCAGTGTGTAAGTTCAGTATACATACACATGTGCGTTTATGCTGCCGACTAAACACTCTGTAACCTAGAACCTGTAGAAAATACAACATTTTGCAACAGAGAATGGAGAAAGAGCCCTGGCGCCTCGATTACTTCATAGTTTTTGATCTGTTCAACTAAGACGTCGAAACAATATCTCACGAGTCATGAGAGCAATAAATCAGACAGCACTTTCTATTAGTTAACCGGCGTAACAACGCATGTGGAATGTTGGGGAAACACGCCTTCGGCTCGTGATTCACCAACTTTTTATCGTGTTCTCCCAACATCCAAAGAGGGTTGCCACGCTGGTAAACCAACAGGAAGTGCGGTCTATTGCTTTTATAAAATAATCTTTAATTTTCCATGGATTTTCCGGTGTAATGAATAGAAGGTTTTGGACCAATCAGTGCTCTCGTAATATCTCAGTCATTATAAACGAATTTATCAAATTATGGATGTTATCTTGACTCTCCTCACTAATTTACAGAGGAATTTAAGGCAGCCATGAGAGAGAAATATTGATCAGATTTCAACGGTCGCATGAAGAACGTAACAATGAGCAAGGTGTTTGAATTGATGTCATTGCGCAAGAGTGGTGCTTACAAAGCATGCGCATAAATTACGATGGCCTACTTAAAGATCGTAATTGTTAAGTAATTGATACTAATTTTTTGTGGATCGTTAGTCTGGGTCACTTTGACTCATTCCGAAACCGTCATTTTGAGAGGTATTAAACGGTATGTAAACATCAAACTACTCTTAAACCGTCTGGTTACTATAGGTATAAATTCTGTTCATTTTCGGCAGCACAGAACGGAACCCCTTGCATGGTTGTGTATCTGAGGACTTTAGAGTACAAATTAAAAAGTCCCAACCTTTCGACGAATTCTTCAGATAATAGACCACTTCTCTTTACAATGTAATGGAGGTTTTAAACCTTTAAGTTAATAACCCTTTTAGACACCTGTGTTTACTCACGATCTGAGGCTTAAATCAATCCTGTTTATACATTCGACACCTGTATTGTCTCTTCTCCATGCTGATAAGTCAGAATGCGAGCAGAATTTGAATAAAAGAGTTTATGCTATTGTCATTTTAAAGTGAGAGAGATTGATTTTTCCGCTGCAATCGTAAACCAGCTTGCTTAGCATAACAACGAAAACTTAAGTGAGGCGAAGAAGGACAATGCACGTATTGAAGAAAACTGTGTTGAATGAAATACTTTTTAAAGAATGGGCCATTCTTTATTAGGATTTAGCAAAGCCGAGAGTCCTTACGGACCTGCTCTCTATCGCGTCCATCACATCTGTTATGTAATGACTGTCACTCAAACGTCACGCTATGTCTAGAAAATAGCGTGATTGGAATGCCAAACGGGATGGCGTGTTTTCGTTATCATACAACGAATGCCTACAGAGTGTCATCTTTCAGAATGTCACGAAAGCGTCGCGAAGAGAACACGCGCGCCAACAAATGCCGTTTGAAATCAGTAATTAAATGAAATGAAAAGCCTTGAAGATTGATTTTCCTCCATCTTATCTTATCTGCAGTGGAATCGACCTCGTCAAGGTATATAGGTTTCGCTTTACTCGATGACAGTTCACAACAAAAAGATACCTTTGACCGGGGAAATATATTCGTCTGGAAATTCTATTGTTTTGGTACCGTTTGCTTTCCACCACCGGAAGTTATATTGTGTTTAAGCATCACAGGAACTCAGCGACCAACGACCGACATGCTGTCATTGTTTCTAAAGTATTAACATTTCCCTATCTGTTACGAATCAAGGTTATATGGATTTGCTGAATACCCTGGCGTCACAATCATCCAGTTGTTTCTAAATAAAATGTCATTGTTCTTCGTTTAGTAATGTTGTTTAACTAAACTCTTCAATTTCGCCGTCACGTCTAGCTTGGCCGCTATGCGAGACCCGAAATAAAACTCGATAAAAACGATCAAATTTCTTTGTCTGGGTCTTTCAACCCTGGCACCTGGATAAAAGCTACTTTTTCGAGAAAGCAGGCTTTTTTTTTTCAGCACGGCAGATATCGTAATAACAGCAAGATAATTAGACGGAGATATTTGAATTGCATACCGACGGAAATTTGCATAATTGTGCTTTCCCAGACAGTGAGGTTTTTAGTCCGACCGCTGAGTACTAGAAAACATTAGGACGAGAAGAACGGTTTTTTTGGACCACCGATGTGTGACACCATCGAACCTCGCGCAGAAATGGAAACTACAATTTATCAAGGTACCAAACTTCTACATACTACATAACTTCACGCTGTTAATTATGAACATTTCAATTATTTCCTACAGAGTTCACACCAGACGTACATACCGACTGGCTCGAAGTTGTGTGTCATATCGAGAAATCTCTTTGTCAAAATATGTTTTACTTTGCATTGGAATATACAAATGTTGACCGGCCAATTGCATCATTGTCCTGGCTTTTGCGTGATTTTCGAGAGAAAGCAGCGAGTGAAATGTACAAATAGAACATTTTCTGTACTTGCGCCTAAGGAAGGTAAAATATCCGATGGGATTCTGTTCGATTACAGAACGGGACAACTTTAATGTGACGAACAAGCGATGGTGAGATAAGTTGAGCAAACCAGGTCGTCGATCGGAAATTGATTCGGTTGGAGATTTTTTCAAACAAAGCAAAAGAAGATGGGCTGAGTTTCGATATTTTGTAGCTTGTAACTATTACAACGATGTAATCTTACTTGCCTCTTTAGTCTCTAAATTAACTGGCGGAGAAAGTCATTGAAATTGAACCCTGGCTGTCTGAGTGAGATTCCCTTATCAGCTCACAGCTAGAAAAAACCATTGTATTCAAAAGTCTGTTAGAAAATAGATCAGCGTCGTTAATATTCAGGCAACATATGCGAACTGGTTTTTAAAGAAGGAGAAAATTTGAGAGATGCTGAAAGCGCCGTACTTCGGATGTAAGTTTGCAACAGCCAGACTGACTAAGCCACAAGTTATTGTCAACTGCATTATATGATAGTTTGCAAGAAATGAGCGATGGATTTTTAAAGATCTGAAAGTCTAAATCTCATACAAAGAACATGAAAAATGCTTTGTCATTTTCTTAGAGGGCCAGAGTCAGTCAATACTCGTGGTAATTTGTGACTGAATCATACCACATGTATTCGCGCTGCTCTGATCGAGTTGTGACTTCTTCATTGTATTTCAACGTTTTTCTTGTAAACCGAAGATTTCGTGCCTTCTTGCTAGATAATTCAATTTTGAATTTATGTACTAATGTATTTTTGTCTGTATTATAGAAAAACAATACGAACAGCAGCAGCAGAGGGAGCCGGCAAGTGGAGGCGATTCCTAAACACGCTACAGCACGAGGTGTACACGCGCTCTAAAATCCTCCTTGGGATTATACTAGTGAGTTTCAAATGTAGTTATTGCAGTATTTCTACAATAAACATTGCCTTACCTCTTTCCAAATCGTTGCTATCAAGATGATTGCGATTTGCATACAAAAATGAACCGACACGACCTGTCTGAGTAACACGAGGTTTTCTCAGTTGGTTTTAGTCGACCTACACCGTCATCCTCAATACAACATGAATCCATCGTCGACAATCGTTTCATCAGACAAAAAAAACACTGTTTTCTGAACATTGATTATTTTGAAAATAGAGGGACACTTTGACAAAGAATCTTTTTTTTCATCGTTTCCTGATAGGTATTTGCTGTTGTGTCTCGCACTGTCTAGATTTTATGCAAAGCTTTCCAGACCGCGTACTGTTGACGCTGTTCATACACTAGTCATCATGAGAGATTACTTCGGATTCGCTTCAACACTTGCGTAAAATTCGTCGCCATTTCATTCAGTTTCACTTTATCTTTTTATCGCGAAAGTAAGAGGAAAGAGGAAACTGAAGGAAAAACCGTTAGAGCTTCGTGAAATGAAACGCCAATTAGGTTAGCAGAAACATTCAAGTTTGATCAGAGGAACTTTATTAACTCGCATACATATGCTCCTCTTCTGAACTCACTTTGAATATTTTTATGTACTATATCAGCAAAGAGGGCTTTTTTTTTTTTTGGGAGCAGTTTGGTATTTATTCAATGACATCGAAAACTCGGTGCATTTTGTTCCAAAATTTGAGGCAGCTGAAGTATGAGAGGGACAGGGAAGATGTTCCATTGTCAAAATTGCAGTTTCCACATACAAAATCTTATCATTTGGGAAGAAAATAGTGGTTACAAAATAGGTTAACAGTATGTAATTTTATACAGATACTGTGCAATCATCTCCTTACTGAAAGGAAACACTTATCAACAAAGAGGCGAGATCGTGTTATGGCAAAATGGTGTGGTGCAACAATTTCTATCTGCTCCTATCTTTTCATGTCTTAAATGGCTAATAATTCACATTGGATAATTGTTACTTCTGTCTCTTTCCATTTTTCTCTGTTCTTTGATCTGAGTGCGCAACTTGAGTTTATTCATAGATCTTTACTGCTTTCTTTCAGATACAAATTTTAAAGAAGAACACAGACAGAGCAATCAGGAAAACTGCAATGGTGACTACATATGGTCTTCCTTTATTTTATAATTCCTTCCTTATTTCTTTTGTCTCTACAATCACAGTTGTAGATAGATCAACTAATTCCCCATGCCAATTGCTTAATTCTTAAATGATTTATGCTTTTTAGTGGCACAAATTTACTCAGGAAACTAAATCCTTAAGGTCAGCTCGAGGGCTGAAGTAAGTCTTGCTCTTAGACCCATTCGACTTTTTGCAAGTCTGTCAAAAGCACGCGTGCTTGATTCACTAACTTAAGCATCAACAACTTGTGTAGGAAGCTACAGTCCATCATCAGGCTGTTTTTAATCATTTTGCAAATGAACAATTAGGAAATTTCTATTAGTGTAGGAAATCACATGTTTGACTTATGTTCGTTGAGTACAGCCGGGAACTCTTGTAATTTGCATAGCACCCCGCTCACCCGGGGCGGGGTTTGTTCTCGAGCCTGAAGTGTGGTTACACATCCGTTATATGTGGGTTAAACTCAAAACTCGGCTTTTTACGCCATGCGTTTCGACCATCTACCCAAAAAGAGTCTTTTGGCTTCTTCTTTGCGCAAAGAACTATCCCAAATTATGTCTCATATTGTTAGATTGATGAAAGAATTGTTACGATCTCTGAAATTGCTTGCTAGGAAATTTCGTTCGCCTTTAGTCAACATTCCTCGTGCATGTTTCAAAACCACATTTAGGTTGCAAGCCATGTGGCGTCGCAAGTTTTCGCGTGCAAAATGAATCGGATGCTTCAACAAAACGTTCGGCGAAAGAGCACAATCTGAATCGTAAGGGGTTCGTGTCGAGTCTCAGTTCTCTAGCCTTTAGACAACAAGGCCACCAGACTATTGTGTTCGAGGTAAGTGTTTATCCCAGAGTTTGGATCAATCGACTGATAAACCCACGTAGCAGTTTCGAACCGGTTTTTCTCTGAGGGCTCGTGTTATATATCCAGACATTGAATTGATCACATTATAGGTTTAGGGGGATTTTAAAGGATGCTCCTTGCAGAGGTGTTGTGTTCGGAAGAGCCTGTTGAATCCTCGGTGTATTTACTGATTGTTTGTTCAAGATCGACATCAGACGCACGCGACAACCAAAAATATCACTATCTTTACTTTTCTAATTTTTGATCGCGTGAAAAAAGAAATCTAAGAACAGTTATCAAGAAAAATCGTGTTTATGTTGACACTCAAGTCTTGGAGACTGAATAGAAGTTTGAAAACATCGGTGAAGGTTAGTACTTAACTCGAGCAAGTATTGACTTTCAAAGACATGAATACTACATTCGTATTATTTCCTTGTTTACAAGCACATTTTTTTACTGGCGGCTCTTGGGAAAAGTTCTTGATAGATATATTTTTGTCATAAGACAAAGTGTTAGCTGCTAAATACTTCTTGCTAATTCCAGACTGATAAATTAGACCCGGTTACATTTGACATCAATTTGAATGAATCACTTCTCTGAATCTTTGCTGGTTCTAAGATGTGGTAAAATGACGAAATAGGAGCATTGTATTCCCAAAGTTTTTTCCATTTTGTCTTTTGTAACTATTTCGGTTTGGAAATCGACAAAATCTTACAGGTGAAGCTCTGACATGATTAGGTTCTTCATAAGACAGCTAGTCCTATGGAGAATTTTATTGACGAGTGCAATGAAAGAAGGGTCCTTTCCTAGAAATTCACTATTTCTGCAGTTAGATTATATATTTAGTTCGGGTCTTATTCTTAAGTAGCGAATTATTTTTAGCTTGTTAAAAAATTATGGGAAAGATTTGCTCCTCTGAATAGGTACAACAGTTCCAGACAGATCTGCTAGACATTTCCATCATTTCTTAAGGTTTGTATAACTTAGCTCAGATGTGAAGTCTTATTAGTATGGAGTCTAAATATTTTATGTTTTTATATCTTTATATCACCTCTTTGAAGAAGAAAGGAAACAAACTTTTGATGTACTTCAAGAACGATCTAATGTGCACCAAAGAGGCCAAGACTAAATCAAGCCTTTATTTATTTTTTCCAGGCTCATGCATTGCACTTGTGATTCGAGTTTCGAGTAAGGTGATACGGTGAGCTCATTTTCGAATACCCTTTTACGCCATTCTCTCGAGAAAGATCGTTTATATAGCACTGAAAAGAAAATTAGTCTCAGGGAAAACATATTTTAGTGTTTTTCGAAAGAACACGCATGATTCAATGGTACAATGGAGATGGACATTTAATCAAAGCAAACTGCCAATGCTAACTTCAAAGCAATGATGAAGACTTTCCTTTCTCCCACTGCCTGATCTTTTTACTTCGCAAAAATCAATCGTGAGCCAAGAAGAAGAACAGCATCCTGCAACAAATTCAGAGATTTTTATAGTTTATTGGAGTCAAATTCATGAAACACAATATATGCGAGGAAAGTTGGAGTTGTCTCCTTTGTTGAATGGACATATAACAATGATCATCAAACGATTTTATAGCTTATTGTATGTCGGTGTTTAATTTTCTTTTGCATGTTTTTAAAAGTTACAGGATGTTTTTTCGCATTTTCCCTTCGAGCTATCATCTCTTTAATGATGTCTTGAAATAATAGGGTTTCTGATATTGAATGAACTTTCTGAACAATTAGATCATTTTTAAGGTCGTTGAGGGACAATCGTTTGCAATTTCTGTTTGGATTATAGTTAGCTGAGGGAAAGAACATGTTGATTTTTCTTTTCATGTATTATTTTGTTTGAAGAATTTGCAATTTCGACTTCACAAGAAGTCGAAATTGCAAATTCTAGAATCATCATTGTATCTATGTATCTCCTCAGGAGAGGAGAGGTCTTGTTCAGAATTCAGTCCTCCTTTCATACGACATCTGAAACATTATAGTAACAAGCTGGAAACAACATTTTTGTTTCGTTTTCTTTTAACTGCTTCTTTTCGTTCCTTTGAAATTACTATTCTGATATGATTGAAATCTGGTTCTGACAAATATATACCTTGGAGCTTATGTACTTCAGTGATATGGAGTAAACACGTTTGGAAATGTTTTAGGATTTCTTCGTCGATGGGGGCTTTCTACACAGCTATTTTAGACAAAGCAATTCAAGAAAAGATATATCGATTTAATTACTTTTTTTACGACCGAGGGTGGATTGCAAATCTTTCACAAGACCATAGAACAATGACAAGAGTAATATAAGCGATCGGGAAAATGACATTTCATATCACCTGATTTCAACGGTTAGTTGCCAAGACCCGAAAAGTATCTACTTCCTAAGAGAAAACAGCCTTTTAAACTGTCTTCTTAGAGCTTCAAATCGTGCTGTAGCTTAATGAATTTTGATCCATTACTGTTTATAGCAAGTTTAATGATGAAGGCATATTGTCGTCTTATACGGCTTCGATAGAGCGAGAGAGAGAAACTGCAGCAATCTAATTTTTCTTTCACCCTGAAAAATAATCAGGTAGCAATGCTTAGGGCTTGATTACACTGGAAGGAAAGTTAGGCTTGATATGTTATTCAATGTTTTTTTTCCCGAAACTGTTGTAGGTAGTTGTGGCATGATACCCTCAGGCGGAATTGATGCAACGACCCGTGTATCTTAAACCTTGCCTTTTGACATTTTTGTTTTCAGCGTTGTCGAGGGATCTTAGATAAGAGATTCTGAATCAGGGCTCAGAGATGCTAAAATTTCGAACGAAGGATGGTGTTTGATTTGTTTCACCAATTAACCTTGGTCCCACAGAAGATTTGTGACGCTCCTCGATGAACTCCACCGGTGTTTAGTTGCATGTTGCTGCAGAACAAGGAGACTCCATACCGCCGAGCACGTTACGTATAAATATCCAATTCTTGCAAAATTAAACCATACACAAATGAAAAGTACTCTGCAAAAAGGTTACCCTTCAAACCGGAAAATTTATTAGCAAGGGAAGATTTTGTGGGAAGCAACGTAGAGAAACGCCCCTGAGAGATACCATAATAATCATTCAAGTCACAATATTTTTGCCTAATAGGGATGGTTTAAGATATTTCTTCTAAGCTTTAGGATATCAGGATGGAAAATGTGGGTAATAGATCAAGAATTTTTGCAGCAGAGTGCTCATGTTGTTCATGTAACTATGGTCAGTTTTTCGATTTTAATATATTTACCAAGCCATATTTATTCCACATTAGTGATTGGTTCACTTCGGCGATAC